CATACCCCTAGACCATAAGCCCGATGAATGATTACATAAGATTTCGTCCCCGCGTCGTCCCATATTCGCCCGCTGAAGAGCGCGGAGTTTGGTGTTGCACGGACTCCGTGGACTGTCCGAAACACTCCCGGAACCCCGACACTCACTGCATGAAACAAAGGGTCCCTTTTGTTTCTAGTTGCTGTGGTTGATGGTAGGGCTGTTCTTCATTGGGTTTGTCGTACTCGTATCGTGCGTGTCTAAGCCTCTTCACTAACGGCCGAGTAACCGACCTCACCATGCTTCCATCGTCTTGCTTTAATTGAACACGAGTTCCTATTCTTGATAAACTTTGAGAGTCGTCAAAGTTATTGGAAAGTATTGTGTCAGTCTGTTGAAGAATGGTCTGGAGTGGTTCGATATGATACGCTGGAACACAAGGCCGCGGGCCGTGGGCGGCTTTTAAGCCAATGCTGCAGCTGCCGAGACATCACTCTGAGGCACAACAGTCAACCCACTCTGTATACACCCTGAGACGTGGGATGCATATGCGGGGAGACAGCCCTCGGTAGGTTAAGAGTTGCTGGCTACGGGACGAAAGAAAACAGGACCCCGATCCTAAAAGACTTAGGTAATATAGCCTAAGCTTAGGATAACTTTCACTGAGTTTATTTTTAACACCCTATACTAAGATTCGCTGTTTTCTCGCCTGGTAGCTGTGGGATATGCAGTCATTCGGAAGTGTTGTCGATCTGCAATGGGTAGACGGATTCATTGTCGCTGAAGGTCATGAGACTCATGACTGACAGCGGAATTGTCCAATCAACTTTCCGGCCAATTGAGTATCCAGACATACCTCTCAAAAGCTTGCTACACTGTGCTGCCCTCAGGGAGCAAGAAAACACCGAACCTTGATATACATAGGGTATTAAAATAAACTTAGCAAAGAGTCCCCTTAGCTTAGACTAAATTTACCTACATATTTTCATCCCGTAGGGTTGAGGTCTTAAGTTTTCTTTCCTCCTTTAGGCTGGAGAGAAACGAACAGATGCAGATGTGTGGACAAGTCAGGTCGGCAGTCTAGGACATGATTCAATAAAGAACGGATGCCCGATGTCTACGAGCAAACAACGGCCGAAAGCCTGTAACTAATAGGTATAAGCCTTGAAAAAGGTCTCGGTGCCATAATCAGAAGCAGAAGTGATCCGGCAGCGGCCCTATAGAGGACGTGGTGGCTGTTGACCGTTACACGGGACTCGACAAATGGCCGCCACCAGTGGACACTCGCTATGAGCATATTGACAGTTATCCTCAACAATGGGAAGCGTCAATACAGCCTCGGCGCTCTCACACAGTAAGGAACAGCTATAAAAAGCCGATTTCGATCCTTGTATTTTGGTTCTGCATCTCAAATCAATCGCACGGGTCAGATTAAACAGCCCGCCCACCCCATTCTTACAGTAAGTCCAAATTGGTACGGAGTAGTGAAGTTCGAGCTAATGTACTAACAGCAGCGAATATGTCTGTTGTATTTTAGAGAGTCAAGTCAATCTGACTCGTGGAGAACTTTTGCATGGTCTTCGACTTATGTCTGCTGTTAAGACTCCCATCAGCGCCATGTATCGGTGCTGTTCGCCGATCGGTGACCCTCCAGAACGCCGCCCATATAGACACTATTACAGGTCAATTCGATCTTGGGCGACTAGTGTTCTTCTCTGTGACCAAAGCAAGTATAGTAACCATCGTGTGTTCCAGTCATCCTTCGTCTAAGTTCTCTCTGCTGGTTTAAGCTCTCAGCTACAAGCCTCAACTGCAAGTAACACATCCGTCGTCCTTCGTCCTTACTGCTGCACATTTCCTTCGACCCCAAAACTTCTCACACTCCTACCAGCTTCTTCATGAACAAGTCCGTACCCAATCTTGACACCGCCTCCTTGCCGAGCCCTCAGTACATCAAGATTCGACGCCCGCGAAGCCTCTATTATCGAGGACGGCTTCATATCGCGCATAGCGCCCTCCTCAAGATAAGCCTGCAACCCCAATAACACGCCAATGCCCGCCAGAAATATACTTGCCGCATATACGCTAAGAAGCTGGGCCATGCTATAGCGAAAGAAAGTAGCTATCCTTTGACGTTGGCAGGGATAGGCGGTTGAAGGATCTCCTTTGGCAACACCAGACGGTTTCCCATTCGCCGCCCACGAGACTACATTGAAGGAACGGTCTGAAAAGATCGAAATGAGGATGTCCTCATAAAAGTTTCGGATTTCTTGATCAAGGTTCTTGACGGGGAGGTAATTAACCTGCGTGAGCAACCGCGTAGACAAAACCTCGGAATTTACATTGTAATTCGGCATTGTGGTAGTCCCGTTGAGCCATTGCCTCAACCTAAAGCCGATGGAATGGTAGGCAGCTACTCGGCGGTATCTTTTGACGTCCGTAGGGAATACGTAGTTTCTGTCAGGGACGGCCTGTGTTCGGTCTTTCAACCTCTTGTCGGGGTCTTTCTCCGATATGTAAGTCGTATCAATCACCCTTCTTAGGTATTCGCGTTTCTTAATGTCAACAAATTGTGAACCGCCTGTGTAATTGAATTGGGCAGTATAGTTGACTTCGTAATGCTCGCACCCGATGATAACGGGCGTATATGCCTTGATGTATTCCTCTGTGCCTGGCATATCTGGCTGAGGGACAGAAAGGTCATCCACCGTTGCATAGCCAATCCACATGATAGGCTCCGTTCTGAAGGCTCCAAAGTTTTTCGGATACGGAGGATGTGCCTTCGGCCTACCCCCAGGATAAGATACCATTTGGGGGTTGTCATACTCGCGGTCGTTGACGGCGTAGTATGTCAGGTTTCCTAATGGCGCCAACACAGATGTGTTGAATGGTGCTGCAGCATTCCCAAGCTTCTTGACTTCAGAATTTACTCCAGATGCTAGCTTCTCACACTTATAGCCAGGAGTAACAAAGTTGATGACATAGGAACAGTTCCATCCCTCTCCACAGATCTCAAACGCCGACTCCTTGCGAACTATGGCCTCGCCCATCAGCATCGATTTCGTAGCAACGAAGTTGTCGACCTGCCTGCTAGGGTAGGTGTAATAGTCAAAGTATTCCCCCTTGAAGTCACTCACACTGTAGTCAAAAGTTGAATTCCATAAAGACATGGACATCAGAAACTGGTCATCGATTTTCTGGGGATTCCGCCAATATACCTTCTCCTCGTTTTCAAAGTTCAAGGTCCGGATAGATGTGCATGTCGTAGTTTCTTCAAGGACACCGACAGAAACCGACAAAGTCTCAGAAGTCAATACAACCACAAGAGGAGTGACCCAGCAGTAAAGCGCAAGGAGAGTGCCAATCTTTGCTTTACGAATAGAGCCCCAGGTGAAAAGGGAGAAGATATCCGAGTTGGCGGTGAATATCGAGTCGATAGTCTCAACCCGGGCTGTTTTATTTCGGACCACTCTCCAGGCTCTTTGGTGAAACGCAATAGTAACAGCCGTACCAAGACTAGCTTTGGCACAGAATGCAACGATAGTCCCGTACCGTAACATCAGAGACTGGTTGACAGCCTCTTTCCCATTAAGGCGGAGGTAGAACAGGTGATGACCAACAGCGAACACAGTGCCAACAAGGACCAAAAGAAACATATTCCAAGGCTTATGTCTGTAAACCTGCCAAACATTCCAGAAGTCGTCGCTGCGGCGCTTCATGAAGGCAAGGCCAGGGAACTTTATGCCATGCTTTACAGGCTTAGCTTCATCACGAGCTAAATAAGAGCTCTGAGACGTCTGAGCTTCACGGCGTTCGTCCGGGCGCAGAAGCATAATGTCGTCGGTAGCGGCGATCGACCGTTCGTCTCGTTCACGATCGGTCTCGATGTGAGAAGGCGGAGACCTTGGTGATGAGAACATTTCGTAGAGGACACAAGAGGCAGTGTGTAGTGGAGGAGGTCGAATGATCTACAGAAGCACATGGGTTGGAATTTATTGGAAGAGCCAAGTTTCATTTCTTTTCACAGCCTTGTTTTGAGAAGCAGGCTATTGGCAAATATGCAGCTTATGGCAGGCTTCGCGCTGTGGCTGTAGAGAGCACTGACATCTCCGCCAATTAATAACGCCTCTTCGCTTTAAATAGAATGCCACAACCTAGTAGTGAGACAGCAGCCTCCATGCCTTGAGCCCGCGACCATACTTCTTCCATTGTGCTTGAAACTCCCTTGTCTGGAGAAACCAGACTGCCTACCCTTCTACCCATAGTAACAAATGTGATCGACGACAAGATACAGTAATAATAGTCTTCTGTACGGGCAATGCGATGTACGGATGAATAATAGCAAAGTGCAGCACTTGCAGCCTTAACCCCCCGTATTTCCAGTTTCATGTCTCACCCTCTCGAGTGGCTGCTTACGCCAAGCAACGGGCATGATATGACTAACAGAAACAACCAAACTACCTACGTTCACTGTTAATAGGATTAAGCTCGTGGAATACTTCTTGCTCTTGATATCGTTTACACTCACACTTATGGAATTCCAGCGAAACACATCTATGATTTCCTCTGGATCCAGGCTAAACTTGGAGGTGAGAACATGCTGTAAGTCACCAATCGAGCCCACAATTGAGATTGTAAATGTGGCGGACAACCTTGATTCAGCTGGTGGAGAGAGGAGAGGAAAGAAGCCAACCAGGAGGATATAAAGATACCCTCCCACGCCTTGTTGTCTCAAATGGGCTACCATGGTGAGGGGAGACCGCAAGAAAACTTAGGATCTTAACTATAAGCGATCAAAGTATTCAGATAAATTCAACCTAATTATGGGCACCTTTTCCTAAGTTTATTTTGGCCACCTCAAGAGTCGGGTTTTCTTACTTCCCAAGGCATGGGAGGAAGTTGGGAATAGCCTCCGATATATAAATGAACATGACGACTATTAGAGGCCAGACAGTAAGGACCAAAAAATGTTCAGTCTTTGGATGACTGCAGAACTCTTATATACAAATGTCTATAATCTTGGATTCTGTGTAACTCAGCTAAGACTAGCAGCCACGTCATCATAAGCCCTCTTCAGCGACACAAGCAGCTCATCCATCTCATCCTCCGTAATCGTCAACGGCGGCGAAACAATAACATGATCGCCCACTTTCCCATCCGCAGTCCCAGAACCAGGATACACAGCCAAACCCAACTGAAAAGCCTTCTCCTGAACCTTAACGCCAAACTTGATATTGCTATCAAAAGGCGTCTTGGTCTTCTTATCCTTGACAAACTCAATGCCCCAAAACAACCCCCTACCTCTAATATTTCCAACAAACTCCAGATCCTGGAAGATTTCGACAAGGGACTTGTGTAATCGTGCTCCGAGGGTAGCAGCGCGCGAAACCAAGTTATCTCGACGGATGATCTTCTGAATCGCTAATGCAGCTGCGCAACTCACGGGGTGAGCTTGATATGTATGTCCATGGTTGAAACTCGCTGTTCCCTTCTTCAACGTCTCAATGATCTTTCTGTGCACCAAAGTCGCGGCGATAGGAGCGTATCCGCCTCCAAGGCCCTTGCCCGTGGTGACGATATCAGGACGAACATCGCCGTCTTGCTCAAAGGCAAAGAATGTTCCACACCGCCCGACGCCGCACATGACTTCGTCGAGGATAAGGAGAATACCGTACTTTCGACAGACTTTTCCAACACCTTCGAAGTATCCGGCTGGAGGAGAGATGCAGCCTGCTGTTGCGCCGCCAACTGTCTCTGCAACGAAGGCCATGATGGTGTCAGGACCAACAGCCTGGAACTCTGCTTCAAGCTCATCGACCAGTCTCTGAGCGTACTCTTGTTCCGTTTCGTCGTCTTTTCGAACTCGGTATTCATACGCTGGACTAACGTAGCTCACATTATCCAGAAGAATGGCACCCTCATACGGCGCCCTCCTCGCCACAAAACTACCCACGCTCATAGCGCCAATCGTATTCCCATGATAAGCCTGCCTTCTCGAAACAAACTTGGTTCGCTGCGGCTGTCCATTCTCAACATGATACTGCCTCGCAAGCTTCATCGCCGAATCCATAGCTTCACTCCCAGAACCAACAAAGTACGCCCTCGTCAAGTCAAAAGGCTCTCCTTCTAGGATATAGTTTGCGAGATCCTCTGCACTATTGGTTGTGTAGGCCATGGTGTGCACGTATGAAACACTTGACATCTGCTCGACCATTGCGTCGCGGACTTCAGTGTTTCCGTGGCCGATGATGGCGACTGCAGCGCCTGCACAGCCATCGAGGATTTTACGGTCGGATGACAGGGTGATCCAGACGCCTGATGCGGATGTTACGGTTTCTGGGCGGGTGAGGAGGGAGCGGTGCATGAGATGGGGCTCTGAGGCCGACGAGAGTTGAAGGTCACCCATTGTGTCAGGTAAGATAAGTAGCTATCCTTTAGTAGATGGTCGCTCAGATGAAGAGATGGGAAAAATATCTTGGGTAGAGGATTGGGTGAGTTTATAAAAGAGAGAACGATGTTCCGTCGGTTCTTATCATGTTGCAGGTGGAGCTGAAGCCACTCGGCTTAGAAAAGGCGATTCGGGTCTGGATACTGTTTTCGGGTTTCGAGGGTATGCGAACGAATGAGACAACAGCTTTCAAGACTGCAACTATCTTCTCACCAAGATACGCGATAGGCTTATTTCAAGAGCATACTGACTTCTATGATTAATTGGAAATAGATCAATGATTCTAAGCTACGTTATCGTCACCCATATTATCCATACTCGTTGACAAAAGATGGGGATCATCACAGAATGACAGTAATCTCCACCAATCCTCACCTACAAACTCGCTCCCACTCGTCTCCTCCAGAAATCCAAGGCCATCTGTATCTACGCCATGCTCAGCATCACCTGCCACCAACTGATGCAACTTCGACCCATCATCCGCCGAAACCAACCCCGCAGGTCTATCAAACGTCTGTCTCGGCATCCCCTGCAACGGCGCAAGATGAATAGAATCCTCCAACTCGGGATAATCATACCTCGACCTCTTAACCCTCCGCCCCTCACTAACCCTAGTCATAATACTCTTCGCCGTATTCAAAACATCAATCCACTCCTCCGCCAATCTCCAAACCTTGCCTATTCTTACTAAAACAGCCATAGTCCTTTCAGCTTGGGCATCTGCGTCTGCGGTTTGACTTGGCGTGAAGCCCATGAAGTTGGGAAAGGCTGCGCCGTATATACTCCAAAGAGTAGAGGAGAAGGCGCACAGGCCGGAGAATGGGGTGCGGAGGGGACAGCCGACGTGTTCGAGATCGGAGAGGAGAGAGGATATTTGGGATGCTGCGTCGTAGAGATCGAAGACGTTTTGGAGCCAGAATGAATCAGGGCCTCGGGCTTTGAGGAGCGGTGGTTCGATGGGACCGCGGGGTTTGACTTCGTCTACTGGGCTGAAGGGGATGAATTCTCGGCAGAGAAAGAGTAAACTACTACTGATGAGTATTGTACCTCAAGTTGGGGATGAAAAGACTTACCTGACGTAGTAGACCAAGTTGATGTATCCAAACCTCTCAGCCTGTCCTCGCTGGGCATGCACCGATACCTTTGTAGCAGGATACTTCATCAACGCATCCTGAGAATCCCACCACTTGATCAGGTCCTGTTTCATCTTACTCCAGTCCGAAGTCTCGTTGAACGGGCACTGCTCTGGTTCCGTCATACCAGGCTGTCTTCTCCCGCCTTCAGCGATCCACGTGTGAACTCTCGACCAGATACGCAAACCTCGAATGAGAAGAACAAGATGATCATCAGGCCCGTAGACCTTCAAACTGTCATCTATAGGTGCTGCTTGAGGACTCTGCCCAAAGAGGAATTGGGTGTCGTTTACTGGTAGCGAGAAATGCATGTCTCCATCAGAGAACATAGCCTGCCGTCTCTTGCCGCAACTCAACAGTCTGTCCATCTTGAAGCACGTCCATAAGGTTCTCTTTTCAAGCTCTGACAGAGTTTCTCTCTTGCCACAGCTCGCGAAACCAGTGCTGAGTAGGCCCTGTGCCATTCTCGTTGCGATACCACAATGCATCCAAGCATTGAAACCATCTCCATCTCCCCAGTTGCAGAGCGATAGTATGAGGAAGGTCTGAATGAGAGCGAGGCTTGGACCACTTGTCACCCTCTTCTGCATCTCGTTCGCTATAAAGAGGATGTTCTTGTTGTTAATATTTGCGGTGTAAGATCCCGAGTATCGATGTGACACTGCAACAATAACGAGGAGTCGAAGCTTCTGGACTACACTGAGTTCATCTTGTCGATACTCAAGATCATCTGGATGAAGAAATCCAAACTCAGGAAACTGAGCCCGGAACAAGTTAATAGCACTTATGACTTGCGCTCGCGACGTCTGTTCAAAGACTTGATTGACATCTTGCCAAACATCACCTGAGACATCTGTTTGCCTCTGATCAACACTCAAGCGCTGTCTCTTAGCAGGTCTTTTAGACCCTACGCTCTGACCCAGCACTGGGCCACTCAACACACAAGTCTCAGTGCAACCACTCTTTATGCAGCCTGCACAAGGGGGCTGGTCATTATGTCTACATTTGACTTTCGATCTTCTATTGGCAGTGGTCAGGCGCAGTCCTAGGTCTTAGAAGGGCGGTATTACCTGCATCTACAACCATGTTAGTTCTATACATATGGGTATTAAAGATGCGGTAGTTACCTCTCACACGCAATTGTCGTTCTCATCGTTTCTGTTTCCGATTTCGCGTTTCAATTGATATGAGTCTGGGATGATTCAGGCGGGGCTTCGGGTTTGCTTTTCGTGAGGATGGTTTTCGGGTCTAAAGCCGATTCGGGTTTGGCCCACGAAACCTCAGGCACGTGCCATAGGGATACGCGTATAAATGGAATTGTAGCGAACTTATCTGTAAATGGAGTCATTGTTAGTTACATGTACTTAGTCTCCGCTCTATAGAATTCAACATAGCATATCCCCTTATGATATCCCTATAGACAGGCAAAATCAAGCTTTATTTAATGTGGACCAATTATAGCTCTTGCACCCCGAGCCTACTATTACCAACCTGCTGAAATGGCTCTGCAGCTGTATAACCCCTGGCCTGATATTCAGTATGCCTGATAACATGATGATGCCTTGACCTCGGTCAGATCGACAGGACTACCTCGGAATCCTTCGATAACGAGGGGTCTTTACTCACTGACTCGGTTGACTTCCTGCAGGGGCTTCCCTATGTAAGCGCTTGACTACTTACACTAAAGGGCGTACCGAGCTTATCACCTCAGCGTTTAATCTGGGGTATACAACTCGAGATACTCTCCTCAATGATGAGTTTGATGAGATACTAACACGGGGTCAACCTAAATGTCCTACTAGGCCGTAAGCTCAAGCTTGATATCCACTGATATCCGTGAGATCTATTTCCATTGTGTTACGAAGTATCTCGCTAGCTGCAAGACATGAACAAATCCTGTGTGTGATACTACTCTTAGATCATGTCGCCCTTTTCCATCCTTCCCATCGTTCGAAGTCATCCGTATCGAGGTCAAATAAATCCAACACGCGCCCGACGGTCTGGTCCGTAAGGCCCTCTATACTAGCCGCCTTGATATAATAAGCAGGCACCGGCGGGAAAATGATCGCTCCGCTTTGTGTGACAGATAACATGTTCCGTAAATGGATGTCACTCAAGGGAGTCTCCCTCGCCACGAGTACCAGCTTCCTCCGCTCCTTCAGCATAACGTCTGCAGTCCGAGAGATCAAGTCATCGCAGTATCCGGAGCTAATCGCAGATAATGTCTTCATTGAGCAAGGCACCACGATCATGCCGTCTGTCTTGAAAGAGCCGCTCGACACTGGGGCTGCCATATCGTTGATGCTGTGGGTGTAATCTGCAAGGGCACGCACGTTCTTTGGCGAGTAGTCTGTTTCGTATTTTATGGTTGCCTCGGCCCATTTGCTGATAATGAGGTGGCTCTCGATATTTAGCCGCCGCAGTGCGATGAGTATCTTGATTCCGAGGATTGCGCCAGTGGCACCAGTTATTCCCACTACAATCCTTTTTCGACGCGAATGAGGGTTCAGTGATGTTGATAAGTTGGTGCAAGTGTGTTCGGCAGTGTCGGAAGCTCCTTGAGATCCATTGGTGGGCTTGTCTTTCTGAGATTGATCATTTCCTGCTTCAGGAGCACTGCCATTGGGTGACGTGAACATTGCAGCAAGTTTCGGGGTGGGTAGATCACAATTCACGCGGTTTGCACAAGGAAGATGCAAAAGTATGGCAAGAACTGTTATTGAGAAAACCACTAGGTAGGTGCCTGGAGATTTATATGACTACGTATATCTCTCCCTCGACTATGCATTTGTATAGTGAGTCTCTAGGCAAAGACGAGTGTCTTCAGGCGCTTAACTAATGTAGTTAGTTACTACGGAGCTCATGTTGATCGCCCGAGGCGCCGAGCCTCCGAGATGCCGACATGTCCGCCCTGACTATAGCCAGACCGCGTCATTGGTGTTCAATAAAGTGCACCTGTTGGAGGGATCTCAGTTATAACACTTTAGATTATACGCGTCCCATAAATTCTAACCTCTCATAATAAAGTCTAGGTAGTTCGTGGGAGACGCGTCCATGGTTGGCAACTCCATATTTGTCGCTCCAGGGTCATAAGGAACGCTGGACACCGAGGTCAGCAGTTTTCTTTCGATTCTAACTTGTGGACGTTCTGGTTTACCTCGGATGAAAATCATTGATTGCATACTCAGCGAAAGGGTCCCAAGCATCAATGATACCAGGTATGAACCCAGATTGTCCCACGAGGTCCGCGTTATTCCAGCCCTGCATAGCGTTATAGTCAACTTGCAACCCGGACTCATCAGCAGTAAACGCATCCTTGAGAGTCACCAGTGCGTGGATATGCCTAGGCGACAACCACTGGGTGTTCCCATCCGCAGATGCTGGGTCATTAAATTCCGGAGACGAGAATGCCTCAATCACCTTCTCCCTCAGATACCGACACTCAGGCTTCACCCTCGTCTCTTCCCATATGCACAGAAGTAGCACGGAACTCAATGCCGTGTGCACCATCGACCAGCTCCGCAGTGGCACCGCACTTACTGCCCTGAACTCGAGGAACGTCTTGGTAGCTTCAACGAGGTTATCTTCAGCACGCCTACGGATACGCAGCTGCTGTTCCGGCAGTGCTATTGTCGATGAGCGATTGGCATTTCGAATCTCTGGTCGACACAGAAACGTGATCAAGAAGCACTTGTGCATCTTTAATGCTAGATGCTGGAGGTGTTCCAGACTCGATTTGCATCGATCGGGGTCTTGTAAATAGGGTTTCGTCTTGCGGTGCAGCGAGTCAAGCTGCTCGAGCATATCTATTGTAGCGCTGGCAACATAACATGAATCGTTATTCAGCACTGTCGTGGAAATTGGGCAGATTGCACGCATGAAGCCGTGATATGTAAGTTCCAAGTCTTGGGAGGTCAAATCCTGCTCGGGCGTATTTATCATTGTTAATGGACGCCGTACGTGGCACATACTAAGCAGAGTGTCCTGCCAAATGATGTTTGACCTGTGAATAATAGAAGATCAGAAATGAATACATAATACAATGAGGTCAAGTAAGAGCGGGAAAGCATACCAACAAGTCTTCGCTTGAATCTTGACTATTTCTGGGATGTTCGTCCTACTCCCTCGGGCGTGGTAGTGCAGAGTTTGAGCTAGGCGAGCGGTGGTACCAAGCCACGCCCAAGCTGCATCAGATTGTCCCGTGTTTTGAAGCATGTTACCCAAGACCAACATTGTCTGAACAACTTCCAAGGTTGGGCGGAACAAGAAGTTTGCCAGCCGTAACGCCTGGAAAGACTTTCGCGCTGATAGATAGTTTTGTATCAGCACTCCTTGCACCACGGCTATAATCGCTTGACAACATACCAAGGTCATAACAGACGCGAGATCTCTCAGATCCAGTGAGATCAGAGAAATGTGCGGCAGAGGATAGGACGGCAAGAATCAAGCTGATTAGGCCGATTGCTCTCTCTTTACCCCAATCATCTGAAATAGGTGTAGATTTAAATTCGCCCGCAGTGTAGGCTCGTAAGTAGCCATACATGTCCAACTCGAACTTGTCCATATCAACGAGTAGAGGGTTGAAAGGAAACACGCGCATTTGAAAGATGGGGAACAAGGACAAGATCTCATGGCGATGTGGAAGTATCTTTAGCAGCTCACACCAACGTTCAGTCGGTGATGCAAGGTCCATAAACGGATACGACGTGAGACTGTTTTGCAGCCCTAAAACATACCCTACATCTCGTGCCAGTTCTTCTGCATCAGCCTGCTTCTGAGCCCTTTCTCCAGCGATGGATGTAATTGAATATTCTTGTGACGGGCTCGATCGACGATTGTTCCCCTCAAGATGGATCGGGTGAGGAGCTCTCGATACACCTGGATCACTTTCTAGTCTCGTAGGTGTTCCTGCGTTATGCGAACTTGCTGTGAGTCTAGAAGGCCTAGGAGCTTCGTACACACAGATCTCAGTATGTCCACGTTTCTGGCAGGTTGCGCAAGGCGTCTGGCTATCGCACCGAACCTTGCGACGCTTGCATGGAACACAGGACCTAGACTCATGCCGTTTGCGCCTCTGGCTCAGGACGCGATCAATCTCTGCGCTGCACACATTCGGAGTTTCGGCGGATGCCTGCTGCTGATGAGGTACCGTCGCGTCCATCGTGGTGCTTCCGTCTGCAACGGATGATTGAGATCAGAAAGCGAAAGTGTTCGGGAGGTTTGTTCATCGGTGAACACGTAAGTGGGATAAGGACCGAGGTTCCGAGAGCTCTAGACTAACCAGTTGTTGCTATGTACAGAGGAGATCTTGGAAGTATTGTGGGGTTACTAGCGCTGGTAGTGCTTTGCTTCCTCGCTCTGTCGATTTGCTAACTATTACTGAATCGCGATAGTGTAGTGACTATCTACACTAGTAAGCGACTGGGGCCGATCACGACCGACCCTCCGAGATGCTCGGCGCCTCGATATTCTTGATAGGGATAAACAAGTTTGATGATGTCTGACTTGGATATGTCTGCTTGGATCCCCTCAGGGCATATATAGAGTCATAGTTCTTCCCGAAAGTGATGAATCTGTGCTTCATTGTGCAGTAAAATAAGGAATTGATACAATTACACCTAGAAAAGTCAACAACTCCCATCTCATCATCTACAATGGATCACTCCTTCCGCGCTTTCGTTGAGCAGCTCAAAGCAGACAACGACCTTGTCGAGATCAACGATGAGGTCGATCCTTATCTCGAGGCAGCAGCTATAACGAGGCTGGTGTGCGAGACCAATGATAAAGCTCCGCTCTTCAACAATGTCAAGGGTCACAACGATAAAGGGCTCTGGAGAATCCTTGGTGCGCCTGGGTCTCTTCGACGTTCAAAGGAAGACCGATATGGTCGCCTTGCTCGCCACCTTGCACTTCCTCCAACGGCAAGCATGAAGCAAATCATGGACAAGATGCTTTCTGCGAGTGAGCTGCCACCCATCGCACCACGAATCGTTGCAGATGGACCTACCAAGGAAAATTCTCTGGTTGGAGACGAAATCGACCTTACACGTCTTCCAGCGCCGATGATCCATCAAGAAGACGGAGGAAAATATATCCAGACTTATGGCATGCATGTACTGCAGAGCCCTGATGGGACGTGGACGAATTGGTCCATCTCCCGGGCTATGGTATATGATCGCAACCATTTAACCGGCCAAGTCGTTCAACCACAGCATATTTGGCAAATATTTGAGATGTGGAAGAAAGAGGGGAAGGATGTTCCGTGGGCACTGTGCTTCGGCGTACCCCCAGCTGCCATCATGGCTTCATCGATGCCGATCCCCGATGGCGTCAGCGAGGCAGACTACGTCGGGGCAGTGACCGGCCGTCCATTGGAGCTAGTGAAATGCGACACAAACGACCTATACGTTCCGGCAAACACTGAGATTGTGTTCGAGGGTATCATATCTACTACTGAAGTCGTGGACGAGGGCCCGTACGGTGAAATGCACGGGTATGTATTCCCAGGAGTGAAACGCAAGTACCCACTCTACACAGTGAACAAGATCACCTACCGCAACAACCCGATTCTGCCCATGTCTGTCACGGGACGCCTCACCGATGAGACTCATACCCTGTGCGGAGCCCTCGCAGCCGCCGAGATACGCAAGATATGTCAGAACGCTGGGCTGCCCATCACAGACGCCTTCTGCACGTTCGAATCCATGGTCACCTGGGTAGCGCTCAAGGTTGACACTCTGAAGCTCAGCCACTTAAAGTGGACACCCAAGGACTTTCAGAAAAAGGTTGGAGATGCTGTGTTTCATGAGAAAGCCGGCTTTACTATTCACCGTCTTATCCTTGTTGGTGAGGACATTGACATATACGCCGGCGAAGATGTCATGTGGGCGTTTTCAACCCGCTGTCGGCCTTTTGACGACGAGACATTCTTTCATGATGTGAGAGGGTTCCCGCTGATTCCGTATATGGGACATGGAACGGGATCCCCGGTTCAAGGAGGAAAGGTTGTGTCGGATGCGCTAATGCCTTGTGAATACGCGACTGGAAAGAGTGATTGGCAGACTGCAGATTTCAAGAATTCATATCCGAATGAGGTTAAAGATGGGGTGCGTAGCAAGTGGACGTCCCTTGGATTTTCGAGTTTGGGTTAGGCAGCAGGAATTTAAAAATAACGCCTGATGGTGTATTGTTTGTTATTGGCTTCGCAGACCTCTTCCCCAGTGATACGGCCAATGGTCTTGGAACACCGCCACATTGTCCCATCTGATGCTAAGAATTCCTCGAATCTCCACTGTCAAGGAATTTGAAAGAGACCAAAGGCGTCGGTAGGACGGCATCTCAGCCTTAAAATTCTTGGCGTTCTAATTGGTTTCTTCGTAACTCACGGTTAATCGGCTTACAACAAAACTCTTGAAACGCCAAGACGAAACAAAGAATGGTTCCATCCAAAGTGTAAAGGCCGTCAGGGGTCGCCCCGTCATCTGAAACGCTTTTGGCAGATGGGCCCAGATTGTCGGCTTCCGGCCGGGATCCGAGTTTCATGATTGGCCGTTCTAGCCGCACACTTGTCTTTTACTAAGAGACATGCACTCTGGTGATACTGTCACTCGTATAGATCGGTTAATTCGGATCTCGACTATGAGGAACTTGGAAGTACGGCATCGTTTGCAGAAACTTCAAAACATGTCAAGTCTGATGTTGTCGCTTATGTTTGACTATTGTGGAAAAATACGAGAGAAGCTGCTCCAACGGCATGGCATCTGGGCAAATAAGTATTAGTGTCTATGGAAATAGTCGAGATGAGAGCTATATAACGCTTGGCATGTCTACCATAAATCGTTCTCATCAACCAAGTCAACTCACTTCTATTCTTTATTCACTTGAGCTTTGCTTGACGCAACACCTTCAAGTTTCTCTAATATTACTAGGCTAGTCCTACTCAATCTGCATTAATCATCTCTTTACCTGCTGGTCAGAACTCATTCACCTCTTTGATATCTTTTTATCCTTCAAGATGCATTTCTCCAACGTTATCATCTCTACTCTTGCCGCTCAGGCCCTCGCCCAAGACAACCGTGTCCCACGCGCTCGCCTTGGACAAGTTGCTGTAAGCGACCCTTTACAATATTTCCAGGATCAAGCTAATAGCGCAAGGCCCTGGTGGCTGCTGCCGCTCTTCCAGCCAGAGCCCTCCCCGTCTTTGATGCCGCCCTTGAGACGCGAGATGTAAGTTCCTCAACAATTCTCTACCAATTCATCAATTAACAAGGAAAGCTCCACCATGATGGTGTCAAGGCCAAGCGAGACGATGAAGACGAAGACGAAGACGAGGAGCCCATTCAGGGTCTTGTCGCCCGCCATCACCAAGCAGCCCACGGCAAGGCTGCTGCCAAGGCTACCAATCACCACCACAAGAATGGCAAGCGAGACGAAATCGCTGAGGGGCTTGAGACCCGAGACGTGGATGAAGATGACGAAGAAGACGCTCATGAGCTTACTACCAGGGATGTCGAGGATGACACCGAAGAGGAGGGTGGCGAGCTTGTAGCCCGGGCAAAGAAGGGAAAGAAAGGCAAGAAGGGTAAGAAGGGAAAGAAGGGCAAGAAGGGTAAGAAGGGAAAGAAGGGTGGAAAGAAGGGTAAGAAGGCTGGCAAGAAGACTGGTAACAACGCCAACAAGAATGCCAACGCTGGTACTACCAACGGAGCAGCCAAGACTGGTACCAACACCAACACCAACACTGGTACTAACAACGCCAACACTGGTACTGCCAATGGAGCGGCTAAGACTGGTACCAACACCAACACCAATACTGGAACCAACAACAATGCCAACACCGGTACCACCGCCAACAAGAACACCAACACCAACACTGGTGCTACCAGCGGAACAGCTAAAACTGGTACCAACGCCAATACAAACACCAACAGCAACACCCAAGCCAAGACTGGTACTACCGCTTAAGTGTACATCCGAGACCAGGCAAGGATAGGGCAATAACCACCAGTAGCCTGGGGCTGTTAGTCTTAAGTTACTCCGGATACAAACTGTTACCTAGGAAGCATCCGCAAGGAGAGATTCACCCACCTTACCCCGAGAGCTTGACCTCTATAGTTAGTTAGCGCAGGTAGCTAATACAACACCATTCACTTCGTGTCTAGCTGAGATAAACTAAGCTCAAAACTGTTAATCGATGGCGGCGTAGTCGCTGATTATCGTGAAATATTCTGTCAATTTTTGACGCTCTGTCGTGCTTTAACTTTGGCAGCATGTCTGTGCTCTTCGGTATCATAGCCAAGAAGGGTAGGACAGGAATGATGGGCAACTTTAAAAGCAAGTTCATAAACATCTGCAAGACCCGATTTGAGACCCAGGCCTACCATGGGTGGAAATGAATGCACCGCTTCAAGAGTCTATGCATATTCGTTGACAGATAAAATTTAAAGTTGCGTTCTAAGCCTCTATTGGCATTGCACGTCATGAGACAGCTCTTTCCGTCCGATTAGCGCCCCAACTTTATTTAAACATGGACCAAAGAACCTCTCCGATAATGGACGGATAGCTATTTGGACTATCTATTGGTCTCCGGGCTTAGCGCCGAATATGCATCTGACCCAGTCGTTCCCAAAAGGTCAGGGCTGAGAAATGCCAAGTGCCAGTGGCCTTAGAGCATGAAGGAAGCTGAAATAACTCGTTCAGATACTGACCTGTAATAATCGGGATACTCTTCTGTTTTTAAAAAAGTAAAAAGATCAGTGGCATGAGTTTAAATGCTGTATATGCTTCTTTTGCCAAGTTATTGGTTAGATTCGTATCTGATGGCTTGGGTCACATGTTGAACAACGTCATGAGAATACCTAACATGTATGTGTTAGTATTCTTCAATGAGTTATCTGTAAGAAAGGCTTAAAAAGATTCTCTGTATATAAGTTTCACTTAATTCCTCTATTGAAGACCCAGTGCCTTCTCTATCTGCTACATCTCCCAAGACTTCAGCTATTACAGTCCAACGCTTTTAAATCACGATTCACACTCTACTACGGCCCTACAGTACAAGTCAGTTGACCTTGCATAGCCTTCAAAAGAGTCAAAAGCAGCTAACTCCTACAGGCCTTGACTTTATAGTCCACAATACTCCAAGTGCCCAGATCATCATGAATGCATTCTCGTATCGGAAGTGCGTTGGCCTCCTTGCCATTCTGAGTCTTGTCCAAGCTCAAGAGCCGCTTTACTCTCAGGAGATATTTTATCTCGAATGCGGAGGTCCTAACGTGACAATTCCCTACTGTCTCCAATGCGATGGATGTAGGATGGAATGCGGTGGCCCTAATGTGGTAGTTCCGTGGTGTCTTCCATGTCAGGATGAGTGCGTTTGGCCCCCAGGGGGACCAGGAACCGTTCCGCGAAAGCATCTAGGAGAGGATGGAAAACCATTCATCGTGGGCCAGTGGCAACTCGACACTGCTCTAATTGAGTCTACGGATAAGGAGATGGTTTGGGCAGGCGAGGTCAAATGGAATGTGGCCCCGAAGAAGGAGATGGAGAACTCGGCCGCCTTGTGCTGGGGAGTCAAAGCCGAGGATGGTAGTGGCAAGTTGACATATCAATGTGTGAATGCAGGACTGTAATGAAGGTCGGCGGAACTGTAGCTAAGATATGTAGCAAGTGGAAGAATGAGACTGTATGTCTATTTCCTATGCCAATTATTGTCGGAATCACTGATGTTATCAACCTGGCAAGAGATGTTATAGTGACTGTAAGTCTGGACTGCGTCAAAGCAAGAAGCGACGCTCTTTTCTGAATATCCACGAGCTACTCATTAGATAATTTTTCACCAAGGTATTCCTCAAAATCCGGCTCTGGACCCTGCTCAGGTGTATGATGGAGAACACCCTTACCAGAAGTTCATATGGAAGCTGTCCCAAGACTTCACTAAAGAGATTTGTGAGAAAATTGACCCATTATGCATGATCCGCGTCTAAGTCAAACTGGCGACACATCTCGTGTGATCTGAGAAGGAGCGCATGATCTTTGGGCGCGCTCCGAATCTTTCTGGCGGCTTCCAATGATGGGAGAGTGAAATAACCAGTTTCGATACTTTGACGTCCAGCCGAAACAACCTCGGGTTCAGCTCACGTCCCACAAGGGATGCGCGTATACGTTGAGTAAACTACGTCTACGGAGTAGACATCGTGATATTTTCCTTAATTCTTCAGGTATAGGATCTAATGGTCCGAAGACTCGGGTGCGATCTTATATCCACTTATCAGATCCAGTTCTATGCGCGGATTCGGATGAACCTTGCTTGACCCAGATTAAGGATGAACCAAGCGCTGGAACGTGAAACAGACCATCAGCTGCACCACCAAAAGAGTAGAGTAGACTGAAGCTAACGGCGAATTCCGTGTCGCTTTGCTATCTGATCATGGCCTGAAACGAAGGATGTTTTGACGGAGATGAACTGCAAAAACACGAGCTCTTATATGAGCGCCTAGAGTAACTCACATAACTTTATGCCCGTTAAAAATATTACGGTAACGAAGTTCAAAGGAGCAAGGTCGAGTCAGCTTGGATGTAAGTAAAAGCCGACAGACAGTATCTTTTAAGCATAAAATAGTTGAACTCAAAAGCTGCTACAGTGTCTTCTCAAAGCTTATTTTAAGGTTCGCCGACGACAATCCCAAAGATCTGGTCAACGACAAGGGACAACTACACGGGTGTCTACAAGATGCCGAAAACTGCCCTATTGGGCATGATGACATGCCATGCCGGGGAGTTGGACCATATGGAGATTGATGAGCTGGAAGAGCACAGACACAAAAGCCTTATCCTTGAACAGCCCGAGAATTATGGATCAGTTTATCACGATGGAGAAGCTATTGTTTCCGTCTTATTATCCCGCCAATCAGGCTCTTTCACCATCTCGTAATAGGATATGATTCGACTCAAGAGATCGATCGTATATAAATTAAGCTTAGAACGTGTAATTCGAAGGCTCAGCAAGCATCTCTGGTAGACGTTCGTTTTCTGTTCATTCGTTTCTTTCCAACCCAACACTCGTTAACTAACTCACATTCTCTCTTTCAACCATTATGCGTTTCTCTTCCGCTGCCGGCCTCATGGCCCTCGCTACGTCGACCGTAGCCCATTCCAACTCCGCCACCTCGGATCTTGACAGCTCCGTCTGGAAGGCCCTCACACCTCTCAAATCCCGCTCATGGACCTCCATCCCCCGAAACCGTCCCGCCAAGCGCCAATCCGGCTGGAACCCTCCCTCCGACCTCGCCACGCCCCTCAAAGAAGTCTGGGATCACGAGGTCAAGACCTACAGCGATGCGCTCGGCTTCAAGAACTACGGCTGGGATCAAGTCATCGCTGGAAAAGGCAAGCTTAATGTCTGCGTTCGCTGGGAATCTAGCGCTTCTGTGACTGCTGAGCAGCGCACCAAGGTTGCTGCTGCTCTTCAGGACTCATATAGTGCTTGGATGAAGTGGGTTTCTGGCTACGACAACTTTCCCTATGAGGAGGTTAAGATCAATGTCGTTGGATGGGCTGTCAAGAACAAGAGTCTTCTGCAGGGTTCTACTGAGGGTCTTGATATCTACACCGACACCGACGCCGAGGGCATTCCTCAGTGCTCCGAGAAGTGCGGCCGTTTCTTCCACCAGGACGGCGATTATAGCAGTTGCCCTGGAGGCGCTGAGCGACACTACGATAACTCCCTCTGGCTAACGGATGGTATGCAGGGCGGAGCCGGTGGTGATTGGGGGCAGCGCATTGGACGGGAGTACTTTATGGATCTCCTGGGTCAAAAGGACATTCACATTCTGGAGCACGAAATTGGCCATACCTTTGCCCTTGACGATTTCTACGACTGGACTCCCACTGGCCAGACCAACTTCATCATGCTTGCTGGTTCATCCACCAAGGTCACTGACTTTGACGGCTGGATGTTGCGAAACTGGTGGTACGAGCTCTCTCGGGAGCGTGGCTGGCAATCTACTGCTTCTAGCTCTGCCTCCAAGGGTACTTCATCTGAGAAGGCTGTTACTCCTGTCTCGTCCAAGGCTGCTAGCACCAAGACCGCTGCTGCTAAACCTACCACTACCATTGTCAAGCAGGCTGCTACCCAGACTGCCGCCAAACCCGTCAAGGAGAACGCCTCTAGCGCTACTGCTGATGCCTACGCTCAGTGCGGTGGTGGTGCCGGTTACACTGGTCCTACTAAGTGCGCCTCTGGTCTGAAGTGCACCAAGCACAGTGAGTGGTACTCTCAGTGCCTCTAAGCTCTCTGATGCGAGAACAATCTGAGCTTGGCGCTTGGAACTTATTTGTATATACTTAGTCATTGGAAAGGAATACCTGAGTATTATAAGACATACTTTACTACATATCGATCTGACTCCCACTACTGATCGGCGGATAAACTCGCGACGAGATTGCTTATTCTTTGGGACCGGTATCAAATGTCAGAACTTTAGCCCCGTAAAAGCTCTTCTAGGATCCTTGCATGATGCGCTGATCCCTTGTTTCAATCGCTTCGACGCCACTCTTCTCCGAGAACCGGACATCCTCTTCATGGACAATCTTCACATCACCAAAGATCTCATCAATCTCTTCCAGTGATTTGCCTGAAATTTGTTAGTTGGCGAATTCAAGTCTGAAGCTCTGACTTACCTCGTGTCTCGGGATATACAAAGAAGAAGACAACAGCACAAAGCGCGTTGGTGAGGACGAACAGGATCTAGAAAACTGTTAGATCATGAAATTTCAGATTTATTTAGGATCCACTGACATAGTACTTCCAGCCAACGGCTGCTAAAGCGATAGGCGAGCATTGCGTGATGATCAGACTGATGGAGTAGTGAGCCACCTGCACAATGGCGTTTGCCTTGGCCCGTAGTTCAGTAGTAAAAACCTCAGGCCTACTCACGGTCAGTAAAAACGTCAATATCCCCAGGAATTGGAGACTTACGGGATGATCCAAGTCATTGGCCCAAGAAGAGCAGAGTAATTCGCCGAAACAGCAAAAATACACGCAATCAAACCCCTCTGCGCCGCAGCATTGGTCGGCATACCAGGAATAGCAGGGAATTCAGCAGCCAGGATCGTAATGATTAAATAGCACAGCGACAATAGCGACGAACTGATGACGAGAATCTTCTTTCTTCCGATCTTGTCGACAAAGAACAAGGACAGGAAGCAGGCAACTGGACCAACAGAGCCGTAGAGGCCACTGACGAGAAGTTGGCGATCCTCGCTGAACTGTAGTGTTGCGTAGATAGCGGTCTGGTAATACTGCACGAAGGAAATGCCAGATAGCATAGCAGCTGCCCAGACAAACGTACCGACGAAGAGACGTTTTCGGAACGCAGGGGTCTTGGCTAGTTGGGTCCATGATAGCTTCCCTTGAGCTTGCAGCTCCTCGGAGATGTTGACCTGAATGACGGTGAACTCAGTGCGACACCAATCATCATTCGTTCCATCGTAGTGATAAGCGCGGAATGCCTTCTCAGCTTCATCATGCCGCCCTTTGAGACAAAGCCAACGAGGAGATTCACTGAGAAACAAAACACCAACACCAAGAATGAGAGCGGGAATACTTTGAATCGCAAACCCAAGACGCCATTGATTCGCGTTATGCCACTTCCCCTCCGCGACACCGATCCACAGCGCGACGAAGAATCCCCAAGCTGTCATCATCTGATTCACAGCCGTGACTTTCGCACGCTCATGTGTCTTTGCAATTTCTGCTCCAAACACGGGTGATACTCCTGTGATGGTACCAACGGCAAAACCGACGAGGAGTCGTCCTATGATGAGCATCGCAACGTGAGCGGCGCCAGCCATGACTGTACCGCCGATGACGCCCCAGATGCAGCCGAAAGCAATGGCTTTGCGACGACCGAGTTTATCACTGGTGATGCCGACTGAAGCACTGCCTAGCCATGCTCCGGCTTGGTACATGGAGACAATAGCGCCTCGAAGGGGAGGATCTGGTTTGCCGAAGTACGTGAGGAATGAGCTCAGTGCCAAGCTGGGTGTGATGATGCCCGAGTCACTGAATTCATTAGCATGGTCACAATGGGCATGAAGCGTTTGACTTACAATCCATAGAGAAAACCTCCTATTCCAAGGAATATAGAAGTCAAAAAGGGCTTGCTAAGCCAAGCGTCACTCTTCATTTTTGCAGCTGTTCAGAATTACTCAGAGATAGTAATGATCAATGAATATCCTCTGCACATTCATCCAAAAGCGATGCAATGCAACCTCTTTATCTAAACACGGGGTAAAATTAACCGAAAAATAGGGATGTCGGAGTGTCCCACCAATCTAGCGGCCACAACAAAACCCAGCAAATCTAACCGAAGTGACAAAAAGTCTCACGCAAACCCAGCAATAACTTCCTTAACCCGCAGATCATTCTATTTTGACATATCATCCCAATATCAGCAGTTTTTTCGCTCCCCCACAATCTCTAGCTCAGTGGATCCCTCCCGGGTTTAAAACATCTCGGCATAACCGGTTGTAGTTTAGAACGCGGGGTTGGGGAACAACATGACATGTCGCCTCAGAAGTCAGAGTCATTAGGGCATCCTTTAATGCCTTTAGTCTGAGTCGTCGACGCGGGGGTGGCTTACCCAGTCTTTTGGGTTCGGCAGTTGAGGGTGGCAGTTGATGTTGTTTCGGTTGTATGTATGCGTGCGAGCGTGTTTTCGGCTTCTTTTATTACCGGATGATAGCCGACTGACAAGTGACATACATTCCGCTTCCAAACACAAATCTCACCTTTGCCAAAGCTGTGTCTCTCAATCCTGGCTCCGTGAGATTCACTCTGAGGATAGAAAAGATGGTGGTCAAACTCATTCTCTACGCTGCCGTTGCGTTGTGCCTGGCATATCTCGCCCTCATATTCCCAAGGGTAAGCATAATCCACCAATGACAACCGTCCCTTTACCAATACTCACAACTTCAGCTACAACAAGAATGGAAGCTCTACTCCCACCGCTCCCAACTCCCCCCAGGCCCCAAAACCATCAGAACCGGTATCCGCAAACCATGGCTCTGGTTCCAAGAACTCAGCCAACAATACGGCGACGTGGTGTATCTCCAACTCGGCCCAACACCAACCATAATCCTCGGCTCCGCGCAAGCAGCCTGGGATCTTCTCGAAAAGCGCGGCGCCGTGTTCTCCTCACGCCCACGGTTCATCATGGGCGGTGAACTACTCTCTGGTGGCATGAGAGGTCTTATGGCGCCGTATGCTTCGTATTGGAGACGGTGGAGAAAGTTGCTGCATAGTGGGTTTATGCAGAGGCAGAGTGAGACGTACAGACCGATTCAGAGCCTTGAGTCCAAGGTTTTGATGTTTGATCTTTTGAAGAGGCCTGCTGATTTCAGGATGCATTTGGAGAGGTATGCGGCTTCGGTTATCGTTACGGTTACGTATGGACGGAGGGTTGAGGATGTGAGGAGTGATATTGTGGTGAGGCGCAATGCTGAGGCTATGGAGCGTCTGACCATGGTCAAGTAAGTTTACGACCACTCTAAACATGGTCCAAAGCTGACAAGTTTTAGTATTCCCGGAAAGTATGCTGTTGAGCGTTATCCTGCATTGAAGTATCTCCCTAGCTTCCTGGCCCCATGGAAGAAGGAAGTTCTTCAGCAGCGTCAGAAAGATATCCAACTCTATACCGAGCTTATGGACGAGGTTCGCGAAAAGGTTGCCAAAGGTACTGCCCCAACCTGCTTCGCGAAACATCTTCTTGAAGAGCAAGAGAGCTTAGGTATGAGTGATCTTGAAATTGCTTATACGGCTGGATCACCCTTCGGAGCCGGCGTTGAGACGGTAAGTTCGCCTTTTCGTGACGGAGGATAGGTGGCTGAAATTGACAGTCCGCGGGCTCACTCGCAAGCTTCCTTCTCGCCTGCGTCAAGTTCGGACCTCAATTCATCCCAAAGGCTCAAGAGGAACTGGACAGGGTAGTTGGAAGTGATAGACTGCCCACGTTTGATGATCTGCCCAAGCTGGAATACGTGAGAGCTATCGCATCCGAGACTCTCCGATGGAGACCTGTTGCTGTGCTTGGAGGTACACCTCATGCTAGCACTGCAGATCACGTCTACAAGGGCATGTTCATTCCCAAGGGTAGCACCATCATCGCACCACTTTGGACCTGTAAGTATCACATTCTCTAATTTTTTGACAATGGCTGATATGGTTAGTGCATTTGAATGAAGCCGACTTCCCTGAGCCTCATGAGTTTCGACCTGAGCGCTTCATGGAGAAACGAGAGTATCCCGGCACGCTTGGCCATAGCGCTTTTGGCTGGGGTCGACGAATCTGCCCAGGCATGCATCTTGGAGCGGCATCGGTGACGCTTAACATTGCACGTATATTATGGGGCTTCGAAGTCAATCCTGAGCAGGATGAGAAGGGGCGAGATGTTGATGTTGATATGTAAGTTGCAGAACTGATCACATGAAGAGCGCAATGTGCTAATATTGTGTAGCTTCGCTTACTCGGAGGGTTTCAATTCGAGCCCGCTGCCGTTCCCTTGCTCAATTACACCTCGGTCGGTAAAGCATGCTCAGGTAATTGAGACTGAACATGGCAATGCTCTGGAAGACTTGATGGAGTATACCGCCGTAACTAGTAAGATATCCTGATACGATGACATGAGAAAAAAGGGAAAGAATAAATAGCAAGAAATAAGAAACGATTGTGGTGAAATTTCGTTATTGCTTCCCATAATATCTCTCTTATAAGACTGGTGAACTGAATCATTCACTAACCTGAATGAGCTTCTTCAGAGACTCAACTGCCGCAACAGTATACTCATTCATATCCGTATTCTCCCCCTCAAGCCCATCAAACACCTCCACAGACAACCAACTCCTAAACCCCGTGTTCAACACAGCATGCAGCATATCCTGAACAGGCAAATACCCCCCATCACATGGCAACGGCCTATAATCATGACTCCACCTCGCTCTAGGCCTACTCCCCTCCTCATCCTTCTTATCCTCAATAGGAGGATCCATCTTGTACGCATCTGAGATCTGCAACAAATAAATCTTATCCGCTGGAACAGTAGCAGCTAGTTCTCCAAGACTTTTATGCCAGCGAATTTTGCGCTCCTCTTCACTGTTTGCTTTGGTGAGACCGTCTTTGGTGGTGGGATCGCCCCATTCGAGACCGGCGGTTTGGAAGGTGTCGAGACATAGACCAATGTTGGGCCTGTTGGCCTTTTGGACGATTTGCCAGACTGTTTTCCATGTTGGGGCGTGGGTGGCCCAGCACCAGTTTTCGTAGGCGATGCTGAAGCCTTTTTCGGCGAGAAGATCTGCTAATTCTGCGAGATCGGAGGCCAAGTCGTCGAATGAAGATGAAATTCCCTCAGAGTCGGATGATCCAACCTATGGCTGTTAGTGACCGGAAGAGTAGGTGAACTGGCTAAGCTTACCTGTAATAAAGTGATACCAGCAGCTTCCATGACCTTGACCCATCCTCGTGCCTTATCGAACGCCTTTTTTCTCTGCTCATCATGTTTGCCCTTCTTCCAGCCCTCAAAATTCGCAAAAGGCTGAAGCATCATGATCTTCAGACCTAACTCATCCGTCAACGACTTGATCTTCTTCGCGACATCGGCAAGGGTATCATAGTCGTCCTCTTTTGGTTGAGATCCGCTCAGGAGCTTTCCATAATCAATGATATCAGGCATAGAAAGTTCAATTCCATCGAAACCGGCTCTTCGAATAGCGCCAAGCTTATCGGGAAGGCTTGCCTTGATCTTCATTGGGATGCTGCATGATGCGAACGAGATGGGGATCTGAGCCCCTTGGTATTGGATCACCATATTGAGCGTATTTAGCTGGTGAATATAGCTGACAAGTGGGATGTTGTCTTGTTTAGGTTGAGATTGAATTCTCGATTGAAGTCATGCTTAAAAGGCTTCTGACGATGGTTGACGTCATCTCAATCGTCATCATGACTTGGATTTCAGTGGGCTTTAATGATGTAGGATGAAGTTGAAATATTCCTAAGCTACCTAATATCACACATAAAGCTCCTATAGAGAATATTCTTCAACAAGTGGCTAGCACATATCGCTATACTCCTGGACGAGGTTTGCATATTATTTGAGTCCTGCAGCATGGAACGGGGATCAGCCTATGGAAGCTCTAGAAATATCCATTGTTGTATTCTACGAAACCCTGAAATATGTGGTATTAGGACCTATAGCGCGTAGGGCGCTGTAAATTAATTTTTTACCGCAAGGAAGCGCAACCAGGCTGTTTTTGTCCTAATACGCGAGTCGATGACATCCAATCCAATGGGCTCAGATGAGAACAGCCGCGTCGAGGCGCAAGCTATACCCACTACCCTTAGGCAGGATACGTAAGAAATGAGTGACCCAAGGGAAAAGGACACGATTGCTTCAGACATCTGCCGACAAAAACTTTACTTCCCTGCGCTTATCGTCAACTCAGGCCAATCATCGCGGTGCCTTGCCGGTACAGTATCAGCACTAATGAACCTCATCTCGGGACGTTCGGGGGCTGACATCAATGCGCGGGCTAGTCAAGGTATTTAAAGTAAACCGCTCTTCTCTTATTTACAATTTCACACGTATCTTCTCTGTTCAAAGTTTTATAATCTGGTTAACACGACAAACGTCCTCATCATGTTGCCAAACAAGCCATTTCTCGATTATGTATATTTATTTATAGTAGCTCTCCATCTGTTCGCTATGCTAGGTGAGTCTAATCATGCCGTCACGAGAAAACTTACTCACGACTGGACCAGGGATCGATTTCGTTCCATTCTATCCACAGTCTTTAGTACAACCTCGTGGCTCGCCGTTCCACTTTCTCGTCGAATTTCGTCGGTGGTACATCACAACGTTCTCAGATCCTTATTACCACATTGATATTCCTGGGCATTTCTTCGAGTTCCTAGTCTATGTCGAGCTTGTTGTGCAGTTCCCTCTGGCAATCTATCTCACTCACGCACTGTCATCCAAACAGCGCATGTCTGGTTCCGCGGAGCTTGCAGGCGTCGTCTACGGTGCAGTTGTTGGCCTTTGCACCGCTATAGTTTTCAACGATATGTGGTATCTGGGCCCAGAGGTTATCACTCCTGAGGCCAAGCAGACTCTCCTTGGGACATATGTGCCATATGCTGTGATTCGTAAGTTTCATCATGAGAACATTGTCGGGTAATTGCTAATATGTGAGCTAGCGACGTTGATGTCATTGGACATGCAGAAGCGGCTGCTAGCCAGGCTTCATAGATCGTCTGGGATCAAAGAGGAGTAGTATCCCTTACATGTAATTGCAAAGGAAGGATTTAAAAACAGTCAACAAGAGGTCTAGACTATCGCTAGTATAAGTCAATTTGTACCATACTCAGAGGCAGAAACCTCCATGCCTCTCTATTCTTGAGCTCTTGCTACTAGGGATCTAGATTATAGAACCATCGTCCACGTTACTGCTGTACTCCGTAGCAATGTCAACACACCCAGCGGCAGGTGTTCCTTGTCTACAAGACGCAAACCTCCATAATCACGACGCAATACATCCCGATACATCTGCAACGCCCACCGAACTTCTTTCGTCTTGCTGCCTGAATTGTTCAGATTGGCGCCTAGCTCGTGGTTCATCGTCCGCGAAACATCAGAGTCCAAAGCCGGGCTAATGTCAACCGGTACAGTTTTCAACGACACGTAAGCCTCCAACAAGGCACTGCTCGTTAGTTCCCTGTGCTTGGCATATTCTTCAAAGCTGAAGAAAGTCTCCAGTTCCTCAGTCGAAAGCAGGTCCTTCAAAGTTTCAGAGCTGACAGTTCCTGTACTCCCTTCAGCTTTCACTGCTTCATTGATGCGGCTATCGACACTGGCCAGAGCATCAAAATTCTTTTTGTATCGCTTATATCTTTCTTTTTCAGCATCAAAGAATTGTTGGATGATTGAAGCTGGAGACTTCTTTGCAATGCTTTCCCGGATCATGAGGATAGGCAAGAAGGGATTCCGTAGACCAAGTCCTCCCAGGCGTTCAGGCAAATGGACGAATGCATCGGGGACATCTACCCCAAAGCGATCCTTTATCATGTGCTTGATTTGACTGACAGCTCCATGGCTGATTTCTGATGAATCTAGAGACACGGGAAATAAGAACTTCTGCATCATCTGATAAGTCTCGAGGATGCTGTCAACGTGATGCAGACCAAAGCAGTGTGCTGGTTCGCCAAAGGTGTGACTGAAGAACCGTCCCATGCAGCTGTTCCATGTCTGCACCCACTCCAGCACACTTATGCATCCATCCAACTGCTTCTTCAGCTGCTTCATATGCCCTTCTACCTCCGCACGGTCAATTTCCCAGATCCCAGACTTACGGTCGAGAGATAGATGCCCAACTCGGACTGGACCCTTAGGTAAAGCACTCGCAACGTCGGCATCTCGCTTCTTGCCCGCATCTGTTATGTACACAGAGCCGGTTTTACCCTTATTGAAGGTGAGGCCGAGGATCTTGGCATACTTGTTCATAGCAGCCCAAGCCCGCTTGCAGTGCATTGGTTCCCCACATAGCCATAGGTCATCGTGGAGTCGATAAAGTAGCATTCCGTCTTGTTGGTTCACCACAACATCCATGACGAAGAGAACAAGCTCGCCAAGGAGCTTCTCTGGCGCGTGAGCCATCGGGACCCCACGACGGCGCACCCTTGGACTGCCCCTCAACGGCGCGTCGGGGGAGGACTGCACGTTGAGAGGCGCTTGGAGAACCTTCTTAAAGAATGCAATGGCACCCTCAGTATATCCAAAGAATCTCATGGTGGCAAAGATAGTTGTATGCGACAAGCCCGTGGCGAACCACTCCAGATCGGTCTGTATCAACGACACTTCGCCCTTCAAAGTTTTCTGTACAGTGGCCTCTGTAGCGAGCGTTCGCAGTATGCTCTGCTTAATGTTGGGCTTCTGGGAGGTATCTTGCTCCTCTGTGGGATCGGAATAGCCACCAGCCCCAATCGTCTCAACATCCTCCGGCAGCTGTGACATGAAAAACTCATTAACGTACTGTCTCCTCCTCTCGTTCGAGAGATTTGAGGTAGTAGTTGCTCCGCCAGCCAAGTAATACATGCGGCGCTGCTTCCCATCAAGGTTAGGTTCTGGCCCAGTGTTCCATCTCCAGAAGTTATTCTCCCAGATAAAGCTGTGGAGAGCCTGTTTGAGGTCAACGCAACACTTGATCCCGATGTAGTGGATGAGAATTGCTTGCAAGACATCCTCGTCCATCCATATTCTGTATTTGCCGTTCAACTGCTGTCGAGGAAGAACAGGGACTAGGGCAATCGAGTTAGTTTTTCCGCATAGAGAACAATTTTGGAGTACTTACTGCCTTGTTCGCCAGCATCCCATTCCCAGCTGTCAATATTGGAGAAACGCATATTGAGGACATCAGCGATCTCACCCAAAACAACCGGTTTCTCAAGAAAGTCTCGGAGAATGGCCTGTTTCTGGTCGCTCAGCAAGTCCTCAGCGAGTAGCCCATTGATACACCACGTAAGTGTCGTAGAATCAAACGGCGCTTTCTCGCCAAAGATTTCATTGCAAGAACCGCCGATTGTCTCTCTCAGAGCCTTGAGTGACTTGACACCCTCTTCACTCTGTTCACCTCGAAACAGCTCATTGAGGTAGAGGTCAATCTCAACTTCATCAGTCTCCAGCGGCTCAAAAACTACTCGCTCAAACTTGTCGCACAGGTCCTGCAGCCTCTCTTTTTGTTGATCCAAAACCTCGTAAGATTCTTCCTCCGAGGCTGGACGGTCACTGAGAGAGGCAGTCATCCATTCCGTGATGAGCCGAGCGTAGAGGTGGCCCAGTGCTAGTTTCCGACTTGGGACTTCTAGATGCGACCGGAGTAGTTCTTCATGGGCCTGCATGAACTCGCTTGGGACAGAGACATCGTATTTTGACTGGCTGAGCCAGTGCTTGATGTTCTTGACAGCAGGGCTTCTGAAAGCTTCAGCGTTGAGATTCTCAACTCCCTCTAGGAGGAGGTTGATTCTCGTAGTTCTATCATCTTCTTGATTGGCCTGCTCCAGGACCTTATCCTTTCGCGATTCGTAAATAGTGCGCTGCTTCTCAAGTTCACCAATCTTGGTGTGGGTGATCCCTCCAAGGGTTTGCGAAAGGGCGAAAGAGGACGATGCCATATTTGATAAGTGCTGATGAAAAGCGTTCACTTGTAGGATAATCAGTTCAACTTGGGAAAAGTCCAGGTAACAAAGAGAAAGACAAGAAATGCTTCTCGTAGGTTCTACGGTTGTTTGCCAGAACAGAAAGCGGTGTGAAGCTGGATCAGGCAACAGCGCTAAGCAAAGGCAATTGGTCGGGTCGTACGTCTTGAGGTGGAGTGAAACACATGCACGGAGACCTATCACCTGTTTGCCAATATACGTGAAACTGTTGCCTATTCACGACCAACATACAGTGCCGTAGAGTCCAGAGCCTTCATCTGACACGGTGTTGAAAATTAGGTCCAGGAGTAAAAATATGTATAAATTTAAAGGGAAAGTAAGTAGTAATTGAATATTAAGGGATACAAAGCAGCCTGAATCCTACCTAGATTAGGTCTATATCACATATAATGCTATCCGTAAGCCATCTTTCAGTTCTGAAAATGCGCTCTTTTGATTCCACATCTCCTGCCTTGTCTGTAACCACATTCAAGCAATGCATACCGCTTGCAGTGCCTTTTCTAAGGATGGCATGGCCCACTCGCTCATACTTGTTTGTTCCAACCTTTGAAAGCAAAAGGACAAATACGTCCGTATCCCCGTTAGGACTTCTAATCCACCCGCTGAGAATACCGAACAGTTGCAATGGCTCTTTCTGCCACAATGCCATCTTTGCCTCATCCACTTGCGGAATGAACTCTGCAGGAGCTGTCATATGCACATCTCCATATTCCTCGTGTTGGTCCATAGGCCAGACGAAGAGCTCACGCTCTTCGGCAAACCATGAGCGTGGCCGAAGTATCTTTGTCATTAATTTGAGCACCCTTCCCCTTAGGCGTAGAGTCTTTGAAAGATTCCCTACTTTGCCAGGCTTAAAGTTATGGCGGTAGGCGTAGTCAAAGTCTTTGAAAGAACCATCCTGATAGCCAATTGACGCTGTAACACCAAGCTGTTCGAAACCCTTGCGATTGATGAAGCTTTCGAATTTGATCTCATGTGCCCAAGCTGTCCAAGACCACGTCGGAAAGTCCTGACGCCGACGCGCTGGACGCCATGGTGAACATAAGGTCCATAAAAGTGATTGGAGAAAGCTTCTTTGCAGTCTCTGAGAATCGCTTGTGGACGAGTGTTCGTCGGCATCCTGAGGTTGTAGTGTCATAGGAATGCCCCAGAAATGAAAGAAAGGAAGTCCTGGCTCTGTCTGAAGCCGAATAAGCCCTAAACTTGCATTTAGAGCATCAGAATCGTATGTAAGTTGGCGATAAGTATAATTCCGGATGTGGTGCCACTTTGCTTCCATTCCGACCTTGTGATCGACATTGAAAATGTTGTACTCCCTCAGAGGCCACATATAATCAACATTCTCACGGCAACTCATTTGCTGGCATTCAAAGAATACCTGCTGATCAGTAAAGATCAATCGTCTTCGGGAACATATGGCCTCTTGGTAGGTCCAACCCCGGCTAGCCCATTTTGACCTAAGAACAATTCTAGTTGGCCAATCCAGCGTCGAGATGAGTGTATTGTTGCCAATGCGAGCATAAGCCTGAGGTACTCGTGCAGTTGATCCCATGCCAGGGAGGCCGTACTCGGGTCCTTCTCCTGGAGCAGCAATGATGGTAACCTCAGCATTGCGGTAGACTTTGTCCATCTGCCGTATTTGCTCGTCCCTGTTCTCAGAGTCGCTTTCCTCCTGCGGAATACAGTAGCGATCTATCCATAAATATTGAAATCCCAGACTTGCCGTTATCGTCATAGCATCCAAAATGGTACAAGGGAGGTCGTTTGGGAGAGCGTTAGGATCCTCTTGCTCTTGGGTAGACTTGTTTGTACCCATTTTTGTCGGAGGTTCTGGCGTAGTAAGAGCTGGTGGGTTTTGCGTTGGTTGCCCCCAGACATAGCTCAATGCAACGTAGCGAGTGTCCCTTTCTGCAACCTTTAATTTCTTCGTACCCACATCAATGACCCGCAAGCCGCGGATTTGGTCATACGAGCCCCGACCACATAAAGGCTCATGGCCGTTCAAGCAGGTTGACAGCCAGCCATTCACAGTATCTAAGTCGACATGCTGGGGGTCAAGGAGTTTGATAGGCTGAGTTGAGTCAGACTGTACAGAGAGAAAAGTGGGTAAATCATATTCGCGACAGGAGTCACTATCTATAGCAAGCAAGACACTTGACTTTGCGACAGACCCGACCGTCCTTGTGATTAGGGATGAGAATGGACCGAGAAGGCGGACCTTGACAGATTCCCACACTGCGCCATGGCAGATTCGAGGATCAGCGGCCTTGAATGCTTGGCACATGGTTGCCCATATGTCATTTGGAACTCCATCAAGACTTAAGATGCTTGAAGGCGAATCATCTTGCCATACCATTTGTTTCCGCTCCGGGAAAAGCCTTTTCGGAATAGTTTCTGAAAAGTCGCTGAAATCAATTCCACTACGACGCTGACATAAATTAGCGGCACTAGTGTCGGCTTCACAAGTGAGGGCTTTGGGAGGCATCTTGGTGGTATTTCAGAATGCCATTAAAGGACAGAGACCGATGATAAGACTTAATATAAAGCAATGCCACGGTATATACCAAGTAAGAATAACGAAATAGCTAAAAGGAGGATATAAATCAACTGGTTCCTTATATGATAAGTAACTACTCCGTAGAATAAATGCAAAAAGCCAAATCTAAGTATCCAAGGGTGGCCTCATTTCCCACCTTAGTATTATTACGTGGACCAATCAATAGGCCAAATCGCTTATTTGTCCTGCAATGTGGCTGGCTGAATATGCAACTTAGTCGATTATTTGCCGCGGTTACCGAGCAGGTCACCGAGATGCTAAATTGAAACCGGAAGTTCAATTGGCTGCCATCGTTACCACTCGTGACGCAAGGGACTTTGGTCTTTTGCGAGCAACACCTTTAGCTGACAGGGTGTGAAATATTGGGTTAAAAGATATAAGTGTGCACATATGGAGGAAAACAAGTGACGGCCAAATATTGAGGGGAAATAGATGGCCCCTTGATTGATATTCTAGTTGAGAACGTACTCTAGCATCTTCTCGAGAGCAAAGCAATCACCTTCCATTGTCCCGACAAGGGTCCTAGGCACCCATCCCTCCGTGTAACCACCACCAAAATCAATAAGCCAAGCATCCTTATTTACATCAATGAGGATGTTATCCGGTTTGGCATCTCCCCAAGTAATTCCAGCATCATGCAGTTGTCCAATAGCCTCCTGAATTTGTGCAGCCCATCTCTGCCTCAATGAAACTTCAGTTCCCGGTAGCACTGCACACGAAAGTGTCATACGCTTACAGTCAATATATGTAAGTAAAAGACCAAGTATTACACCTTCATTGTTCCGCACTAGGCCGTGGAGGCGTGAAATCTTCACTTTGTTGTCAAGTTGTGCTCTTTCGATCTTCCCATATGTATTTAGCTCATTTTTCAGAGACTGCGTATCGCCGCGGCGGGCGAGCTTAAGAAATGTAATTATCCCGTCGCGCAAAAGAACTTTGCTCGGCGTATGAGAAGGCGGACCGATCACTTTCTCAGGAAGAATCTGTACCTCAGAAGGATCAAAGGACTTCCATGGTGCACAGAGTTCATCAGGAACGGAAATGCCGAATGAAGATTGGTGTTCGGCGTCTCTGTCTAGCTGCGGTATACGCTCATCTGAAATCGCTTGGAAGGTATAGACGAAAGTTTCGGGGTTGAAAAAGCCGTCCAGGGTCCGTGGTGCTGCCTGGTCTGGAGTGGGCAATTCCAGGAAAATAGGGAGCAGAGGGTCGACAATCCAATCCCAGAAGTCCTCGACAGCCACACCATCTAGCTCAAACTCTTCGGCGACTTGTAAGAAGAAGAGATAACGCTCTTTCAACTTGGGCGACTCCGAAAAGGTTTCGGCTGAGAGATTTATAACAAAGCGTTTATCATTGCACATAACCACCAGCTCTGAATCGGTGTTTCTATCGCTGAAAGTGAACTGGACCACACTCCATATTGGTGGTGTCTGAGGCGGCGATTGTGCGTTGTTAGAAGTCTCAGACGTCATATTGCAAACAGTGTATTAATCTGAGTTGTCGTATATCTTGGATACGGGTCGGTGATTGTGTTAGCTGTGTTCCCAGAGCTTTGTTTAGAAGCGGGGTCGAGCTACTGGCCAACGAGTCATTATCACTTTAAACGGCACAAGCTTAAGTTAAGCAGTATACCTGCTCAACATCAGGGTAAAAATATGAAGTCATGATTAGCGAGGAAGAGTTCACGTGATAGAAATTGACAGAATGAAGGCGGACTGGGCTGAAAGCTATACATTGGTCGTTCCATGACGGTTGACCAAGATGGTTTGTAGCTAACGGCGTTGTGTGTAACGGCTTGCCGTTCGATATCACGTAAACCGCGTTGTAATTCCGAGTGAAATTAAGAAATTGATGTACATCCTCAACTGTTGAGACTGATGGCTGAGAGCTTATTCCTGCAGACAGAACTTGGTGCTATTCTCAACCATGTTGGCTACCATTGACTGTTTCCGTGGATTGCTTTTACCGAATGACACTGGTCTCTAAGTCAAACTGTTCACCACCCGGCCGACCCCTAAATTGACCAAGGGGATATAAGCTTCACGGATACGTTATAGGAGCACCACAATGTGACAGACGATGTACCATAATAAGGATCTGAGTGAATTAAGATTCGGGGTTCGCCATCAAATATGTTGGGTGCATTGTGCCTCTTCACCCTTTGTGTCTAATGTCTTAGTTGCCGAAGCCTAAGAGGCTAAGGAACGAGAGCTTGGACAAAGTGGCCTTTATAGAAGATCAAGAAATAACAGCTTCTAGAGCCCCACATGACATCTATAGCTCTCTCCAGCACCATCGTTAGGTCAAACTCTTGACTGTAGGAGACCAGCGGCCTGGTAAACCTGTCAAGCCTGATTTGTTGAGTCCATTGGCGCAAAATACCCTCCATGTCGCGAGAGTTCGGTGCAGATCCACTGCTCCAGCGACGAAATAGCCTCTTCTCTGATGGCAGCTGAATGGAGGTATTGTGAGTTACTTTGCTCGACAGTCCACCAAACTCAACTGAAGCATTGTAAGCGTCGTCTTCCAGGCCGGCACCAAGTAGGAGGTTGGATACTATCGACGATGGTCCGTCGTCGTATTCCATCATGATTGCACCGACCCCAATACCTCCCTCGTCAACCTTCAGCGTGATTGTGCCTACTGCTGAGTCCAAACCGACATCTTCTCCATGCAAGTGCTCAAATCGCCATTTTGGCTTCTGACTGTTTCTGATAGGGTGCCCTGCAAAAACGGGCAGGAAGTGCAGTATTCGTTCATCATCAAAGTCGGGGATTGATTCATTATTCCGGCCTTCTTCGCCACGGAGGCGAAATTTTCTTGTCACAATAAGGGCTTGAGTTGAAACTTGCCCCACACGAACTTCCGATATAGTCATTGGTCGAGGGAGGGATGGGATACGCGAGACGTGGAGCAAGTCCCCTATCCTGTGACCCGCTACCCTGATGCATGCAACTTGTCGAGGCATATGACCTAAGCGTCTCGAAGTAGCTTGCAGCACAACGACCCAATTATCAACCCTGTGGGTACTGATTGACGTGATCATGGTAGGTAACTGAATTGACAGCCCAGCATTGGTCATGGAATAGATTGAGATTTCGTGACTGATGGCTGGACAGAAATCCCCAGCGGCCTGAAAGGTCGTTGGCCATGGAGCAAGAAGACTACCCCAATCCTTTGGGACATCCTCATTCCACTCCCAGCAGAAAATAGTGTGATCATTGCTGGTCTTCATGATCTCTTCCTGAAGGCGTACAAATGCTCTTTCCCCTTCCCCATACAGCAATGGCATATTGATATTAAATATGCCAAGCATACAGTATGCCATATCTTCGGTTCGCGTCGTCGTCCTCTTTGATAGCCAAGACATCCTCTCTGCGATAGAAGCACCGTGTATGTTCCATTGACCGTCTAGATATTCTTGACGAATCTGAGTAATTTGTGTAACCAAAAAGGTCAGGGATCCAACGTTTCTGCAAATTTGGGACCAATCAGCAGCATGAAAGATCAGATTTTTGGGTGCTATAAGCTCTTGCAGTGTCCAGCCTCGAGTAAACCAGCGACTTCTCGCGATTTGAGAATATAGTACGTCCTCGGGTTGATTTGCGGTAGGAACATCAACTAGGTAGGCAAAGCAGACTTCTGACTTCTGATAGTATGCAAACATCGAGTTTATCGCTTCTGACAACTCTGCTGAGCTGCTCTTATCGATACAGTTCGTATCAACCCAGAGCCACTCTAACCTGTACTTTAGAGCTTCATTACAAGCACCCCGTATCTTCCAATATCCAGCCTTCCATATGACTTGCTGATGGTTCTGCCAGTCTTGAAAGGTAGCTTCCTGGTTGCCCCAAACATGAGACAAGATCGCATAAGGCGGCGTATTTTCGTTGAAGAACTCATGGAGTTCCAGGGTTTGCGTGTTGATTAGCCGCATTGGGGATGAATAAAGCAATGAAAATCTGTTGCAAAAGAAAGGCACAGATACCCAGCATCTCGGCACTGAGAAATTGAACTATATATGATGGAGAGCGGGGTAAGGCATAATCAGCTGAGTCTGCCTGACAACGGTTCCTGCACCTCTGATTTGCTGGCGATGTAATTCGCGTCACAGCCTTGTTTGTGGTTTACTCTCCCATCGCCACAGCCATTAGGCTAACAGGTATCAACAGCTCAAGGCAGTACGCAATATGTATGGGGAAGGCACGGCTCGACCAATCTACGATTATATCAGTATTAAGTAAGTCATGAAACTTATGAGAATTTGGTGGGTGAACTTACAATTAATATTTCAGCAATCACAACTGTAGTTGGTCTCTTCACATGATGTTGCGTGGGATGAGCCCAGGCCTTCTGATCGGCCTGATTGGGCCCACTGCATGGTCTAACTTACGTTAGGCAGCTTGGCAAGGTCAATCTGACCACCACCTTCGGTTAAATCAAGCAAGGCTCTTTCAATCAAAGCTGTCATGCTCGTTATGGCCAACCTGTGCTCTGTAAAACAGATAGCTCTAGATTTAGGCTAATAGCTAATGCAGAGGGTCAGCGATCCAATCCCAGAAGTCCTTGATAGCAATGCAAGGAGAAGCTTTCGCCCCAAGATCATCTGAGACACTCCATCATCGGACCCTCCTCGATGAGATCTGAGACCGTGAGCCGTTCTCTAATGCAAGGAGACATTTTCCCTTGCGGTGGTCTCGCTACGATCTTCCATGCTTAACCTAAAATGCTGTAGTATGATTCACGACTTCCGGGGAATAGGAGGGCAGGGCCACACTGCTGATTGTAATTGTGAAGACATAATAGCTTGCTCCTAAGCCACCCGATACTAATACCAAGCAATTCCTTGATAATAAAAGAGACTTGTGTTTCTGGACTTGGTCCATTGTGACTTTCTTTATCGCACCGGCATCCGGGAGATAACGACACCATGGATACGCCACCAGTCACCATCTACAACCTCCCAACTAGCCCAGCCAGGTGGGACTGGGTTGGAGTATTCTACATTGACTTTTGCGTCGTTTGGACCCTCCTGGTTCTATTTGGTATGGCATTCTGCTGGAAAAACCGCACCAACCCATTACTCAGACTCCGCGGCCTCCTTCTTTCATTCTCTGCCATTATTCTCCTCCACATCTACTGGATCCTCGGCCAGATCGTGTACACAGTCGGACCTACCATACCTGTAGTTCTGGCATACGACATACAATATTTCTTTATGGGAATCTGGTTCCCTCTCGGCATTGCTCTTTTCCACGCTAGCAACAGCCGACTTCTTCATGTAGCTAAGCTGCAGAAGAAGTATAGCAGTGCAGGCTTGAGAGACCAGTTTAATGCGGCACAGCCTTGCAATTCTTGGTTATATCGGTTTAGATGCTTGGAATATACTAAAAAGCTATTGGTCCTCACAGGGATTGGTATGGTCGTTCAGGTCAGTTATCCTTGCATTGTCATAGTGGACTAGGTGAAATGCTGATTGAGACGAGTAGGTTATCCTAACACTCGGCATGTGGTTAGCATGTCGCAAATACCATCCTACCTATGGTATTCCAGGCACCGAGATCAAGAGTCAGGCACTTACTGAGCAAATAGTTGAGTTGGGTCGGGGTTGGGAATGGTGGCCCTCTGTACTCTGGCAAGTAGTTTGGACATGGATGGTGAGAACCTTTCGAGCTGATAATATTGTCCCCGGCTGACTTTTCTTTCGTCAGGTTGCACCCTTTCTGCTTTGGAGGACATGGAATATCCGCGATGCTACGGGGTGGCGAACACAAACGATCGGCTGCTGCCTCTCCAGGTGAGTACCTAGCCATTTGCACTATACAACGCATTCGAGCCACTTTACCAACAGTAATCAACAGCCTACACGCAACACCTATGTTCTTGACTGCAAGCTATGTACCAGCGTTCGCGCCTGTCAACTTCTACTTCCCCCCAAGCTCATGGTAAGTTCACAAATGCCCATACGACCAATCACTGACCAAGTCTAGGATTCACGTCTCAATCTTTCTTATCGAGATCTTTGCTGTTTTCGTCCCTGCATTCCAAGTCATCAAACAACGTGTCCTCGTCAAGCGCATCGAAAGTCTGAATATTGAGTGGTATGCCGCCTCCTCAACATCCACTCTCCGAGAGCTCAATGATCTACGAAGAGGTTCTCAGGTAGCTACTCGTCTCGGCGAAAAGGGAGGATATGAATCGTCAGATCAAGAGATGAAAGACACCCTTCTGACAATCAGCGCCTTCAACTACACCCTGAACAGCAATCCCGGACCCCTACAAGACTTTTCAGCTCTGAACGACTTTTCAGGAGAGAATATTTCTTTCTTGACTGAGGTTACTAGGTGGAAGATCTCGTGGCGTGCAGAACCAGACGAGACAGACGTTCGAGATGCGTATAATGCTGCACTGGATATATACGCCACCTTCATCAGTCCTCGCGATGCTGAGTTTCCACTGAATCTTGGATCAGCAGATCTCAAGTACATGGAAAAGATGTTCGAGAGAGCTGCACGAGAGACATTTGGACAGGCGAACGTGCATCCAGCTATACCGTTTGAAACAACGACGTCCCTCGAGTCAGCAACCACTTTAGTTATGGAGAGACCTAACTATAGTGGGATCATCCCTGCCGAGTTCGGACCTAATGTCTTCGATTCCGTTGAGCAACATATCAAGTATCTCGTTTTGACGAACACATGGCCAAAGTTTGTCAAGGAGATGCAGTCACGGAGGCGATCTGAGGAAACAACACGGAGTGGTTATTCGGCTCCGTCCGAGACATCTATTGTCAGTCGACTTTCAAATAAAATGTCCAAACTCTTCCATAATATTGGCTAATAAGGGCTTGATCTCTACATACCTATCGTTGATAGTTAATTTCCAATGCTAAAAGATTGATAAATATGATTATAGTACCATTGAGAGTCTACTATGTAATGATTGTATCGCTTCCTGATTGCCCTTCCGCGCTCTCACCGTGAACCTCATTCCTCTTGCCGTGATATGTTCCGTACCAGCACTATAAATGCATGCTAGTGAATGACTAGGTCTGTCATCTCTGTCCTGAGTCTAGCTTGACGCCAATGTTAGTCTCAAATTGGGCCAGATCACGTGCCGTCTCGAGCTTAGATCCGATCGGTTTAGTCAATTCTGATTCGTTATTTCAACCTCCTTCTTCCACTTCTCATGATGCGTAAATACATGAGCAAGCGGCAACGACCCTGCGACTTTTGCCGATCTCGGAAAACGGCATGCCGGATCGAGTCCTCCCCTCCATGCCGGTTGTGCCAGCAATACGGGAGAGAATGCACCTTTGTAGAGGCTGCGAGACCTCGGAAGAGGCAGCAAACAGCCGAGACCAGCCCTGGATATCATGATGCAGAAGATGCAATTGGGCCATCAAATGGGGTTATGGAAGAACCTACTACATCATTTAGCCCCGATGACATCTCCCCGGCGGAATCAGGCGGCTTTCCCGACATCAGCATGGATTTTCTTCAAGATCTAGACATGGACGGCCCTGAATATCAGTTCATGTTCCAAACACCAGATAACAACCCTCCATCCACCGCAAATGAGTCACCAGATGGGTACAGCAAGATATATCCGTTGTTGGATGGATATGAGAATATTCACCCAGAAACGCTTGGGCTTAGTGGAGATATGGATCCTTATCTGCTTCAGCGATATCAATCAGATGAGCACGGTACATTCAAATTCAAACAGCTCGCCATAAGATCAGTGAACAGCAACCCACCCGTTCAGTTCCTAATCTCACAGCCATCTCTGTTTGCTCAAATTCGAAAAGATTCCGGACATACTGGCGCGTCGATATCATCACAGAGAGCAGAGCTTGAGAAGGCTATCTCACCAAACATGGGCAAGCGATTGATAAGTCTTTACACCAGATTCATCGCACCACATTACCCAATATTGTCAATCGACTTTCTTCCAGATCCTGCGACAAGTGCGCCTTGTTTGCTAGCTGCTATCTACTCAATTGCACTCCCTTTCGCCATGTATGACGACCAACTCTGCATTGACATGGCGTATGACTCACCTGATGCCGAAGACCTGGCCCATCTCATCAATACCGCGATTGCTTTCGACATTCACTCACCAAATATTGCCACTGTTCAAACCCTCTTCTTACTTATAGCCCGACCGTCTTCAAACCCACTCGTGTCAGATGCATCGTATCGATGGACAACGATGGGAACGCTTATCTCGGCAGCTACAAACATTGGGCTGCACCTTGATCCCTCCCTTTGGAATATCCCATCGGCTCAAATAGCTGCTAGACGCAGACTATCATTCTTCATCTTCGCGATGGACAGGTGGTTAGCAGCCGCCTTAGGAAGGCCACCTCATATCAATCGCGAGAACTGGTTGGTGGACGAGCTGTCGGCTCAAGATGAACTTGCTTCTGGCCTCGATGCATCGCAGTGGACCAACATAATGGCCTTCTCAGCTCTCACATCCTGTATCACAAATACGCTTGATCGGCTTTAGTAAGTCTTGAAGCTTTCCTCCACCAACTCTCGTTATTTGAGGCTGACACATCTCTAGCTCTCTTCGATCATCGAGTCTGAGACAGAGGCCAGAAGAGCTACAAACAACCGTGTTTGAGCTTTCAGGATCTTTAGAACGTATTCAACCTGATAGAGCAAGCTCCTTTGATCCCGATAGCGACAAGTCGATGCCTGGAATGGCCATAAAGCTCGGCTACTATTACACACAACTACTAATACTACGCGCTGCCGTTCACACCCAAGATTCTCACCCTTCAGCAGCCAGCACTTCAGATCAATGGTCGCCACGCGAGAGGCTGAAAACAGTTCTGGAACGATATTCTGACTTCCTCAAGACATTGAAGAGTGACGAAACAGCAGAGCACTGGCCCCCTTGGTGCCAAAGCGCATTCTCGTCCCTCTGTTTCGCCATGTTGTTCATGTTTGTCTCAGCCACTACATACGAAGAGGCACTTTCATCGATGAAGCTTCTCCAAGCAACACGGAAGCAAATGCGTCTCAAAGCCAATGCTTTCGTAGTCATCAGACTGGGTCTACTAAGGATGGATGCCATATTCTGGCGCGGCGTTGATCAAGTTCTCAAACTGGAAACGCACGTGAAGCTTGCGTTGGATGCGTCAAAGCAGACAACATGAAATTATAGATCTATATAATTTGCTTACAATCTTGATCTGGTAGAAAGAGTGCTTAGAATATCCTCGATGCTCTTGACAGCATCCAATGCCATACCATATCCAGCTTGGAAGCCTGTACCACCAGCACCATAATTGTGCACAATCACGCGTCTTTCTCCATTGACGGGGATCTCATCGCGCTCAATTCTTGCGCCACCCTCGCGAGATGGTCGCATGCCCGCAAACGCAGCCAAGACCTCAGGTTCCTTCTGCTGAAGCTCTTTGCTTAGCTCCGTTGTTCTTTGAAGAATGGACTCGCTTTCAGAAGAGTACGTTGCGCTATCACTGTCATCTTATTAGCTGCCTTCTAAGCTTGAGTACCGAGAGACTTACTCATTGCCCTTCTGCATGTATCCTCCCAAAATTACATTGCCATTTGATCCAGGTCTCGGAATCACATAGGTCTCGTAGTCCTTCCCGTGACGCATGACGTTGGTACTGACATGCGATGCTCGAACGAGAAGGACTTGACCTCGAGTGGGATAACACTTCTCATCTTGCACGCCTGCCAGTGTCTTTGCTGCATTACCCGTGCAGTTGAAGACGACCTTCGTGGAAGGGTTGTTATATGCCTCATGGATGCTCCCGAGCTTTCGTCGGATAAATCGTACGCCGTATTCCTCTCTCAGCTTCTTGTACAAGTACAAGCAGTGAGCTGGCGCGTTGACGGTCAATGTGGTGAACTCACAGCCGAACTTGGCACCATCGGGAAGCTCTTGGGCAGACAGAGCTCGGAACTGGGAACTTTTAGAACTCTTTACGTAGTCAGTGATCTTGATCTTTACTCACGTCATCGAGATAATCCGCCATAGCCTTGATCTTGTCATGCGGGACGTTATCATCCCAGAACTCAATTGAAGGTGTCCTCTTTACGAAAGAGTCATCAGAGTCATCTGCAGCCAACTTCTTCAAGTGCGCATAGCCGTGGCGATCCCATTTTATCGCGTTGGCGTCAGTGCCAGAAATGGCGGAAAAGTTGCACCCAGCCCTGGTCTGTTAGTACACGTCACGGCTTAAACTCGTGAGAGACTTACCAGGGAGATGTGTATGATGGTGAAGTGTCGCCGGGGAGGTACTCGGCTATGACTGTGATGTTCTTTCCGTAGCCTTGCTGGGAGAGAACGAGAGCGACATCTAGGCCAATGATTCCCGCCCTTGAATCCTGTCAGTTACAGGCCACTGCTTATGGCTTACGATGGGACAACTCACCCGACGATGACAATACTATCAGACGCCATCCTTGATCTTGGGTTATCTAATTGACAAATGGATTCAAATGAGAGTATTGATTAGATAGAAGAAGTTCTTGCTGCGAAGGGCGCTTGAGATTTATCTTAGGCTACTCAATCTTTTCATGATGCCAGGGCTATCAACCGCGGACAAGTCCGATTTCGCCTAGCGTCGGCCAACCCTTGCCTGTCTCCATCGGCGTTGAGTATGATTGGTGGCGTTCGCACAGTTGGCCGCGGGAAACAACCCCATTGAAAGATTGTTGGATCTGGAGATATGAATCGTACGATGACTCAGTAACTATCAACACGGCGACTGGCGAAACGGATTGTAGACTTGGAATAAGAAAAGAGAAAAAGCATTGATGCGATTTACATGGGTCACTCTTTAAAACGTGGCGAGGGCAGGGAAAAAAAACTCGTGATTCTAATGGGGAATGATTAGGAGCTTTAGATAATGTCACATAAATTTAAAACAGCTTCATCGAAATTGGGGTTCCTTTTCCTTTATTTTAATATCTCAGATTAAAATCTGATACTTTCTCGCTCCGCGCGGTTTGGCCGACAAGCGATATACACAATATCAGCCATTGCGCTGTAGGGTAGTCAGTCGCACCGGGGACCCAGCGAGTTAGCATTCTTCTAGTTCACAGCTATTCGATGAGCAATGGTTTGTCGCTCACAATACACTGCAATCTGGGTGGAGGTTGTGTCAACATACTTCGTGATCTATGGACTTATCTCATGTACACTTCTTAGTAGCTCAGCTGTATCCTCAATGAACTCAAAGGCCTTGGCCAATCCTCTTTCTGGATGATTATAATGCGCAAAAGCATGGGGGCAACCCGCATAGCGCTTTATAGTAACTTCATTCCCTCCATCCTTCAACAACCGTCCATAGTACTCTCCTTCGTCTCTTTCCAGGTCAAACTCTGCAGTTACAATATGCGCCCGAGGCAGGCTCTTGAAGTTTGGAGCGATTACTGGCGTGAGAATCCACTCGCTGGTCAACTTATCCTCAAGCTCATCTATTCAACACTGTCAGTACCATCTTCTCTTAGAGACAAAATGATTGTGCTTACCAGCGTTCTCGCCGACGAAATATTTCAAGAACCATTGTTCTCGCCCGAGAGGTCCCCATGGAACGCCCTTCAGTCTCAAAACACTGTCATATGGACAATTCTCTGCCGTGAGTTGTTTTATTTTGGAGCTACAATAGCGCATGTCCGTGGCTGGGACAATCAAGAGCTGCAACTTGATGTCGATGCCCTCGTCGCGAGCAAAGTGGCCCAGAACGGCAGTCATGTGACCACCTGCAGAAAGACCGCCGAATGAGACGCTTTTCGGGTTGATGTTAAGCTCAGTTGCGCTATTTATGGTCTGTATCCAGTTAGCGAAGTACCTGGGAAAGTAAAATTCAGACTCACCCATTTTACAGCATCCCAACAGTCATATATGGCTGTTGGATACTTATACTCCGGGCCCATACGATAGTCAACGTCGATAACCTTGATGGAAGCCTTATTGCACATATGTCGACACCACGCCGCTTCAGACTGAAGACCCCCTAGCACCCAACCTCCACCGTGAAAGTTCAGATGCACTGGAAACGGCCCAGGTCCCTCCGGGGTATAGATTCTCACAGTGATCAAACCTTCTGGTTTCGTAACTGGGATTTGCCTATCTTCAACATGGAAGACTTCTGGACCTTTGTATGTTGGGTATGTGAAGCTGTATTTTGCGGGATTGAGGCGATACTCCTCGATGCTGACTTCATCTGCCCGAACCATGGAACTTCCATGAGTGTTCCATAGCTTTCGCCATTCTGGGTCAAGGCCAGGGTATTCATCTGGTCCTATCTCCAAGCGCTTGAGGCTTAGAAATGAGGTTGCCTCTTCAGTTGCTGTCGTGGTATAAGACATGGCTAGATAACGAAGATAATAGTCGAAAACAACAAACTTCACTAGATAAATTCCATTAATACGCCCTTTTTTAAGAATACTTATTTTATCTCCCATCTAAACCGCCTCCAACATCGGCGTCGCTCCTGATTGGCGGCGTTCTCAACGCCGATCAACCACGCTATCTCCCAAGATAGCGCTAGATAGGCCGTCAAACGCCGCCTATCAGAACCCACAGCGACGACCCCGCGTTATCTCCCAGCAGGATGGGTCTGTCGGTCCGGGGTAAGTTTCTCCAACTCATGATGTTTATATACAGGGCGTCGCATCCCGAGAAATGAAGAACCCACCATCATACGAGAGTCGAATCATTTCTTTGTTACCTCCACAAAGTTTGAGAACATGACGACTGAAGTCAACATGGAGAAGAAGATTGAGAGCAATGCTGGTGATGCAAAGAGCATTGCCGGACGGGAGGAGCAGTGGCGAGGCTTGAGGAGGGTTCCGGATAAGTTGCCCAAGATTGCATTGTTGATCTTGGCTGTCGAGGTAAGGCCAAAGACTCATGGATGATTGAGAGATCGGGAATTGAGGTGACTGACACCATGTAGCTCGGTGAGCGATTTACCTACTTTGGTCTCTCTGGACCGATCCAGAATTACATCAAGTTTGTCACAATCACGATACTTCACCTCTTATGATACTAATAGTGCTTAGCAATCCGTATGACCCAAGCTCCGACCTTCCAGGCGCTCTTGGAAAGGGTCAAGCCGTCGCAACAGCCCTCGGCAACTTCTTCAAGTTCTGGGCCTACGCTTCAACAGTCATCGGCGCTATCGTCGCCGGTAAGCCTCCCAATCAACCTCATGTAAACATCCAATGTATAACCGAGATTATTTAGACCAGTATCTCGGCAAGTTCAGAGCCATCTGCTGCGCATGCGTCATCTATGTCATCGGCCTCGTCATTCTTGTCTCGACTTCAACACCTACAGCCCTCCTCAATAACGCTGGACTCGGTGGTCTTGTCGCTGCTATGATCACCATTGGTCTGGGCACTGGCGGAATCAAGGCGAATGTTACGCCTATGTGTGCTGAGCAGTATCAGCATTCGCATCCTGTCCTCAAGACTCTCAAGTCAGGAGAGGAGGTCATCGTTGATCCGGAGCTCACTGTTCAGCGGCTCTTCATGTGGTAAGACTTGTCACCTCAATCTTGGATACGCAGCTGCTAATCAAGTTCAAGGTTTTATTGGGTCGTCAACATCGGAGCTCTTTCACCGCTCATCACTGTCAATGTTGAAGCTCACCATTCGTTCTGGCTAGCTTACTTGGTTCCCTTAATGTGAGTTCTATCTCAGTTGCCTGAATTACATATAGAAAGTTGCTAACTACTTTGGACAGTGCCATTCTCATTTCTGCCGCTGTCTTCATCTCGGGTCGAAACAAGTACATCCGCGTCCCCCCAGTTGGCTCCGCCATTCTCGACGCCTGCCGCACAACTAGCATCGCCATCAAGGAAAAGGGGTTCGATAATGCACGACCATCAGCCCTTAGAGCAACAGGTCACAATGATAAATACCCATTGGTCAGCCAAGAGAGATATACTGATGAGTATGTTGGAGATGTTCAGCGGGGACTCAAGAGCTGCAAGGTGCGTGACCCGTCTCATAACTTCGAAGATGAATACTTACAGAGATACCTAGATGTTCCTGTTCTTCCCATTCTACTTCATCTGCTGGAACCAGATGTGGAACAACCTCATCTCCCAAGCTGGAACCATGGCTCTCCATGGAACACCAAATGACCTTCTCCAGAACCTCGATCCCATTGCTCTTTGCTTCTTCATTCCGTTCCTCGACTGCAAGTATCCTCCACATCTCAACATCTGCTATTCCTAACAAGACGCTTTAGTGATTGTGTATCCCCTACTACGAAAGTACAGAATCGACTTCGACCCCGTTACCCGCATCTTCATGGGTTTCATGTTCGCCTCAATCTCCATGGCATACGCCTGCGTTCTCCAACACTACATCTACAAGTCACCACCAAACAGCATCCACGTCTGGATCCAAGCACCATCCTATATCCTCGTGGCGTTTTCTGAAGCTTTTGTTATCATCACAGGTCTCGAGCTCGCTTTTACCCAAGCTCCCAAGAAGTAAGCCTACACATTCCTTGCATATCGATGTGTGACTGACTGTGACCTTCCAGCCTCCGATCTGTCATCTCAGCCCTGTTCTGGTTGACCATCGCCGTTGCTGCTGCGATCTGCATTGCCCTCGGTGCAGTCTCTCAGGATCCATATCTCGTGTGGATGTATGGAGCCGTAGGAATTTCAGGATTTGTTGCTGGTTGCGCATTTTACGCTTGCTTCTATAAGGGGCGGAAACAACATCTTTCCCGAGACGAGATTGTCATCGAAGGCAGTTTAGGGAACTAGAATTTTTAAACCTGTATAGATAAGGACCTCAAAATAATATTTGCCGTTTGATGTCTTATGCGACCCGACTAAGATTTCGTAAGAAGATTTCCCTCATCATGAAGAACTACTGTATCCAGAGGAGACGAAACCTGGGTTATTGGTTCAATAGACCGCGTGATGAAAGGACCATCGCTCCCGGAGCTCCTGATACAATGTCCATTTGACTGCAGCCTCCGCAGCACCTCTCGCGTAAGTTGGCGTGTATGAGGCATGCAAGATACCGTGATTCCTACACAGAGCTCGATGTATGACCAAAAGATGACATCGTTCCCATTTTGGGCTAAAATGCTATGTCAGTATATACAAACATGAAAGGATTAGTTTGCTCTCACTTGACTTGCTTACATCGGTTATGTACTCCACCATTTTGTATAGCTTGAGAGCGCAAACAATAGTTAAGCTAAACGTGAACTGTTAGCGGTTTCTGCTCAGGTATCAAATTATCTTTACTCACAATATGCCAACACTAAACATTGCTATCACGCCTAGCTTCTTGCCGATCTTTAGCCCCAATTTGTATAGCTGAGAAATCGGTAAGAGAATCATCCAGATATCGAGGAACAGATTCAGACAAGCCTGCACCAGCGATGGCCACGATATATAATGCATGGCCTCTCCGACCGTTTTGCTTTCCCATACTTTCCATACCGCCAAGAGCACAGGTGCCTGTATCAAAGTGAGCACTATAAAGGTCAGTCCGAGCAAGGCATTGCATGCCACGGTCCACTTGACCACTCTCCGAAAGATTTCCTCTGGAAAGATCTGAAGATACAGAAACAAAATGGAGGCTTTTATGCAGGTTAGGGCAATGTGATAGAGTAGTCCGAATGCAAAAAAGTACTGAATCTTGTCAGAATGACATACGAAGAACCGAAGCGGGGGACTTACTCTGAAAAATGTTGCTACTTGGCGATGAGAGAGGTTTGCAAAGTCTTTGCCTAAACCTTGTTCCAACACTGTTGATAATTAGTGGGTAACGTCCTACGGGAGCCCGGGTTTCCACTAACACAATTGGTAGAACACGCAGATAGGAATCAAGACGGCCTGGCAACAATTAGTGAAAAGTCTTGCCTAGTGATTTACATTTTTCTTGCCGCAGATACTGAAATGAGTGTATCATCTATGCCCCAAAAGGTCGGCCCAAGGATTTTGCATATGAGTCGCAGGACGTAAAAGACAACGGCCAGCGCTGTCATGGTTATGCCAGTGACTTGGAACTCGACGTATTGGTCCATCGGAGGGATACCACAAGCCTCCTTAGAAATGCGAGTAAATTCTGCGGTATTGATGTTAACAGCCTGTAGCTCATGAATCGCTAGCCGAGTGTGAAGTCGTTTATTACCCATCGTTTCGGCAAAAAGACATCGGTTGGCGACACAATCGCCCAGCACCCTGGCAAACGCTTTGTCGTGGCATAGTTCGGCTTGAGTTTTAGTCGAAAACGCCGGGTCGCTGAAACTCTGGAGTGCACATTTGACCTAATGTTGTCCGTTAACGACAGATGGAGAGAAAGAAAGAGGGAGAGGATGAACTGACGCCGCACTCAGGTGCATTGCTTATTGAACTAATTGATTGAGCAAAAGCGCCACAGAATAAACAAGCCCAGAAACCGAGAGAAAGGAGACCAAGCATGCGACAACCCTTGGACATTTCGGCGGATGCTGACCTGTTTGAACAAAGCCCAGTTCGCAACAGGGAATAAACAGAAACAGAGAAAAACCGGAACTGCCCTTTACATTATAATATTTTGCATTTAGTGACAAATGCTCTGAATGATAGCGCCGTGGCTTCGTATAACAAGCCATTAAAAACCGGAATTGGTAACGGGCCACGAGTCGAGATCTGGATCGTGGCTTGATGGCGGACACGAACTGCTTCGATCAATCGTAAGGCTGTAGAAAAAAGCTTATCTTAACCAATAGTATCCCCAACTGGGCTAATTTCTAGAGGCAGAAGCGTAGAAATTCGTCATGCCATTCCGGTCAACAGAGGTGTGCAGATCAAACAGCGCCCGCAGACTTGACACCAGTAACTGCAGGCCCCGAAGCACTATCATATAATGCCCCGACTCAATAAACGGCTTACGACTTACTGACATGGAGAACCGTTTAATTAGAGTGAGCAGTGCATATTAACTTAGAACGTTACTTCGAACAGTCCTAGCTCCAGAGCTTGACTTGAGTGCTGTTATAATGTGCTTCGAGGAAATGGACCTAGATAGTTTCATATGTTTTCAAGTACTGTTGATAGTTCAAAGTGACCCAGAGTGATTTAAAGTAGTATAGACTAGAGCAGGTACTTGTCAACCTGAAGCTATCACGTGCTAATAAGAACCGGTCGGTACTTGATTGTTTTCGACATGATATTAGGTCAATTCAAGTCAGTAAAGCATCGCAAAGAAATTACAAAACAATTATCGGAGCCGAGAAAGCTTTGTATCCACCTCTACAGACAGATCTGGAACGAGTAGCAACCCATTGCCGGCCTCAGCGTGTCCAGAAGCCTCTACGGTGTCATAAAAATGTGGCTTCACAAAGTGACAGCGGATTAAAGCGTCAGACATATTCTGACATTGCCAACGCATAACTGCTATCTGACTGTAGATCACGATCGATGGATCCAAATCCATGTTCCCGGTCCCGTGAATCTCACCTTATATGACCCGTGCGAAGGAGATTTGAATGAGCTGAACGAATGAGAAGATTTTTGTACCTGGCTGAGCCTCGTTTCGATCAAGTAAACGGGCCAGGAATTACCTAACAAACAGCTAGAGACTTGGCTTCCGCTGTATATTCTCCGTACACTACAGAATGAGAATGAATCCTGCCCCGCTCGTGATGTAATACAAAGAGTTTAATGGATAAGCTTCCGATAATGGAAAGGAACCGAGATGCAGTGCATCAGTATAAATGCCCCTCTTTGTCTTACAAGTATCAGACTCATCAACTCACACCAGCAAGCTGCTTCAAATCACCCTATACATCTTACGACTCGAACAGCTTCATCATCATACACTCAGCCTGTGTAAGCTTTCCAAAGATCTCAGCACTCCCCAACCAACAATCATGGACTCTCGTCACTCTCCTCCTCGCTTCCTCAGCTCCAACCGTCTTTGGTGGCAAGGGTAATGCCCCACGGGAAGCAGGCGAGAACTAGATTCTCTGCCGGAATAAGCTCTCAGCCACAAATCTCAACTGCAAATAACACTTCTAGCCCATAACTTAGACATCGATACCACGATAACTGATCAATGGCTATAGCATAAAGCTGATGAGATAAGAACCTAAATGAAATAACTGCCTGGGAGGTTCCTACAATGACTGCGTAGCGAGGAATAATCAGCTGTGCACAGGTGAATGCTTTGGTCAGCCTACTGGTGGAGCTGGTGCCCCATGTTACACTTATTGCACCATTAGAAACCAGCAATACTGCGCTGGCTACTGCATGAAGATTGTTAATGGTGATGACTGCATCAAGAGCTTCAAGGAAATGGGTGCTACGGGATCTGATGAGCAACTCAAAGAGACCTGTAGTCAGGAAGGTAAAAAGTGTCCGAGAACCTGGAGAGAGTTTCTGTTTACTAAAGTGGCTGCAGGTGACATGTAGTACTGCAACTGTGAATCTTAGTCGTCGCGTAGGATTCTGGTAGATTAGGTTTCACATGATACCCAGTCAAGGTATAACGGCATGCTCTTGTTGACTAGAACGCACAATACAAACATCAAGCCCATCTTCACACATCCCTCTGATTGGAAGTTAATATAACACTTGGCCGATTTGTGGCCGCAAAGTTAGAATTTAAAGTGGAAGTTAATATGAAGAACCGTAAATGGTGAAGAACTGCGATCCCGACCTAACTAAAGTTCGCTGCTCAATATATGCTCTCGGCTAGATACATCAACCGCAAGGGAGATCCAGTCCAAAATTTAGACATTGCGTCACAACACATGGCCAGTTGCTATACGATAAAAGTACATATAAACTTTGTTATGATACTCTATTAACCAGAGCCATGGCCCGGAACTGTAGCTTTAGATGTACGCGCAAGCTGAACATTATTTATAAAGCCAGGGTGACCCTCAGCAAGTCAACGAGCAGAACTCTCTCAGGAATAAAATCTTCTTCGACTCCTCATATGTGACTTCCATCACTACCTCGTCTTGTCCAACTGAAAACGCCGATAAAATGGTCGACTGGCACTCGTTACCTGCCGAGATCCGTTGCATGATCTTGGAGGCCCTGACAGCACACAACGGAATCGGACTCTTTGCTTCCGTCTCGAATGAATGGCGAACCTTCATCGAACAGAGGAACTTTTCACATATCAGACTCCACCCCACGTGTCTCGACCACCTCGAACAGCTCAACGACCACTACAGGAGGCAGATTAAGCATCTATGGCTCAATATAGAGCTCAACGGATATACGTGTCGATCATGCCGAAAGAGAGAGTCGCCCACATTGTCGTATTCCATCGCAGTGATCCTGAGACAAGCCATCACCCGGCTATTCTGCATCTTGACGACGTGGAGAGAACCCTTGACTCTGGAACTTAATGTTTACTGCCCAAGCGACTCCCAGCACTGGTTCAAGAATAGTTACTTCGGAGCTCCTGGCGAAGATAAATTCGAGTGTCGAAAACCTGGCGACAATCCCTTTCACGATCCCCGTCACGGATGGGTTCAAGGCAGGGTCACTGAAGCGCCACCAGATGATGCTCTACGACGCCCTTTTGGACTATCTGAGTTGAGATTCAAGGAGGGTCTCCCTTCAGTTAACGCCGTGACTAAATTCGTCCTACGTCGGCAGTGTCGTCAGCAGTTCGATCCTCATGTTATACGATACCTTTGGTCAAAGCTACCAAACGTGTGCGAGATACACTACGAACTCTGGCAGTCACACATTAACGTAATACAGCAAGTGTCAGATATGGGTAAGTAATAAAATAAAATGATGTTACAATGCTGACAGAACAAATAATAGATTTTGTAAGAACAATCCAACATATCCCAGCAAGCGTTACAAGAGTCACCATATTCGAAGATTTTAATGAGAGTTTCCTGGAATTGTATGCACTTGGTAGAGGCATTTTGCCATTCTTAAATCCAGGACGAGTCAGGCTTCCTTTTCGCAAACTGGGCGGGGCATTTGCCTTGCGAAGCCAGAGGCTTGAGCATCTTTCCGTCGCTTTCATGATCGATGCCCAGCATTTCTTCGACGCGTGCCAGCCAAGTTGGAGATGGACTCGGCTAAAAACTCTCACATTGACACACCGAGCTATCTCCAAGGCCAACGTCCATCAGACCAACAAGCTCTTCCAAACTGCGGCACAGGTTGCACTCAACATGCCTGAGCTTCAGACACTGACTATATGGCACGGACAAAGACGAGAAGCTTGTGCTTTCACCTACCGTAGAGAGCATGAGTCGATATACTGGCAAGGCACAAGAGCCGTGAGGCTGGAGGCGAAGACTCTTGAGGCTTGGGAGAAGTTAGCTGTCACACACACTGGCAGAGTGCTCACCGTTAACTCAGACCTGTTCATGGAGAACATCACGTCTCATGGGGACGCTATTCATCATTTGGGTCTGCATCATGTCGTCGACAGAGTGTCGCTACAGCAAATACGAATTGAGAACCGGGTCTCTTGGATTTGAGCAACTAGAAAACTTTGGTTTGGCGATATATTTTGGCTGCAGTCGTTAGTCTAAGCGAGTTCAGCGATGTCATAATCGCGCACAGATGAAGTTCAGGGAGTTATACTTATGATTGATTGATACTTAAAGCTTATGATGCCTTAGCGAGGCATATTAAGCTACTACACTAAAAAATCCTATTTAACTTTAGCTTTTAGAAGGCAATATACGTATAGCCTTAATAAGATAAGCCTCTTAATTAAAAGCAGAATAATATGCTTTTATAATAACTTAATCAGGAATCTTATTAACAGCTGCTGGAGGTATAAGAAGCCGTCCTGATCCCTCATTGCTAGAGGTTATACTTATGAACGAGTGCGTTTTCACACCCGACTATATGGTAGCGAGGGATCCTATATTTCTTCAACATGTTCAATTTACATTCTGGCGGTGTCGTCTCACAGGCAGACTCTCCCATGGGCTTCTCCACCCTTGCAAGTAATGAACGCGCTTGGGATTCCGTGATAACTTGGCCTTCAGTAGTATCAAAGCTCTTCCTGGACATCCGTATCCACATCAGCATCCCCAATTTGTCCTGTCGGATGCATGATATCGTTCGCTATCTTCCTCCAAAAGTCACAGGTGGCCTTTGAGTTCTGGTCATCATTGCTTAGTGACCATCCGCTCGAATTGGGCTTCATGACATCAGAGAAGAGTGGCCCCGATCGATTGACAACTGGCCATCCGGTGTTTCCTGTGCCATTAGTATTACCATAAACAGCGAACGACGAAAGGTATTCCAAGAAGGTCTTTATCACAGTTGAGTTCAATGCTTTAGCCAATTTCTTTGCTTCCTCTTTGGGATAATCAAATCCTTTCTCAAGCATAACTGCGATCTGTCCGGGGAAATCCACATTACCAAATAGCGGTATGAGATCAGTCGCGTGAAAGGCATAACTGTCGTTGGGAAAGCCGTAATTCATAGCGTAAGCCTGCTGGGGATACGCATCGATGAGATCTCTGGTGTTGCACGTGAAAGATGCGTCCCGAATGATGTCGTGAAGACAATTTTTGTAGTTTCCATCGTAATTCTTGTCACAGTCATAATATTCTACAATCTCCGTTCTCAAGGGAGCTAGCTTCTCGCCTGGAAGGAAGTTGGTTAAGAATCCGTAGAAGGCTTCCTTAGTAGTGACATTTGGAGTAAAAGACTGAGCATCGTTCGCGCAGTGGGAAACGAGCGCAGATTTAATCCCAGGCCAAGATTTGTCTGGATAAAAGGGTTAGCATCACCGAAAATATAAATATAAGGCATTGCTTACTTTCCGCAAAAGCAAGAGTAGGGATCGTCTTGATCCAAATGTTGTCCACTGCAGGCCCGACGGGGAAAAGCCCAGTCTGGTTGACGTTCCGGAAAAGGTTCACATTCGCCAGTGCCAACTTTTCTAATGAAAATGATGGGTCTCTGATACATTCGATATCGTATGGGGCGTGGCATCCGAGGGACTCTGAGAAAGTCTGGTATATCTGATCAAGCTGGCCACCGGGAGAGTTATCCCATGCCCATTCAAAGGCAGGACTTTGGGTAAGAAATCGAGTGAACAGAGGATCTTCGTCTCCATCGTTCCGGATGAGGTGATGAAGAATAGAACCACCACCAGCTGACTCTCCCCAAGCACTGACGGTCTTGTTATCACCATGGACCTGGCCGATGTACTTTTGAACCCATCTCAGTAACAGGTTCTGGTCGTATAAACCGGCGTTAGGGAGGCCATTCTTCTCCATGTGTGAACCAGCTAACCACCCGAAAGCCCCGAGGCGATAGTTTCCCGCCACAACAATAGTGGAGTAATTGGAGGCTTCTATGAGAGACTTCCCATTGTAGAGAGGACCGTTCAAAAGTTTCAAGACCTTCATTCTCTTTGTACCAAATGCATATGCCCCTCCGTAGAACCATACGGTTACAGGGAGTAGCTGGGCACTGGCCTCTTCGAATACTCGCTTCGGAACATAGACATCCAGGAAAAGGCAGTCTTCAGTTCCGGTCCAGGTTGTAGCCTTGAGAGGATGCGACGTGTCCGGATTAAGGTCCTGGGAAGGATAGCCCATGGGATATTTACCGCCAGCCTTCTTCTTGAGCACGGATGGATCGATCTGGAGACAATCTGTCGTCACGAAGGGGGTTTTGGGGTCCTTCTTTTTTGGAAAATCGGACGGGCCAAAACGGATGGGCTTGGCTCCGAAGCGGACATTCTCGAATAAATAGATCTGTAGGTAATTAGCAGGATTCGTGTATTATCCTGGTCCATTTCGCACCTTGTCGTCCCAAAGAAGGGGCTTGGCTTTATATGACCCCCAAGGTAGATCCAGAGTCGGAAGAGCTACTGCTGCTTGAGTAATAGGAACAAGGCTCAAGGAGCCGAGCAAGAGGATTTTCAAATTCATAGCTGTAAAATTCTTGGTATCATATGGAGTGTTTGCTTGTGAATGCATTGGGTTGCTGGCATTCTTAAGCCCATCGCATAATGGTACGTTCTTTTAATTCAGCTCTCCACAAACCGATATCACATTCCACTAGTGTGTGATGGGCGATTGCCACATAGCCACACGGTAACATTAGCAGCTGAACTGGAGCAATATTTGACTAAAGCGGGTGTGGCACGAAATTTCAGGCTAGAGCGCGGGGAAGTCTGGATTGAGATCAGGCCATATTGAGGATGAGGTCTACGAGGACTTGACTTGTCACACCCGATTCGAGTGCCTAAGTTTATTATCTCTTCCGGCGGTGACAGATCGGATCCATCAGTAGTAGACCCCCATTCTACGAGGTTGGTAAGAGACTACTATATCAGCTTCGAGCAAGGCGGGATCGACACGGAATTATGAGGGAGAAAAGAAGCGACACATTCTAGATTGTCTCAGAGCTCATGCATCAGTGAGGCGCGTTGGAAGAAGATCATGTTTATATCTGACGGAGATAAGGGCGCTGTACGGATATTGTGGTGGACACTGCTTAAAAGTTGATCTAAATGACCTGTGACTAGTTCGGATTATTGACGCAAAGGACCGAGTGTACAGTATTCAGGTGCAGATCGTTGACATCCCTCGATACATAAATCCTGGAGCCTTTGCAGTCCTTCTTCCTGGAAGAAAATTGGTATTAGTAAATCAAATGCAAACCAACATTAATCTTACTGGTATAAGTAGCAGAAAGTCTTGCTACGAAGATGGATGCTGTTGACCTTGAACTTGCTACTAGAAAATTAGTAAAGCCAGGTACGTCATTGACACAAAACATACCTGGAGCCAACATTGCCGCATTTGTAGCCGTGAACGTCTTCGTGCGACCCTTTGAGGTTTCTCTGATCATAAACCCGCGCCTGCTAACATCAGTTATACGTTAACAAGCCAATGTATAATAAACTTGCGGTAATAACATCCGCTGCTGTAGCAACGACTGCGAGATAAGAAATGAGTGCGATGATTTGCATGGCAGTTGTGTGAAATAGCACCACTAGTAAGATGACTTGAACGGAAGCAGGATAATTTTAAGAGAAATGGCGAGGCTATAGGGACATTTATGAGATCCTTACGGCAAGGGCTGAAAGCCAGCGCTCAATATTCCGAACATGGGTCGCGGCGAATACCTGCCGAGCATCTAATCATGCCACTGGAAGCAAAGAATAAGCGCTGTGGCGTGAGAAGATCTGCAAAGCTAGCCTAATTTCACATAAGCTCGTGGGTATTTTTCAGGCCATGCTACGCTGCTCTTATCTGAAACGACTTGCTTCTTATCGGATTATGCTAAGCTTCATTCATTATCGCTCTCGTGGCGGAAATCTTCCGCTATCTCAAACCGCGCGAGCTTACAGCGTACCCGTTGGTTCAAAGGGCTTTGCTCACCCAATCATGCCATGGAGCTACCCCTCACTCCTTATAAGCTTCGTCTTCGCCTGACTTGAGGTATCTCAAAATGTGGCTGCTGCTTTCCAACAGCCACTTACAGCGGGGGGCTGGACACCATGTAAACAGGTTTATCCAGCTGATTCGCAACCTCTACCCGCTTCATGCAATTAGAGCAATTATCCAAGACTCTGGGGTCAATATCAGAACTGTCATACCTGAGTATCATTGTTCTATGGAAATATTTGAATTTATTCAACAGCCTTTCTATAGAACTAAGGCTCGTGGTGTAAGGAGTAAGATGAGGCAGCGCAAGGCGATGCACCCTAGATCACGCGCTGGTAGCCGATAACAACGCCATGCATTGATAAGAACTCAAAATGGCACTCTGAAGCATTCCATTCAAGTAGATCTGGTGAGGCTGAAAGATGATCATGCTCGCACTTCGTACAGCTGAGAGAAAACTGGAACGCTAACACTTACTGTCTCACTTGTCTCTAGGGCGCGATAAAGGTTCCCCGCTTCAGTAGTTAGGAAATCCCAAACGTTTGCGATAGTGTCAGCCAGCCACATCCGGGTCTCGAACAGACGATGAACGCCAAATCTCACAGGCGTCAAGCTGCCCCTCCCACATCTGATATGCATATCACGCCTCGATCAGATTCGCGAGCCAGTAGGATACAGCTCCGCTTGAGATAAACTTAAGTAGCCAATAGAAATTGTTGGTCTGCACCCTCCTTCAGTGATACCGATCTTATCACATTTCTGATTTTCGTACTTGTTCCTATCAGATCCTCATCCCCGCAGATCTAGGCCCGGGCCTTTCGCCGCTATTGATATGGCCCACCTTTGAGGCTAACCCGTCGTTCAGCTAGAATGATCAAGCTGAAAAAGAGAGATATTCTCGCAATTGAATGGGAAAAGGCCATGAATATAAGTATTGTGCGCCCTGCCCACCAATGGTGCTCAAGAGACAAAAATTACCTCAATTTATTCTATAGTTGACCAGAGCATTAAGCATCACCATGTCGACAGCCACGCAAACTCCTCCACCGTCTGAAAGGACACTGCAAGAGAAGATCGAGCACCTCGGTGATCTCGTTAGAGACCCCGAATCTGACTTGGGCTCCGATGAATTGCCCCATCTTCCTGAGCTCATTGATGATTGGTACAATACCGATGTCGATGTCAGCAAGGAAGAGTTCCACCAAAGAATTCTGCGAGTCTTTAAGGATTCCAAGCATGAGCAGGTATACAATGGTGTTATGAACCAATTTCCTAGTGAAATGCGAGAAGTTCTTGAGGCTTTCATCGAAGGTGATAAGACTGCTGATGAAGCTGGAAAAGCTATCAAGGAGGTTGCACCGTTAGAGCTTGAGGCGTCAAGTACTAGCTCTCATCTTCAGGCCTTTTCTATGATGGCACAGCAGGTGACTCCTCCTACTAAAACCAAGGTCCGTATTCTTCTGCATAGTTGCGGGTTTTCCATCTAACATCCGCAGGGCAAGGAAACGAAGGACTTGACCTTTCAGAATTGGGGCCGCACCGTCAAGAATACGCCCACGGTCACGTATTACCCCGAAACTGTCGCCGAGATTATCGAGATTGTTCGTGACGCTGTCGCCAAGAACAAGGGCATTCGTGTCGCCGGTTTCCGTGAGCTTTCCAGTCCGACCAAACACCCTCTCAACTGACCGTAATCAGGGCACTCATGGGCACCCGTTTTCGGGAGGAGCAACAAGGCTGGCCAGTCTACTAATGGCGATGTACTGATCTCTACTCTGACTGAGACCAACGCAAGCAGATTGCCCAACCTCACTTCAGTTCCGACCAACCTTTTTCAGCCCAAGGACACGGAGCTCAACGCGATCAATGTCATCACGGACCCTAAATTTGTCGGAGCTCCGGCTCTGAAGAATGGCAGGAAGTATGTTCAGGTGGGAACGGCGACTACGAATGAAAAGTTCCGACGGTGGTGCATCAACACGGGAAATGTCACTTTGCCCATGAACATCATTGAGGTCGAGATTACTTTTGGTGGCAGCAATGCTACAATTTGGTGAGTTCTTAACTGCAGACTATCGCCATTAGAACTAACGGTAGTAGTCACGGCGCGGGTATTAACAACCCAACCTTGAGCGACCTTGTCCGACGAATCGACTACATCGACGTCAACGGCCAAGAACGTTTCGTCAACATGTCCGACCCCACGCTTCTCAAGGCGGCAAGTGGCTGCTTCGGTCTTCTCGGCGTCGTCACCTACATCACCTTTGAATGCGACGCCATGTGCACCGCCGTCATGCGTCCCGTCAAACTCGACGTTATCGACGCTATCCCCCCACCGCCTGAGATGAAAGACTCAGATATCCCCGCTGCCCTTCGCCAAAAGCGCACACAGGCTCAAAAGGATGATGCGCTTCGTGAGTTTGAGCGCCGTGCGAATGAGGACTTTTATGCAGAGTGGTTCTGGTTTCCTTACTCGCAGCAGGTCTGGGTTAATACCTGGAAGACAGATACTGACACCAAGAACGTGGTTAACTATCCCAGTAATGCAAAGACTTTGTATCAGGTTGCCAGCACGGCGATTATGAACATGGCTCAAGAGATTGGCAAGCATATACATGCCTTACAGGTTGCGCCTCAGACGCAGACTTCACTCCTTTGTAAGTTTGAGTCATCTACTTCGGAAATAAAAACACTAACATGACACAATAGCTTGGCTCGCAGTGAAGAACTTTGACGATGTCAAGGGAACCAACAAATCCATCAGAACCCTGCTACCTAATGCGCTTCACTTCCAGCGCGGCGTTCAGAACATCCGAGTCCGCAATCTGGAAGTCGAGATGGCTGTAAGTCTTTCGACCCTTGATGCCCATCCAGTAACTAATGTCGCTATCAGCTTGACTCAAAGAAAGGCAAGCCTAATGAGAGAGACTACACCAACGTGAGACGTGCCTGGTGGGACGTCATAAAGACATGCTACGCCAACGCCAAAACATCTCCTATGCGCATGCCAATGGAGATGCGAATAATGGGTTCCAGCGAAGTAACCCTCGCGCCACAGCGCGGTAATAGACTTGGAACATGCGCCATCGGCATTCTGACTCTTGAGGCTGTATCCGATATATGGGTCCCTTATGCGCAACAGGTCCTTGACAAGTGGACGAGCTACAAGACGAATGATGGCAAACCCGTGGTGGTGAAGCCTCATTGGGCAAAGGAATGGTACATGTACAAGGTTGGTGGTAAGCCTTGGATGGAGAAGCTGGTCAAGGAGGATTATAAGGAGGAGATCGCAGAGTTTCAGACGCTGATGGCCGCTATTGGCAAGAAGCATGGTTGGACGCTTGGGGATATCAAGAGGACGTTTTCTAACGATGTCCTTGATAATACCTTCCTGGGCGGCGTTGCTATCTCTAAACCACAGCAGGTTGCTAAGCCGGAGAAGATGGTTCAGGTTCAGGTGCATGAAGTTCCAGCGGATGCAGTCTCACAGGTATCAGTTTGAGCAGCAGCCATCAAATAACAAACTAGAAATCACATTATCTCTGCACGTTGCCCAAAGAAGGAATACCCTTAGGTTAACCTCTTACGTCAAATTCGATCTTGACATCCAAGGTGAGGGATTAGCCAGCGCCAAACACTACCTGGCCTGATTCTAGCTATCATCAGCCCAAAGGTTTCCAACACCACCCGCTCAAGCATCCCACCAAGATCTCGTCCCCAAGGCTTACTATCAGTCTGTAGTCATGTTTCCATATGATAGCACAGGCACTGGAGGCTCTCTCGGCCCAACGCAAATCCGCCTTCTGCATCTATTTCCAGCAAAAATTAGCAAAAATCCGATTGAGTGCCGACTCGAAGTTGTCGCATTCGAAGAAAACCCAGTGTATGAGGCTCTTTCGTATTGCTGGGGCGACAGTACTCAGCTTCAGGGGATAAAATGTAACGATGAGGCATTTCAGGTCACCGAAAATCTTTTCTCCGCCCTGCAGCACTTGAGGAACAAGGGTACCGAGCGAACACTATGGATCGACGCCATTTGCATCAACCAGAATGATCTGGAGGAACGCCAATCCCAAGTTAAACTTATGAAAGACATATATACCAAATCCGAAAAGGTCGTTATCTGGTTAGGTCCCGACCCCGCCTCCGATGGAGTTAACCACTTGTTCGAAATGCTGCAAACGATTCCAAATCTTCCTGACCCTCAGCTGAGCAAAAGAGAGAGAATATTCTTCGAGATGAACGTGTTTGATGCTGATCGCTGGCGTCAAGATGAGGAGACGGTTTCCTCCAAAGTCTCGGATCGTATCAAGAAGGATTTCGTTATACCTCAAGAGGCCAAAAAGGGCGCAATTGCTGTGTTGACAAGACCTTGGTGGACAAGGATTTGGACCGTTCAGGAGATGGTTCTAGCTCCCTGTGCAATCATTATGTGCGGTCATTTAGCTGCTCCTGCATCAGATGTTCGACGTGCATGCGCGGTTGTTCTTATGCACGCAGTCAATGACGCCTTTGACGTTGGTGATGATGATGATCTACTGAGTTTCGGAGACTTGTTTGATGACCCTAACGGCACATTATATATGGCCAGAATGCGAACACATCCAAGTGTCAGTGCGAAGATGGAGCTTGGAAAGCTGCTCCGGTTTCTTAGATGGTTGAAAGCGAAAGATCCAAGGGACAAGGTATATGGTTCTTTGGGTATCGCCGCGTCAAAATACGGCATTGAGGCTGACTACACCATTTCTGCCGTTGAATGCTATACGCGTGCCACTTTTAGCATCATAAGCGGTAGCCGGTCGGTGGATATCTTTAGCGCTCTGCGAAGGCCGTCCTGCATAGAGTCTACTTTGGCAGACCTGCCATCCTGGGTCCCTGACTGGAGTTACGACTTCTCTAGTGTTCCCAATAAGGAAAAGGGACCATCGGCTATCAATAATCCTATCATGAGAGAAAACGTTCGTACCCCGATGATGCTAGAAATGGCGGGTGCGTTTCCCGAATGGAAGGCATCTGGATCCAACATGCCCTTCACTGTAGGGCTTTCAAGCGATGGGAAAACACTGATCCTGAGAGGCATGATACTGAATGAGTTAGATCGCGTTGGGGAAAAGCTCGAATACCCTTGGCCGGGCCCTGAACTACAATCCGACAGCGTCATCATGGACTCGATTCACGATTTCAAGAGAAGTTGGAGAATCTATAGGTCTATCGGAGCCGCCATGGACACTATAAAAGGCTGGCAAGATCTGGCTTTCGAAAATCAGAACCTACGAACAATGTCCGGAGAAACCCGAATGGACGCTTTCCTCACAACATTATTAAGCAATCGGATTCGTCTCAGTGCTGATGGACGAAAAGTCCTGGATCATCTTGAGAAGAGCATAGGAACTAGCTTCAAGATGAATAGTAGCAGTACTATTATGAATCAACTTCGTCTCCCAACATTGGCACCGAAACTGTATCACAGACTGCTGGGATTCGGAAAGATATGCAGTATCGACGACAGCGAAATTCTCTCGTTCGGGAAGTCTTTCACCGACGTGCAATTGGCTTTTGACCAAAGAATGGCGACGACAGGATCAGGATATCTCTGCATGGTTCCTTGGTCTGCTCGAGCTGGTGATCGGATTGCGCTGTTTGGAGGCGGAAGGACGCCGTATGTACTCAGGAAGGTGGGGCAGAGATGGAAGATTCTGGGGGACTGTTACGTTCATGGCATCATGTCCGGCGAGGCATGGAGTGATGATGAGTGTGTTGATATTGCGATTATCTGATCAAATGACAAAATCCTCCACTGTATTCCCTTCCACGTCTAGACACGATTCTCAAGTGATGAGGCAACCTGGAGAGCGGCATTCATGCTCACTCGACGACACAAAGTCTACATAACTTGAATCAAGCGCATCTCGATTTCACGATTCACTACAGTCTAGGGCCTTAGATAGAACTTGATCTAGACGCTGAGTCGCATGCCCTGAAACCATGCAGTGAACATCCATGCGTGATCAAGTCGAATAACATATGAACAAGAAGCGAGTTAGAAGCAGACACATGAGCGAGTCTGCTGTCGTGAAACGTGACCATCAGAGTCTAGTCCTCACGCAGTGATGCCATGCTTCTCCGTTCAAGATATAAATCGCCGAGCATCGCCATTGAACATGGTGATCATAGCGACATTTTTAGCTGCTCGACTCAAAATGATTTCTCTCTGGATCTTCTTTCTCGCCATTTTTGTCTGGCGTCTTCACGTCTCATACAACCACTTCTCCAAAGTTCCTTATGCGGTACCCTGGTGCCCACGCGGACGATTTACTCCGTATCTCGTTACACAGATCGTAGGAATCTGGAACATTCCAAGTGTTATGAACAAAGCTTATCAGGATGTATGCGCGCTGAACAACCACTGTTTTATCCTTCATGCTGATGTTTGTAGTACAACAAAAAAGGCTCTGTTTGTGTGATCGCTCTACCGTTTAGTGGTCCAGAGATTCTGCTACCTCGGAATCTTATTCGGTGGATGACCACACAGAATGACAAGATCCTTAGCCCGATTCCTGTGCAACATGAGGTCGTTGGGGCCAAGTACGCGTTTCTGAACTCCTCGGTTCAGAAGGACTTTGCGGTGTACGATATTCTTCGGGCGCAGTTGAATCGACATCTTCCGAGATTGATACCCAAGATTGCTGAGGAGTTGGCTGCCTCGATAGATGGGACGTTTGGATTAAATACAGAGTGGATTCAAGTTCAGGTATACACGCTTGTTCGGAGGGTGACGGCAAGAATCACAACTTGGTTGCTGCTTGGCGGCATACTCAGTAAGCAAGTTTCCATACTGCAGAAGTTTGCGACTGACAATCACTAGGCCACGATGAGGAGCTTGTTGAGAACCTGTCCAAGTTCTCCGCCAGCGTAATACCCAGTGCTATCGCCCTATCATTCTTCCCTCTATTCCTCCAGCCGTACGCCTCCCGACTCACATCAATCTTCAACCACATCTACATGGCTAGAGCCCTCAAGATCCTTGGTCCCCACATCGAAAAGAGAATCATCGCCGTCGAAGACGACCTATTGAGGGACCTCCCTCAAGACGATGTGCTTACTTGGCATATCCACGAAGCACTGCGCAAAAAAGAACCCCGATTCGATATGGCCGACGTCATCGCTTGTCGTGTCTTTGCCACAGTTTTTGCTGCACTCGAATCAACAACACTGACAATGACATGTGCTCTCTTTAATGTTTGCGCAAGCGACCCTTCCACGCAGGTTTGCCAATCTTTGGAAGAAGAAGCAGTTGGTGTTTTCCCCGCAAACATGGATCAAACAAGTTTGAATGACCTCCATGTTGCGGACAGTGTTATCAAGGAAACATTTCGGCTTAATACTGCAATCAAAGCACTTTCGGTGGAGGTTATGCAGGAAGGTGGTCTAACAATTGAGGATCGTATGGTTCATCTGCCTCAACGCGCTCTCGTGAGTATTTCCGCTTGGGGTATTCACCATGGCGAGGATATATATCCCAATGCGTATGCCTTCGACCCATTTCGATTCGTGCTGTGGCATGGGCAGGGTGGTGAGGAGGATGTTAAGACCCCTCTCTCGACACTCCTTCGGAGAATTACATCACATTTGGGATTGGAAAGCACTCTTGTCCTGTAAGACAGTTTGCAGCTGTTGTTACAAAATTGTTTCTTGCGTATTTAGCGATGAACTATGATCTAGAGGAAGTGCATGAGAAGCCTCGTTTCTTGAGTTTGGGACACCTTCCTGTGCCTCCAATGAGAGCGAAGCTGAGGGTCCGGAGGAAGGCAAATCGTGTTAAATCTGAGGCTGGCAATCGAGTTTAAAGTTCTCCTGCATAATGCATTTGTCTCGCTTATTTGGGTGTTCTTATAGGCCATTGCGGATGTGATGCCAGGGACAGCGAGAAAACTTAGGACCCAGATCCTAAGGAACGAAAAGACTTGTGTAGGTTTAGCATATCCTCGTATGCCTTCTGACCAGTGGAGTCTGGCGCGCTAAGTTTCCTCGCTGCCTAGGGATAATGGCAATGTTTCACTTGCAAAACGGTGTAAGGCTTGATGCCTAGAGGCGACAAACTGTGGGCGAGCTCAATTTCGATCCAGTCATTGTTGTAATGGGGCTTTTCGATACACTTTTCTCTGTTTTCTAAATAATCAAGGGTATCGGAGAATTAATTGTCTATTGTGGTATGGCTCCATGCAGTTTGAGTGACCAGTGGGCCTCCCGCATTCACATTGCTTCTTGATCCTCCTAATAGGATAACATAAACCAAGCCAAGAGATATCAATTATATAACTAAGTAATAGAATAGAAATAGAATAGCTTCCTTCCTTTACTATCTCTATCTTCCCTCCTTCACTCTCTCTATTATTCTTCTTTCCTTCTTTCTTCCTTCTCTCTTCCTTCTCTATCCTTCTCTATCCCTCCCCAAACTTAGACTCTTACCTATCATAACCGTTCAACTGCATCTCAACATACAGAAGCATCTTTACAAGATAGTATTTTACAAGTCCCCATCCTCATACATAGTCGGTGATCCCGTGAACCCAGGTTAGTTGTCGTTCATCTTCACCAACTTCCCATGCGCCAAATCCACATATCAAATCCAGCACGACCAATAGTCCTCGGCATCTACGGCATTCCAGGCTCCGGAAAGTCTTTCATCCTCGAGTACCTGCGCAAAGAACTGGGTGAGGAAGAATTCGCATTCTTCGAAGGCTCTGAAGTTATTGCCTCTCTCGTCCCCGGGGGCCTTGCCGAATTTCACAAACTCGATGAGCACGAAAAGTATGAATTTCGCGTCAAATCCATCAATAACATCACAGCCGTCGAGTCGCTGTTGTGACTGGACACTGTAGCTTCTGGTCCAAGGAGAAGGATAGACCCGAAGATATCCTCACAGGCGATGACTGGGAAACGTTCACCCATATCATCTACCTTAGACCTGACGAGCAGACCATCATGTCAAACATCGAGAGCGATAAGAAGGACAGATCTTGCATGTCCGGTTTGACGGAGGAGAATTTGGGTTATTGGCAAAGCCATGAAATCTATCAGCTGCGAGACAGATGCTCGGAGAATCATATTCTCTTTGCTAACATCCAGTCGCCCATGCCCCGGGATGTCCTGCTCCATGTTCGAGACTTCAAAAAGCCGGCGACAGCTGAAGCAAACATCGCAGAGGTGACAAAGCGACTTGACGAGATCGTTGCTTTGCACGACAGCAAAGAACTTCAGACATTCCTAGTCTTTGATGCTGACAAAACCTTGTCGGCCGAAGATGGTGGCCGTCTCTTCATGCGCGAGGTGGAGGGAGACGATTGGGGAATTGGCGGCGATCTCGTGAGCGATATCTTCCGTGGTCCGATGGGCTACTCGGATGCTGCGTTCCGCCAGGCGACCTTGCTTCTGGAACAGAAATGCACTGATGAGGTGTTCGAAGAGCACTGCAACACGGTGTCAGCGTCCGTCCCCCTACGCTTCGAGTTCATGTCTCTCTTGAGCCTCGTCGCACAGAAGAAACACATTGGCGCTGTCGTTGTGACCTGTGGCGTGGGGCGTCTATGGACCAAGATCTTGGAACGCGCCGGCCTCGCCGACTGTGTCAAAGTGATTGGTGGTGGGAGATTCTCGAGTGGTTACATCGTCACTCCTGATGTCAAGGCTGCTGTTGTGTCGCACCTCAGAGACAAACATGAGCTCTACGTCTGGGCTTTTGGCGACAGTCCTTTGGACATCCCCATGCTTTTGGAGGCGTACCAAGCGATTGTTGTTGTCGGCGAAAAGGACAAGAGAAGCAAGACTATGGATGAAGAATTGGACAAGGTGATTCGAGACGATCACCTGCGAGCCCGACAGGTCCTCCTGCCGAGTACATCGTCGCCTAGACTTGACACCAACACTCTACCTGTTGCCAGGATTGACGTAGACTTCTTCAAGTCAATTTTCGATCGCCGTCCCGATCGCCAGCCTCTCAAGCTCTCCCATGCTACCGATAAAGCCGCCGCTAAACTCCTCATTTCTCCCATGCGCGACGCCGCAGTGTTTGGCCCAATGCTACGACAAGCGCATGCCAATGTCGGACGATATCTCGCCATCGAGTATTTATCCGAGCTCATCGGTCTCGAAGACTACGCCTTTCCCCACGTACAGGGCCATAACACGACGGGCTATTATCTCTGCAATGAAGCCGCCACTTCGATCATCGCTTTGATGTGTGGCGGTGAACCGATGGCATTCGGCGTTAGCGAAGTGTTCCCACAAGCGATGTTCATTCATGCCTCTAGCGCTGAAGACGTGAAGATGCATCATGTCCAGGGACAGTCGAATGTGATCTTGGTGGACTCTGTGGTCAACAGCGGCAAGAGCGTGATTGAGTTCATCAAGCGTGTTGTCCGCCTTGAGCCCGACATCAACATTACAGTCGTGGCTGGTGTAGTGCAGGCTGAAGCGATCGCTGAAGGTCATCTATTCGCGAAGGTGATGAGACGACACGGCGCTGGATTGATTGCGCTCCGAGTTTCGGAGAACAAGTTTACTGGGACGAAGACGACGGACACTGGGAATCGGCTGTTCAACACAACTCACTTGGCTTAGGCTTATATGACATCTTGACGCTCAGGTCTCTCTAGGCTAGAGACAGGCAGTAGTATTTGGCGATACAGGTCACAAGAAATTGAAGAATATTTGACATTATCTAATTGAAAGATAATGCTTCCACCTCCATGACCCATCGCCATCCTCCTCACAAAAGTCTTAACCCTCATTGTTACAGTTCGTACAATAGTCCATAACAACCTTACACGAGTTCGACAGCTCAATATGTCCACACATCCAAATGTTGTCATTGCTCTTAGCATTCTCACGTCTGCATCCAAAGTTAGTAAACAACCCATTCTTAATGACTAGGGAAGGGCAACTTACGCTTCTTTGATGAGCTTACCGCTCATACCAATACCATAGTCATCACAGCTAAACTTGGCAATACAAGCAGCCTGTCCCATAGACATGACCATCAAAAGACCCTTCTTGGATCGGCTGTAGCGCGTAGTGTAACCAGTGTAGATAGTATCGTCATCGAATTCACCGATGGCACGGTCACATGCGTCGCCGAGACCAGACTTGGAGAGACCATCGCTTGTACCGCACTGTCCCGAACCATCATTGTCGACGTGGGTTTGTGTAGGGACTGGTGTAGCGATGGTCTTGACCTCGCCGATACCATTGGAGAAGGTAGCTGTTACATCCTTGTACACCTGTCCATACGCAAGAGTGTAAGCAGTCCAGGCGAGGACGGTTCCATCAATGGTCTTGGTAAGAGGTTCGTTGATGGGTGCTTGGGTAGGAGGGGGAGCTTCGGTGGCGGGATCGACCTTGGAAGGATACTCGGTGTATGCTTCACACTTGTTGTCGATGAGTGTAGCTGTTGCGACGTACTGCTTGCCCGAGACGGTGGTGGAGCATTGACAGTAGGCTGATGTTACACGGGGACCACCGTAGATGCCGCAGGGGTAGTATGTGCGCACTGGAGCGGTGGTGATGTCCTCGGTTGAGCCGGAAGTGATGGTGTTGGTGGTTTGGTCGGAGGGACGGGTTGTTGTGAGGAGAGTGCTGGGTCTTGTGGTAGCGGGGCCTGAAGTGTCAGTCTCATCAGCCTTGGTGGTCTCTTCCGTTTTGACGGTTTGATCAGCAGTGCTGGTCTCATCGACAGGCTTGGTAGAGGTCTCTTGGACAGAAGTCTCGGGTACGGTTGTAGACTCAGGACCCTGGTTGGAGGTAGTCACATCAGTAGCTTCAGTCGAAGTTGGTACCGCAGAAGTGCCAGTCTCGGATGCTCCAGCAGAGGTGTCGCTACCAGTAGCACCGTCACCGCTGGTGGGAGGCAGAGCAATTGACGTCTTAGGTTGTGTATCAGAAGCAGCAGCGATACTGGTAGTCTCCCTCATCTTACAAGACCCAGTAGTCTCCGTCGTCTCAGCAGAAGTCGTAGTCTCAGCCTCAGTAGACGTAGGCTTCTCAGTGGTGCTAGCCTCAGTCTTGGTCTCCTCAGTCTTTGACTCTTCCTCTTCAGTCTTAGACTCCTGCTTCTCAGTCTTGGACTGATCATCATCATCATCCTCTTCCTCACTCTGATCCTTAAGATCGTTGCTGTTGTTGGTAAGAGTGGTGACAATGGGAGTGACGCCTTCGACAATACCGCCGGTGATCTTGCCAGTGACATCTTCAAGGTTGGAGACGACGCAAGACAAGGTGTTGATGACATTGGAAACGATGTCGAGAAGTCCGCGACGTCGCTTACCGGGACATCCACCAGACTCATTACCGCCAAGATCCTTGATAGCGCCCTTGACACCATCAATCAAGTTGTTAACCTTGTTCAATGTATCTGTCTTGAGGCCATCAGGGTTGTTGGTCCAAGCAACGATGATGGGGATAATGTCGTCGACCTTGGAGTTATACTCTGAGGCAGTGACCTGAGCCTGAGAAGCAGCAGCAGTGGCTTCTTGGGGAGGAGCAGTGACGGGTGCTGAAGGGGCATCACTTGGCTTGTCGCTGGGCTCAGAGGCCTTCTCAGTGGTGCTGGGGATGTCGTTGACGGGGGCTGTGGTGCTAGGAGCATCGGCCTTGTCGGTTGTGGTTTCGGGAGGGGGTACCTCAGCGCTGGTGTCTGTGTGGGGAGGAGGGATGGCAGCGGAGGTAGTGGTCTCAACAGATGCCTGAGCTTGGGTGGTTGTGGTCTCAGGGCCAGGTACGGGAAGATCAGTGGTCGTGTCGACAGGATCAATTGCGTTGCTGGTAGTCTCAGTCCCAACCGGAGCAGCAGAGTCTGTGGTAGTGTCGACAACAGGAGGAGGGACATCGCTAGTAGTCTCTGTTCCAACCGGAGGAAGATCAGTGTTGGTAGTAGTGCCAATTGGCTCAACAGTATCACTGGCAGTGGCTGTCTCGGTCCCTACAGGAGGAAGACCGGTGTCGGTAGTCGTACCAATTGGGTCAACAGCATCGTTGGTAGTAGCTGTCTCAGTGCCAGCAGGAGGAGGGACATCAGTGCTGGCACCAGGAGTGCCAACGACATTGGTCTCCGTGCCAGCTGGAGGGAGCCAGTTCGATGTAGTCTGATCCTCAGTTGTAGTAGGAATGGGGTTCACGACAGGAGCATCAGTGCTGCTCAACCCATCCACATCCACAATAGCTGATGTCTCGGTACCAACAGGCGCAATCTCAGCGCTCGTGGTGCCATCAACAATCTGGCCAATAGTGGTAGGAGTGTCAATCACAGGAGGAGCTCCGGTAGTTGTGTCAATGACAACAGCGCCATTGTTGATAGAAGTCTCAGTGTTGATCACAACAACATCTGAGCTTGTAGTAGGAAGAACGTCAATGGGCGCGACGGCGCTGGTGGTTGTAGAAATGAAGGTATCAGTTGTAGTGGTATCAGTGTTGACGTCTCGCTCATTAAGTTGATAGATTCTATCACTGTTAGCTCCCTCAATTACACCGAAATGGAGGGTCACTTACTGGTAAGGAACGGCAGAAGCAAACTTGGCTCCGATAGACAAAAGAAGGAAACCAACGCCAATTGGCATGGAAGAGTCTGTAGGGCGCAACATAACGAATGAAGAAGCTAGCCCAACCAAGATTTGCGATACTAAAACAATGGGCAAAAGAGTGTCTGTAGGAAACAAAAGACTATAAGTAAAGTAAAGTCCAACAAAGGACTTATTTACAGACAAGCCTCAGCATTAACAGGCTGACTTACATGGATTGTAAGGCATCCCCATAATTCTAAATTACAGGCCCGATCCTTCAGAAGAAACTTCCGAAGGATCTCAGCAAAACAAGCTGTTTACATTAGCGCATCGAAATTTACCTCCGGATGCAGAATGGACTGTGCATCTGCCGAGAGTGTTACGACGCAGAGTGAGATGGTTCATTTCGGGACTCCCTTAATCTCCATCCTTCGGAATCCTTATTACAGGGCTGTAAGGCTCCATCCCGTGCGCTTATCGGGGGCTGTTAGTGGGTGGCCCGCTGTTGTTCTAGGGCTGAGCTTGCTCCACTGGGGTAAATAAGCAGGGGACTTGGGGAATCGCATGCCCTCATTGGTATGATCGGGATCTGCCTTGTAACATTGTTTATTATAGATCCATTTATTTCATGCGTTGGATTTGATCTATATGTCATCGTTGCAATAGGATTCAGTGCATGTAAGAAGCAAGGCCGATAGGCGATCGCAATACGACCGCTAAACCTCATCCCCATTGTCATTCTGTATGATTCACCATCCTGACGCTCAAGGCCCTCTGCGGAACGTGCAAAGCTCAGCCCCCAATCTCAGCACGTTTCAACTAAAATCTCATCCAGACCCCAACTTTGATCCTCTGAACACGGCAAACACGGGAAGATATGGATCCTCGTCTCACCATCCAAGCCTTCCGCAAAATGTCTCAGTAAACCGCCTGAATATTCGGCTCACGAGTCATCAACACGCTATAACCCCACTCACACACAGTCAGCTCAGCCTTGTTTCATCGGTAGTGGAACATGTCAAGGATCTCCATAATCGCTCCTGTTTCAAGTACAACAAAATTGAGATGAACTAATTAAAAAGATTACGCCAAGGATTCAGCATTGCATCCTCCGAAAACACGGCATCTTGTAAGCCATTACCAAAGTCCTAAACAGCCCGTTAAATAAATGCACTACCCAGCTATTCCCCAGCATCGCTAGGTCGTCGGTATTCCTCCTACACTCTTTTGGATAGTCATTCTCTTCCGCGACAATGCTTTTCTCAAGTCGCTTCACTTTTGCCCTCGGGGCTTTACTCTCATTCATCACCAACGCCAGCGCTGCTTCTGGCGAGGGCAGTTTCCCTGATTTTATCTCTAATTGGGCTCTTTTCCGAAGATGGGAGGACATCACTGGTTCTATCCCCGTCTTTGACGTCCCTGGCATGGATGACCTCACCATGGGCGAGTGGGTCAACTCTGAGAAGAAGTTGACCTGGGAGTGCTACACGCTCACCAAGGATAGCCTCGTGGCTAATAGCTTGACTGTCATCATCGACAAAGCTACCTTGACTTGGACCGACTCTGAGAACCAGCCGCAGCAGCAGACTGTTGTTAGTAAGCGCAGTGGTATCAAGTCTGGTGATGGTAACGCCATTATGTACGGCGCTCGTCTGCAGAAGGCTCTTGGCCATCCTAATATTCTTCCCATCAACCATATCGTTTATGGCAAGGGTGGTGTGAAGGACTATGGTTTCGCTATCATGCCTTATGTGCAGGAGGGCTCTGTGGCTGATAACCTCGGCAGCCTGACTGATGTGAACGGTGCTTTCAAACAAATGCTCGCTGCCGTTGCTGCTGTCTCCGCTGCGGGTATTATTCATCGTGATCTCAAGCCAGAGAACTTTCTCAAGGATGGAGATACCATTAAACTCATGGACTTTGACCAGTCGCGAGATATCGGTACAACTGTTCAAATGGATGTCGGCACTCCCTCATACACTGCCCCAGGTACGATACCCACTTCCTCAATCTCAAGTATAAGCTAACGTTTCTGTAGAAATCATCATTGGCCGGGACTACACCACCAAGGCCGATACCTTCTCTCTAGCCATGAGCTTCCTCGTCATGTCTGTTCCTGACCTCCGAAACTCTGATAGCCGATTCCAGCTGTGGAAAGATCTCATTGAGCCTCCCAACACCAGCTACGAGCGTGTTACAGCGGATAAGACTGAGGAGATCCTCCGGGGAAGAAACTATGGCGTTTTCAACGGTAACGATGGTCTGCTGAAGGTCATCGCGAAGGCTATGTGCAGCGAGAGTGAAGGACGCTACACTCCTGCTGAGTTTGAGACTGCTTTTAACGGAGCGACATAACTGCCAGGTCATTAAAGGAACGGTGGGGACATTAATATCTTGGGTGACGATAGTTGAGAATTTTAGACTTTATATGTACCTCATACTGGAGAACGTTACACTTTGATTGTTCCGGATAGATCCTCTCTACAAAGTGAAGCGCTCTGCATCTGTGGATAAGATGCTCATGCTCACCTAGCCCGCCCGCAGTTCAACAATACGCGTAGAATAATGAGTAGCATTTTGTGATTAATGAATATTTAGAGGGCTACAATAAATACATCCACATTGTTGAGCATATTTCCTCATTCTTCGTTTCCCGTCAACAATTCAACCGCCTCAATCAATCGTTCAACAGTGACATCCTTCTGCGATTGCACTTCAAGCTGCAAATCATTAGGCCAACTCACCACGGCAGCGTTGAAACATACCGTAGCCACGTTCTTGAAGCCCGCCTTCTCAGCATACCAGATCAAATCTCTCCTCACCCTGTGCTGAACACGTGCATTCTTGGTCGAAGCCGTGGCAGGGAAACGTGTCCAGATCAAGATGGCAGCACCTGACTCGGGATGGCGATAAAACGCAAACTTCTTGATCCCGGGGGCGTCAAAGTATTCTGCGAGGTTTCCAGGCGCTACCTGCTTGATGTGATCCTCGAACTCGATGGTGTCCTCCTCGTGATCGACTACCTAGTTCTTGGTAAGCTTGGTACTGAGGAAGTGAGCTCGTCTTACCAGCTTCAAGAGGTCACCGTCCTGGAGTTGAGACAAAACTTCAGTGCTGCGGGCATCGAGAAGATAATCTGGCTCTGATTTGGGCTGATCCGTCGTTCCGGGGATATTGATGGTCTGGCGCTCTGTTGATCCGAATGACATATTGAAGTCTTTTATTTTTATCTTATGTGTCTTGTTCTGAGATGGGTTTGCTGAAGTTGTAGAAAAAGTGGCAGGTGACGTCCTGAGTCCCTGGTGCCTGAACGCGCGCTAGACCACTGAAACAGCGATTAGTCAGAGGGGATAGCCACTAAAATCAGCAACAGGCTTAGTGAGTCCTACAGCGCACGCGCCATCGTACGTAGGACTTTATCATGGATTGTTGTGTCGAGAATATGCGAACGACTTTGTAGGACCTTTGTCGGAGAAAAACATAAACACGAGCATAGCTAACGTATCTTCATTATATTTCTTAAGGCTTTATCAGGCATCTAACTAATCGTCCCACGTGTCATGGAGAGCTTCCTGATAAACATTCACCACCTACCCTGGAATCGACTGTTTCTCGCTCTGGATCATATCATCATATTAATCATCGGCTTAAAGCCAATATCCTGTTTGGACGTTTTCCTCAATTTTTATTCTCGGCAAGTGGTGAATAATTATTTTAAGCTTGTTTTTAAGCTTGAAATACTCGGAGTGCAGTCCAATCGCTGGTTTGAGCTGACAATTAAAAACTCCGACTGTAAGCAAACAAATGTTAGCAAGCCATCAAGGTGAAGATATTGAGTCTGAACGTCACACGAACAAATTTCGATAGCTCTCTATCCGCTGAGCACTTTGATAGAAGAGTAAATGATCCATGAATTCTTGTCTGAATAGTGCGTCACTAATAGTATTCTTTTGAAAATCTTATTCTAGTTCATATATACATCATGAAGTCGTACAAAATCGCTCATCATCTAAGAAGCATACTCAAAAATGTCCTTGATCTCCTCAATAGAAAGCTTCTTCTCCAAAGCAAGCTGAAGCTGAATTCTAGACTTGGAAGGATTCAAGTATCCAGCTCCAATACCAAAAGGTCGCTCATCAACATATCCCCAAGCAGTGCGTCGGCTAACAACGACAGGAATCTCTGTCTCATTAAGAACCTTCTTGATCTCCTCGACAGCCTTATCAGGCCATCCTCCAGCGCCAAGACCAGCGAGAACAATGCCCTCGGCACCGTTCTCAATAGCTTCTTGGAAAAGCTTGGGGTCAGTCTCTTGATGACCGTACAGCACGTCAACTTGAGGGAGAGCAGTCTTGGTGGAGCTGGTGCTGATGTTGAAGTAGTGGTGGCCGAGGGGTCGAGTCGCGGGGTACCAGAAGATAGGCTCGACGTTCTCGAACGAGCCGAGATAGCCTTGATCTTCGGCCTTGAAGGTGTCGAGAGAGTTGGCGTTGGTCTTGATGGTGTATCGCGCAGAGGCAATCTTATCGTTGAGAACGATCATGGCTCCTCGACCCATAGCGCTCTTGCTGCTAGCAAGTCTAACAGCAGAGAGGAGGTTGAGAGGGCCATCAGCAGAAAGAGCCGTAGCAGGGCGCATAGAGCCCACCAAAACAACAGGCTTCTCACTCTTGACAGTAAGATCCAAGAAGAAAGATGACTCCTCGAGGGTATCAGTGCCGTGCGTCACAACAACACCCTGCATATGCTCGCTATCAAGATCATCCTGAATACGATGCGCCAACGTAGTCAGAATAGTAGAATTGATGTCTCCACTATCAACATTGGCGATCTGCACGCCCCGAACGTTGGAGACGTTGCATAATTGGGGAACAGCGTCGATCAAAGTCTTGATACCCAAAGCACCAGCCTTGTAGCCCGTTGTCTGGTCAGAAGATCCAGCTGAACCGGCGATTGTGCCTCCGGTAGCGTAGATGGTGATGTTGGGAAGACTGGCGTTGTAGCACTCAAAGTCGCTGACTGCGCGGGTGAGGAGCTGGGGTAACTCGGGGAGAGGCGAAGCGAGGGCCGAGCCTACAAGGGTTGTGAGGGTGAGCAGGGATTGAAGAGAGGGCGACATGATGGGCGGTCAGGACAAGACTATTAACCTTATACTATGTAAGACAACTGGCTGGGGAACAGAGAAAGAAGGACATGATGGAGGGGAATTTGGGCATCTTTTATAGTAGTGATATCTTGGTAGCTTGGTGTCTTGGTATGTTGGCCGTGATCGCTTATCCTGACCGAGGATATGCGTGCAACCCACCGTGTTACCTTATCATTAGTTAACAGGTCCCGTCGGATCGGCTCTCTAGTTCGAGGATAGTAAGATAGCCAAGAGCAAGTAAGGTGAGGGAGCTAGTTAGAAGGTTCTCGCCGTGCGCCCTAATTACGTACGGCGATAGGTGATCGGCCAGGGATGATGGGTTTCTGCCAAGATTCTAGTGTGAAGCATTATCGTTCGGCCTCTAATGCTGATATGCCGATGAAGATGCGGGGGAGTCAGTCACTGTCGACAACTGGTTTAACGATGGCAATTATTTCTACATCTAGAATAGATAGACTCTATTAGAATACTAATAGATTGTTTTAAGTTAAAGATATTAATTAAGTTGACATGCTTTCGCCAAGTGATAGACGACATGTAACGGCCTATTTAGGTATAGTTTGTAAGCGGGGAGTAGCAGTTACCGAGTGAGTTAAACCAGCCTCTCCAATCCCCACGAACTCAAAATCCACTTTCTCTCTTTTCGCTGTTGGTTCTTGACTCAGTCGCTCCCTCTTCGTCCCCTTGTACAACCAAGTTACATCCCCTATCGCATGCGGGAATTTTTCGTTTTATTGTTTTTTTCTTATCTTTTCGTTACCTCATCCCAAACCTAAGGAAACTTACTCCCGTTGCGGTAGTAAACCCCATCGACCCACGCACGTGCGCGATTATCGCATCCTTTATCTCTCCCACTGTACGGATACCCTTACCTTACCGACCTACTTACTCAGTACTGTAGATACGCACAGTAGATGTGTCTTATCTATGCCTGGCGATGATGTCCCCCCCGCCAAGCGGACGCAGGTACCTAGAGCCTGTCAGCGCTGCAAGACGCTCCGCCGGGGCTGCAACGAGTATCGGCCCTGCAGGCGATGTGTGGATGCAGGTCTAGCAGATCGCTGCATTGGACAGTCCGGCGCTCCGAGTATTCTCCAGCCCATCCACGGCCACTACTCGATACCGTCTAACGCACCTGTTGACGCGCTGCATCGTCTCATTGAGCTTGTACCGGCTCAAGTCCTCGATCATTGCGTCGAGCGTTTCTTTGCTCGGCTGTACCCTACTATCCCTATTCTGACTCGCGATTATGTCGTGCTCCTGAGATCGGCGTCTTCGTCGGTGACGCCAGAATGGAGACTTGAGGCGTACTCTGTTCTCGTCGCCATGTGCGCACAGGTACTACTCCAGACAGAAGAACCGGAGAATTTACTATCGCAAGGCATCATCGCTGAGAATAACGCGACGTACGGCTCAATGATCGTCGACCAAGTCGTCACAATCCATCAATCCACCCCGCGCACAATGAAACCAACCCTCAACCAATGCCTCCTCGCATTCTTCCTCTACGCCTGCCAAGCGCGCCTCTCGCACCACAGCCAAACATTTCTCTTCCTGCGCGAAGCAACAACCCTATTCTGTCTTCTGCGTCTGGAGGACATGGACCATTCCGCAAAGGCGTTAGCACACCGACTATTCTGGGTCCTCGTCGTATCGGAGCGATCTCACGCCATCCGATATCGCCGCCCCATCACATTACAAATAACCGACGAGGCCCCAGAAATCGACCTCAACGATCCTTCGCTCTCTGGCTTCTGGAGTCTTTCGGCGCTTTTCAGACCCATTGATACGTCTTTTGTTGCGCTGTTGAATCAGGAGCGTTTTGCCATCTCACCGCCTCTTTCGTCGTTGGATTTCGTGGAGACGGCTGTTAATACGGCTATAAAGCCTGATTTACAACTTCATGAAACACAGAAGGCGAATTTGAGGATAACGCAGCTGTGGTTGCGGATGATTGTATGGAAACTGCGCCTTCGACTAGGCCATCTGAGTGAAAATGCACATCAGCATAGTCTCACTTACCAATACCCTCTAGTCGTTGCCAAGGACCTCACGCTCTCAACGCGAGATCTTTCCATCGACAGTATAAAGATCCACGGTATCGGAGTAACAGAGAAGTTGTACGACATTGTCTCGGCGGTGGTTGACGTCCTCGCCCGTGTACCAGTCACGCCCTCAAGTCCCCAAGGTCTAGCGATGGGCACGTCACCTGAAGATGATCTACTATACATCCGGAACCTCATAACCAAACTGCCGGGAGGTGCATCCACTTATGAGCCGCTTCTAGAAAAGCACATACAACAGGCACTGCCGAGTCCCGGGCCTAGCGTGGCCCACAGTAGTCCGCCAATATCGAGAGTAAATTCATAATAAACAAACTGTACATCAAGCTATTTAAAACTATATACCCAAATTACTATCATACACCACATTTTTAATTCCATCAACAACGATTTACTGTTTCAATGCCTACTGCAACTCTTTCTCGTTCAACTTCTTGTCAGAAGTAAGGGAGTGCGAATAAGGATCGATCTGAGTCTTTGCAAACTTCCTCGCAGGAACCTTCTTCTCAAAGAGAACATCCAATTCGGCATAAGTACGGTCCTTGGGCTCAGGAAGTCTGAAGAACACCCAGATGGCAGAGATGAGACAAGTTCCAGCCCAGAAGTAGGCAGTGCGAGCACCCCAGTTCCACGCCGATGATGAAAGCTGATAGTTTGTCATGACATTGACAAAGATGTTGCTAGCATTGTAAGCGGCGCGAGCCATGACGATGGTCTTGGCCTTGAGTCGGGTCGATGAGAGCTCGGAGATGAGAGAGTATGTGACGGGTCCAACTGTGAAGTCGTAGACGAATGTGAAGAGAATAAGCATGCCGCCGATAGCCCAGACGGAAGAATTGTCTTTGGAGAAGGAGAGGGAGCCGACGATGATGAGAATGAGGAGTTGAGAGCATAGACCGGAGAAGTGAATGGTGCGTCGACCGACTCTGGACATCAAAAACCAGGAACCCATGGTGCCAACCATTCCAAGGGCATATTGGCCCATGGACAGGGAGAAGGAGTTGCTAGCATCCATACCGGCTTGTGTGAGGAAGTATGAGAAGTACCCCATGAGGTTCTGTCCACCAAGAGTCTGCACAAGCCAGATACCAACAACAATCTCAGTTCGGCGAAGATCAATACCCTTGAAACAGTCTCTGTAGCTCGTTCCCTCTTTCAAGTTCTTCTCCATCTCATTCGTATGCTCAATCATAGCAATCGTCTCGTCAGCGTTAAAGTTGGGTTGTTGGGGCGAAGTAAGTCTCAGCAGCGACTTCTTGGCTGCCGCTCGGTTACCCTTTCGAACATACCACCAAGGTGATCTATCAATCCATTAGCTAACACTCCTCACTAATGATGTGACAACTTACTCGGGAGCAAAAATGACACCTGCCAGGATAGGCACAGGCCAAACCCACTGCACACCGAAAGGAATGCGATAAGCCCACTCATCACCGCGCCCAACAGAACCTTTGTTCACGGCAGCGGCAAAGAACTGGCCAATCACCCAGCACATGTTGATAAAAGTCGTGAGGTAAGGTCGCAGAACAACCGGTGCTACTTCGGATGCATATGCAGGCGTAACGCTCTGGAACGCGCCCCATGGGATACCTTGCATAGTCACATTAGCGAATGGCACGGGTAAGTGGCATGATATGATGAACTTACCGCAGAGGACTTCTCCGAGTACGAGGATCTTGACGTTGGGAGCGAAGAAGAGAACAAAGACGAACGCAATCATGAGGACGAGAGAGCCAATGATTGTCATCTTGTAGCCGTACCTGTCTGACGTCCAACCCGCGATGATGAGACCAATGATCTCACCGGCACGAGCACCGTTGGACAAACCAGATTGCCATGCAGGAGAAACAGCATATTTCTCCTTCTCAGCATTCCACGAGCCAAACTTCTGATTAAACACAGGAGAAGCGTACAAGTTGCCGAGTAACGCAAGATCATAGCCTTCCATGATGAGCGTGGTTGACAAAAGAACAGACCAGCCGATGGCCTTGGGATACGTCTTGATAGCTTGCCAGAGAGTCATATGATGCTCAGCCTCGGCGGCGACTTTGGCCTCTGAGGCAAGAGCCTCAGGGCTTACGGTCTCGTCATGCTGAGCGTCGATACTCTTCTCGGGATAAGAAGCCATTGTGGAGATGAGAGTTGAGATAGTGAGAAGAGGATGGATGGGATGATGGGGGAAAAGAGGAAGGATAGTCGGTCCTTTATGTACTTTCGCGGAGCCGATGCTCGCTACGCCTGAACCCGACAGCTCGGATGCTGATAATTTTTTTCGCCCAAGCTTAACCAAGCTTAACTTAGGACAACTCCCCAGAAACAGGACCTGTACATCATCTGGTGTGAAGCATGGGGAAACCTGGGGCACGGGGGAATTGAGTGTGTGGGGTGATTTTCAAGAAATGGGATTGGGGCACGAGTCTTTTGCACAGGAGTCTCCGATCACTAGCGGAGCTTCCACTCTTCGGAATTTGACTCACTGCAATTATTGGTTCATTTGGTGTTAGTGATCAATAGTGCGGAACGACTCCGATGGTGGGAGCGCTAAAGGCGGAGTCTCCGCTGGTCACACACGAGCAAGGATTTTTGGGTGACGTCGTAGGGTAGTTTGATGGGGGTGAGAGGCAGCCTCGGCTGAGATGGCGATGAATGTTACGCTGCAATGTTTGAGCGGAGAGTCCGTTACATGCGGCGTTGATCAGAGAGAGGATTTGATCCCCACAAGTAACGGGGTGATATCGGCCGATAAGATGGGTAAATAATAAACACCTCGTGTTCCCCTCAACAATATTCTCATCCCCAACTTAACATCCTCTTCCATCTTTATCTGCCTCTCGATTCATCATGGGCTCCATCATTTGGGACGATAGACACCAATACATGGGCAAACAGCCCTGGTGGAAAGCCGCGTCCTTCTACCAAGTCTACCCAGCCAGCTTCAAAGACTCCAACAACGACGGCTGGGGCGATTTACCCGGTCTCATCTCCAAGCTCGATTATCTAAGCGATCTTGGCATCGACGTCGTATGGGTATCCCCCATTTTCGAGAGTCCCCAGAAAGACATGGGCTACGACGTCTCAGACTATCAGAAAATCTACGAGCCCTATGGCAGCGTTGAAGATGTCGACATCCTCGTGAAAGAATGTCACGCGCGAGGTCTCAAGATTATTCTCGATCTTGTTGTGAATCACACATCCATAGAGCACGAGTGGTTCAAAGAATCGAGATCGTCAAAGGATAATCCCAAGAGGGATTGGTATATCTGGAAACCAGCACGGTATGATGAGAACGGTGTAAGATATCCTCCTACGAATTGGAGGGGATATTTTGCGTGCTCGACGTGGACGTGGGATGAGCACACGCAAGAATATTACCTTCATCTTTATGCGCCGGATCAACCGGACTTGAACTGGGATAATGAGGAGTGTCGAGAGGCGATCTACGAGAATACCATGCGCTTTTGGCTTGATCGCGGCGTTGATGGGTTTCGCATTGATACTGTTAACAAATATTCCAAGAGGCGAGATTTTGTTGACGCGCCTATCACAGATCCTGCATCGCCTCATCAGCCTGCGCCTGAAATGTGGTGCAACGGACCGCGCATCCATGAGTTTATTCACGAGATGCATAAGAAAGTACTTGGTCCTTATAACGCCGTTTCAGTGGGTGAGCTTTCAAATACGCCCAATCCTTCACAAGTCATTCCCTATGTATCGGCTGCTGCGAAAGAGTTGGACATGGTGTTTGAGTTTTCCATGATCAGACTTGGAAACGGAAACGGTTTTGGTGACAAGTATATCTACGAACCGTTCCCGTTGTCGAAGCTCAAGGCGTTTGTGTACAAGTGGCAGAGCTTCATCGAGGGCACAGACGCATGGGCAACAGCTTTCTGCGAGAATCACGACAATGGTCGTGCGGTGGATCGCTTCGGTGACGCGTCGACGCCGGAATGGTGGCTCAAGTCAGCAAAGACTTTGGCTCTATGGCAAACAACCCTCACAGGTACTCTATTCCTGTACCAAGGACAAGAAATTGGCATGACCAACATGCCCAAGTCGTGGGGAATTGAAGAATACAAGGATATCGAAAGCAGCAACTTTTACGCCGAAGCCGTCGCGTCAGGCGATGAGAAACGCGTTAGAGATACGATGCACGGTCTTCAAATCATGGCGCGCGACCATTCGCGTATTCCCTTCCAATGGGATGATTCACCCAACGCTGGCTTTGCTGATGCTTCTGCAACGCCATGGATGAGAGTCCACGATGATTATCGCGACATCAACGTCGCCAAGCAAGTCAAAGATCCCAACTCAATCCTCAGTTTCTACAAAGCTATGCTTCGCCTCCGAAAGGAATATCAAGATATCTTTGTCTTTGGTTCTTTCAAACTTCTTGATCCCGAGGATGAATCGTTGTTTAGCTACGTCAAAGAGAGTATTGTACCTATTAAGGGGAGACGGGGTGAGAAGAGGAAGGCTGTTGTTGTGTTGAATATGAGTCGGGAGGATAGACTTGGTCCGGATGTTCCTACTGCATTGGGCTGCGCGTGTGAGGATGTGAGGTTGATGGCGTACACGAGGGAGACTGCGGGAGGGTTGAAAGGTGGACGGCCGATGCTTTCGGGATGGGAGAGTCGGGTCTATGTTAACTTTGAGCTGGAATAGGCGTTATTGGATATTTGGTATAGATAATTAGGAGAACTGCAATTTATTCGGATTCATTTGTAGACTAGCAAGACATCACCGAACTCAATGCGCTTCAAGTGAAAACTCTAGGTTCTGTCTATCAGTTTGAGCTCCCAGCCACAGCTCTCAACTGCAAGTAACAAATCTAGATGAGTTTGATCCATTGAGCCTTCAAATGTGCATCAGGATCAGCTGCTAGTTTTTCGAGGACCTCTCCATGCATCAAATCATAGACATAGCATTCCCCGACTACCAAGTACCCATCGCCCTTCGGCCTCAACAAAAAGGGAACCTCCGCACCAAATAGTACGCACAGCTTATCCCCAATCTTCATATCAACAGGCCCGACCCCAAAGTCTTTCGATGCCGTCTTGAACAACCTATAATAATACTGAAGAGGTTCCAGGGCGCTGATATATCCACGAGCATCTCCATATCTATCAATCTGTTCAAGATACTCAGTCTGTGTCATTCCGTCGCCTTCGGGCTCGATAATATCCTGTAGTGCGATGAGATCTGTCATGATCCAATGAGCACGTCCTAAAAGTACCAGAGCAGCGAAACTAGTGAGATGCGCCGTCTCATCATCAATGGGATAAGCTCTCCCATCACCACCGCACGTTAACGTCATGGCACATTTTCTCCATGCTTCCTCACTCCATCGTGGCTGGCTTAGGAAGTTGTCATAAATCTCGTCGTGGTCGCCCCACATGTTCCAACAAACATCATGGTGTTCTTGCACAGAGGAGATGTGATCGATAATCACGCCCTTGAGGACCAGTTCTCCTGCCTCGTTACCGGGTTTCAGTTCCATTGGAGTACCAGATGCACATTGGAAGCCTGGATGTTTCTCGGTCGGCAATATTGTCCATGGCCGGTACTCATGCCAACTTGGCACCCACGAAGGCCCCGAGCGATCAAAGAGCCCAAACGTCCCAGCTCCAGAAAGAAACGTCAGTGGAGACGCCGACTGAAGCATGATTCTGGCAGTATCCTCGAAAGCTTTCTCGGAACTAGTTGTCTCCGAATAGTCTGGAACGATCTGTTTGCCAACGGAGTCTGTCGTTCCAATACCCAAGAGGCCGTATACCTTATCCTTAGGCTCTTTGCTGTTGAATTTTCGAGACAGTCGAAGCAATTGGGCGAAGGAGAATTCCAGGCGCGGGAAACATTTCTGTGATATTGATAGTCGATACATGAGATAAGTGTTCGTCGCTCTGCTAAGGCTCGCGTCTGGCGTATAACCAGCAGCATACAGTTTCGGCTCGTGGACCACTATAGCTGCTGCGAGCCCAACCCACTCCCATGGAATTAGGTACGAGCCGAGTTGGACGACAGCATGCCTTGCGAGGGTAGCTTCTTGCAAGACCCAGATACGAGAGAACCAACGCCGACAGAAGAGCTGCATCATTTGAGTGTCGTTGTCCTCAGCATCGTATATGTTGGCGCGATGTATCGTGGATTGGCCATCTTTTGAGATCTCCGAGTAAGTTGCTTCGAAAGTCTCTTGACCAGCCTGAGCGAGCCAATCGTTCACGAGTGAGCATAATCCCGAAAACCCTTTCGAGGCTGAAGAAAGAGACGTCTCAAGGACCGTGTTTCCGCACATACAGCGATCTTCCTCCTCACCCAGCCATATAACCACCTGCCAAGCGCCACTGAATATTTGTCCCATCATAGCTACCTGTTGGCCTCTCTCTTTGACGTCCTCCTGATTGATGCAGATAGCATCGGCCCATAATACTCTGCTTGCATTGCTCCTCCGAAGCTCTCGTAATGCGATATATAAACTACCGGAGATAGACATAGTTTGACTCCCTCCGTTGGAGATGATTTCAATCTTTCGGTTGCTGGAATCATCTGGCTTGGCCCACGTGTATGACAGAGCTTCATATGTTGTCTCGCTTTCTTGTAAGCTGCATACGTGGAGCTTACATTGAACCACGTCGCATTCGCCAGCAAGAATCTCTAGTAATCGGAAGGCATTGGCCTCGGGTAAAGGGTGATAGATTCTAGAAGTCCCTTTTGCTGAAGGACTTTGGTTGTCAAGCGGCGTGAATCGGTACCTCGGCGGTTCCGGATTTGCGATTGAGAGCAAAATATCCTCAGCGTTGGACTCCTGCTCTAGGTTGGCGAACAGGGGTGGTGGGAGTTTCGCATCACTCTCACGATCATAAATCAAACGGTGTCTCCCGAGTCCCCCGTATCTTGCAGCAAGTTCGCGATCACGCTGATTCTCCTATTGATTTCTAGATCAGCCGATAAGCTCCGACAGGAACAAGTTCACCATGCTTCGCCCAGCTATATCTCACAGCGGAAGCCAAAGAATCGAGGACTGGAAGATTTACCCAGGCTTTAAGTCGACTCCAGTCTATAGGAGGGGCTTTGAAACTGGGGCAATTGTCTCTCCCGTGGAGCCTTGAGGGCTTGGCCTCTGCCTTGGGCTTCGATGGCGACATTAGAGAAGCTAACCTGAGAGAAATGAATAGTTTATTTCCGATTGTGTTACATCTATCCCGGTCTTCTGAGTATAATAGCTTTGTGGAGGGGACTTTCAGATACCCCTCACTTAAGGCCCACGCAATGACCCGACACAGCCACTCAGCTGATCGCCGCTTGGGGCAAACAACGCTCGGCCGCTGCAAGGCATCCAATATCATATGGGTCGACATTGCGAACAAGCGATAACAAGGCTGAAGTTTCGCTTTTGGTATTTTTGACGTCATTTCTTATCTATACTACGTGTGCGAGGCGCGTGATGTGAGCCATCACCTGTAGGGACTATCAACTAAAAATAACACTCTTATCAAAGTCAATCCGGGCAGCTCATCACGAGCTCCCCTTTCGCCCGTTTATGACTTCCGTTCTGAGGAATGGGAGTATCGACCTGTTAAGTGTTAACATTTCATTGAAGCTACCTTTGAGAGACATAATTACATCTATGCCAGCACTATATAATCTAGTGGAAGGACGCGAATCAATCTCAAGCTTTGAAATACCTAAAAGATATATTTGTAGCTTGATGTTGTGCTTGTTCCTCCGAGCAACTCTCTGTCTGAATTCACGTTCGAATATGTCCAATTAGCGGATGAGAATTCAATCTGCCGAAATTTGGATAGCCAATTAAGCATCGGACTCATGGCCAGCGAGCCACCGTAAGTGATGTCTTGTATAGATCCATTGGGATCTATTCGCCTCGAAACTGAATTCGAGGTCCTCTAGGGCACTTTGTTGATGCTGTCAATAGATGACGGGACAGAGGGAGTATCAAGGTTTGCAAAGATTGGCCCGAATGCCGCGAAAAGAAACTGGAACACGGAATATGAAGTACTTGGATGTGAGAGATAGTCGTGTTAGTACCGAGATGGCAATGTGAAGTTAGTGTCATGGACAATGCTGACTTTACCACAAGCAATGTTGTCAGAGCGACTGATATTGGTGAGGTTTTGGAATGATGGACCGTACTGTTTAGTCTTGGGAGAGAACTGATGAATACTGAGACGTGATTGACAGAAAGTATCCGTCTCTTCAAATGCGTAGCTAAAAGAGGTGACCGCGGGCCGATCTGATACATACTTAGCCATCACGTAGCCATGGCAGTTTAAATGCAATGGCGGCTAATTGAAGGAGTGGAGACCTTTGTCAAGCCATTTGGTACGCTAACGATTGATCCTCATGCGTAAAGATGCGAAAAAGGAATGCGGTTATCTACAAGACTTTTTGTCTAAATACAAGACCTTTTGTATGCATATCATACGTTTTGTTTTGTCTGTTGGTTCTACCCTGGTCTTGAGCCATGAACGCGTGGGATAAAAGAGAATAAGACTAAACCGAATATGGCTGCACTGTTGTCTCACACCTTTTCCCGGGTATTCGCCTGCGGCACCTCGTGTTGTGTTGCTTGCTTCTCCGTTCCTGGCCGGGGCCTCGCAATCACAACTGCAGCTCTCGAATGTGTAGCATTCTTTGTGCTTGGCCTTTATTCTAAGTTCCGACATCGTCACTCACGACGTCCTTCAATCTTGATAACTGTCTACCTGTCTGTCCACATCCTACTCAACATTGCTACTACGAGGACACTGTGGTTGATGCGCGGGGTTTCTGCCATCCCCATCCTCTACAGCGTCAACATGGTCTTTCAAGTATTACTTCTCATGGTTGAGAATGTCGAAAAGAGTCATTTGCTGATTGAGTCTTGCCGATACAGCCCGGAAGAGCTGGCTGGCCCGTTGGCTAGGCTTCTTTTCAGCTGGTTAATGCCTCTACTTCGACTAGGTTACGATGCCATTCTCTCTATGGCAACCCTCACACCACTCTCTGATGATCTCAAAAGCCAACAACTGGAACCGAAACTAGGTCAGTCAATGACTTCGACCCGCGTATTTCACATGTACTCATACTGTAGCAGTTCGGTTCTTGACAGCTGCAAAAAGTTCAACCCTTTTGCGTGAACTATTTCGGTTGCGTCGAGGCTTGCTACCGCCGATCATTCCTCGCATACTTCTCTTAGGCTTTACACTCGCCCAGCCCTTTCTGATCTATACCGCGGTTTCATTTACAAGTATCAGTCACAACGAGAGATCTATCGAAGAAGGGAATCTACTTGTCGCTGCATTTGTTCTCACCTTTCTCGGTTATGCGGTGAGTTGGTCAGCCTGACACTGGCTGAATATATGTTGACTGACAAACAAAGCTGTCTAGTGCTTTCTATTGGCATCTGATAAACCGACTCATGGCGATGGACCGCGGAAGCCTGGTCAGTCTAATATATAACAGTGCTTTCGAGTCTACTGTGCCTGGCTCTGCGGATACTGGCTGCCTCACTCTTATGACCGTTGATGTAGAGAAGGTTATGCTCGGGTTCTAAGACTTCCATGAACTTTGGGCCAGCATAGGTCAGATTGCTATAGCGATCTATGTACTCGCATTACACATGTCTTGGGCCTGTGTTGCTCCTGTCATCGTTCCTATAGGTCAGCATCTCTGTGAAACAATTTGAGCGTTCCTCCAGCTAACAATAGAATAGTTTTCGTGGCTGCTACAGTGCCCGTCATGCAAAAGATTGGTACAGCGCAGGGTTCCTGGAATGCCGCCATTGAAAAGCGCGTTAACCTGACTTCAGCCATCCTCAGTAACCTTAAAGAAGTCCGAATCTAGGGCATCGGTAGCTATGCGAGCGAGCTTCTACAGCGTTTACGAGTTGAAGAGATTACGCCCTCTACCCACTTTCGCCGACTCATGGCAGGGATCATTGTGCTATCCCCATGAACAACTGTACTGGGGCCATTGATCACCTTTGCATTTTACGCAATCATTCTACGAATCAATGACGACTTGAATTTCACGGCCTCAAAAGCTTTCACCTCACTCTGCCTCATTAATCTCATTGCCGCTCCGATCTCGGTACTCATTCAGAGTCTTCCTAGCTTCGCAGCAGGTCTATCATCTTTATCGCGCATTGAGAGGTTACTCAGCTCCCTAAGTCATGAACCTTGTTGCTGACCAAACAGGCGATATAACACTTCATACCGATAACGCCCTGGTTATAGATCTGCAAGGATCTGTGACTATTACTAGAGAACCAACCAATGTCGATAGTCCTATTATGGTGGCTACTTCTACAAAGGACGATATCGAGGTCACAAACGACGAGCAGAGCCAAGGCCGAGCCGGAGATCGCACATCTGCAGGGCCGCGCCTCGAACTCACTGAGGCAAAAGCAGACCTACGACGACCTACCGGCGATTGGAGCATCTACAGCTTCTATGCCCATGCTACTGGCCGATATAACACATCTGTCTTTTTGTGCCTTTGCTTGTGTTGCGCGTTCTGCTATCAGTTCTCGACCGTTTGGATCCAGTGGTGGTCAGATGCCACCAACTCTATGGGTAGAAAGTCGAACGGATTCTACCTAGGTATATACGCCCTGCTCTGTGCTCTCTGACTATCAACTTTATACTTGGCTTGCTGGACATCTATGGTCACCATGGTAGCGCGATCAGCCATAAAGCTTCACCTGATGGTCCTCACAATTGTTTTCAACGCCCATGTGTCCTACTTTTTCACCATCGACGACGGCATCACATTGAACCGATTCAACCAGGATATGCAGCTTGCAGACTACACCTTACTACTAGCTGTTGTCACCACGTTCCTCTTTGCGTCTATCTGCCTTGTACAAGCTGCTGTCATATCAGCAACCGCAAATTATATGGCTGCGGCGATACCCTTCTGTCTGGTAGTGATATACTTCAGCGCTTCTACCTCCAAACATCACGTCAGCTTCGTTTACTGGACATTGAAGCAAAGGCGCCGTTGTACACCAAATTCAAGGAGACAATTCTGGGCATGAATACGATACGTGCCTATGGCGGAGAGTTCGGCTCTTTCCTCAAGGAAAAACATGTAAAGGTCCTGGATGATTCACAACAGCCTATCTACCTCTTGTATACGGTCCAGAGATGGTTATCTCTAGTACTTGATCTCGTGGTTGCCTGTCTAGCCACGCTTCTTATCGTTGTGGCGGTTCAGACAAGATCCGGAACTTCAGGTTCTGACATGGGTGTGGCTTTAGTGAACCTGACGTCTTTCAACCAATATCTCACCATGCTGATCCGTTGCTGGGCTTCGATGGAAACGTCGCTGGGCGCTATCGCTCGAATCAAGGACTTTTCTCACGAAACGCCTGTCGCCAACGGCTGCGGCCATGAGTCCCATCCAGACTATGAAGGCGATCAGAGCATTGTATTTGAAGACGTCCCTGTCGTGTATAGGAAGCCTCAGCCATCGCTCGAAAGCGCCGAAGACAGCTCACAAGACACGAGTGATCTGAACATCAATCATCGAGCGCTTGACTCTATCAATCTAACGATACGACCTGGCACGAAGCTGGCCATAACTGGGCGTTCTGGAAGCGGAAAATCAACGCTGGTCTCGAGTCTTTTCCGCATACTACCATTGTCCTCCGGGAAAATATCCATCGGAGGCATGGACATTGCACAGGTTGATCAGCAGGTGATCCAAGACCGCCTCAATGCAATCACGCAAAACAACTTCTTCCTTTCGGGAATTTCCTTGAGAGAGAATCTTGATCCATGGGGATCATCTGGCGAAGAAGGTGAAGGCTCCGCGATGGCGATGGCAGAGGTCATGAGGGATGTTCTGGATAGCTTGCAAATTTGGTCGCTGGTGGAAGAACGCGGTGGGCTAGAAGGTATGTTTTTCCAAGGCTCATGGTCTGCTGGCCAGTTACAGCTACTTAGTGTGGCTCGTGCTATTGTCAAGAAAAGGCGGACCCAGTCCCATCCGGGCTCAGGTTGGAAGATAGTTGTTCTGGATGAGGTTACAAGCAGGTAAGCTCGCAACAAGTCAACTATTCTATTCATCCGATTAGCGCTAACTTGTGATTAGTCTTGACGAAGATTCAGCTCGAGTGGTACGTGGTCGTATCAAGGTTGAGTTCGAGGACCATACTATTTTATCTATTGTTCCCAAGTTTGATGGCGTAATCGAGGATATGAACGAGATGGTTGTCATGGATCAAGGAAGGGTTACACGGCGTGGTCCGCCCCGACAGCTTCTGCAGGCAATGTAAATACGAAAGACACTCTGTAGTGTACTGCAGTCTTGGAGACGACATCCTAGGAGCTGTCGTCTAGGGAAATTCGGGGCAACGATAGTTGATGTTAAGAAGGTACGTTAAGAGCTAGATATGGTCAAGACATAACGTTAATGATGTTTCTAACCTTAACGTTACTGATCCTGCGTCAACTGAAAGCACTAATGTTTTGTATATATGGTTGAGAAAACATGACGCGAATCTGGTTATAAAATGTGCGCGATTTGAAACTTGCGTTGTCAAAAGTACCCCGATGCACTCCGTATAGCAACGGATGACTTTGTAACACCACCTACGATCCTTCTTATGGGGCTTGCATAGTGTTTTGTGAAGCATAATGATAGCCTAGTGGACCGGATCTAACCGCAGGCATTATTTACCCCCACTGTTGGTCCTTGTCTCAATTTTGCAAAAGTTCCTCCTCTGTATGGTTAGTTTGCTGTGCCACATCAGTGCCCACTACCTATTAGGTACATATCATGCAAGGGGTCTGAGAGCCAGGACCAACACACCAATGAAGTCTTCTCCTGCTGTAAATCCCTTGCTTCGTTGGACATAACGACATGACCTGACTGACATTGAGCGATAAAGTTTAGGATTCTAGATTGGCTATGAAGCATAAACGAGGCAATGTAAACCAAGCTAGAACAACCAACAAAGCCCAATATCTCATCCACTCTTTGTCCCAAGACCTCACTTGAGGACCACCTCAGGCTGGGGATCATCCTCTCTGTCCCAGGGAGACCCGTTGTTCCACCTAAGTTCATCTCGAGATTTCTCTGTTGACAGAACCACTACACAAGAGTATTCGCTAGCGTTCATACTAACAATCCGGTAAGGACCGCGAGCGACGTGTTTGGTGACTTGAGTGACTGCGTAACCAATTGATTCATTGGTGCCAGTGCGGAGTAGACGGAAGTCAGAGGCTGCATTGATGTTGATGAGGATGACATCAACTTTGCTGACGTCCATGAACCCAAATGACGGTTGGTTTGGATCAGGCCATAAGGCAGGGTTGGTTGCAAGGTCAACTGAGTACTGAACAGGATCTTGCTTGACGTGGACATGGTGTAGAAATGTTGTTCTTAAATCTGATGTATGAATAATTCTGGGATTATGAGTTGATGTACAATAAAAGGATGGATGATGGTGTTGGTTTATATACCTTTTTCAGGTCACATGCAGCCTATTTCATTTTAAGAAGGTAGTTGTTGCCTTATCCCTCACTAAATGACCCAACGCACGCTGCGGTGGCAGTCAAATCAGCATCAAGGGTTGGGGAGCCCGCAAGGGATTGATCATGATGAAGCTTCTGCCTCTCAGATATTTCGTGTAATTCTGTATCTAGATACTACAGCTCGTCATGATCGTTGTTCTGATTCAAAGCACTGATACCATGACTTCCGCTCTGGGAAACAAAAGTATCCAATTTTTCGACCGTCAACATCTCAGTAAAGTTGCCTGTGAAAGACACAACCTCATTTGTGCCCGCGCGATACAATCGGATGGATGGGTATGATTCAATCTCAATTGGCACATCATTCGCATCAACATTAATAGATGCGAGCGCGACTTTGTCAGAAAGCCCAAGCTTTGCATATTTGGAGCCAAGATCGTTCATCACAGCATGCAAACTATTTAATTGTTAGCGTTAGCAAATCGTAGAGATAGTGTCGACTTACTCGGTACAGTATTCACACCACGGTACGTTGAACTCAACCAAAACATCTTTAGACTTGTCAAAAACCAAGTCGTCGAAATTACTGCCCACCAATTTTGTCAAGAAAGGCTGATCGGTAGACTGCTCAGGTACTGGCTCTGACTTGATACTCGGTGTCAACGAGCCAGCGAGGTAAGCAGCTACATGTTTGGCGACTCTATTGGCGTTGAAAACCTTTTCAGACATGGGATATGCTCTACCCTGTTGATTTGCGATGGCGAAACCATGCTTGATGTCCTGGCTAAGGTGCATCTGCTCACATCTCTTGGGATAGTCTGGTGCAAGGACTGTCATGAAGGTAAGCTGGTCCTTATACTTCTTAGCAAGAGGAGCCAAAGACTTGACAAGCTCAGGGCGATCATCGCGTTTGCTGAAGAATATCTGGGCCAGTGGTTTCTCGTCCTGGAACGGTTAGTTGATGTGTAGCCTTGAGAGTAAGGTTGCTTACCTTTATGACTTGTTCATGAACGATGGGATCATATTCGCGAATCAGCGGCTGGGTTGCATCTCGCAAGAAGGCCTCGACGTCCGTGACGGTGAAGGGTCCGTGGTAGTAAACTGGATCCTCTTCCTCTTCAGTATACACAGCAATAGAAGGGCCCTTGGTGTCTTTCTCAAGGCCATCAACACTGCCAAAACTGTAATACGCTCGCCATCTTTCGGCAATAGCGTCGAAGACTTGGCGTTCAGGCTGATTGTCTGAGCCGAGAAAGGCAATGACCGCTACACGAGCTGAGCGTGCGAAATCGATATAGTTCTTTTCGGTAAGGCCTTTGACGGGAGTGCCCGATTGCCGCTCGATGTATTTCACAATTCTGTAATCATGATCAGCAATTCAGAGTCAACTCCACATAAGCGACGGAACTCACGACGATGCGTCTAAAGCTTCTTTGTAAGTGACCAGCTCCTTGTTGCCAGTTGTAAACTTCAACGTGGGTACAGTGAAGACTTGAGAGTCATCGCAGGCCATTGGCTCATCGTTACAGTTGATCGAGGCAATGGCGGTCTTGGTGAGTACCGGGGTCACCGTGTCCAGCACTGCTTGCACTCGATCACAGTCTTTGCAGCCGTCGGCCGTGAACAAGATGAGCGCTGGCCTTGAGGAGATCAAAACATTGAACTCTCCTCTAGACAGTTTGACGGATTGTGCTCGTGTAGCAAGAGCAACAAGTGACAGGAGTGTTGAAGAGTGCATGGTGCAGTGCAGAGAAGACGAAAGGGAGACTGAAGAGCCGAGTCAGATAATTCCTTGCGGGATTATTCACCACATCGACACTTATCAAGTATTCCAACCCCACAATACTCGGTTAGCCCGCTCTAGCCTGAACCGTCATCCCTCCCGCTCATCATGAGACCCGGCTCGTATGACTTCAGCTCCTACCAATGGGATCAGTTCCCTCTGGTTGCCGTTAATTCCCGTTATTAGCAAGATGCAGCTGAGAGTTGTGCGTAAGAGGCTCTCACTGTGAGAGAGCTGAAAGCAGCACAGACGACAGACGACATACCACAGTAGTTGATCTAAACACAACTGCCGAAGTGTGCCCCATGCAGGGTGTCGGCCCGGTATCCGGAAACAGCCGAACCCGGTCCCTAATAGAATGCTTTTTATCAGATCATGGTTACCTCGCCTATAGAAGTACGAAAATCACCTGAAGTTTAAAACCATATTGGGCGAATATACTCCGTAATGGGTATATTACCAGTATATATATCAGCTCCACAAAGGGCGAGAACCTCGTTTACGGAACGAGATCCGGTGACGAGCGGGCGTGAAATCCGAGTCGTGGAAAAATAGGAACCCTCCGAGCCATGAGATTCGGTAATAACAAATGTATAGTGGATACGACCACAATAGTTCTAGAAGTCTCAGTCCAATTTAGGTAATCTAGAATTAGGTATAGTGGGTACGAAGACAATAGTTCTAGAACACTTGCGCCGGAGCAGTAGTTCCCGAAAGGTGTGAGGGCGACAAGTATGTTGCCCGTATGTGTTTCTTGGTGTCCTTTACCTTTGTGGCCTGGGCTGAAGCCTCTTTTGAAACCCGAACCTTACCGCAATTCCCGAAAGGATATTCATGTGTCAAGGTTCCTATAACCGTGGTTTGTGTAACCATACTAAATCTTGGGCAATTGTGTTGGGTGGCTGGTATTCTGCCCGGATTGACTTTGATAAGAGTGTTATTTTGAGTTTGATAGTACCTATAGCTGATGGCTCATATCACGCGCTTCACACACACACACGTATCCATACCAACTGCTAATACGAAACTTTAATGACCATCTCCTTTCAATGTCTTAGTTAGGCCGGGTACATGATCGTGGAATGCGAGCCCGGATCCCCTCGGTCTCTTGATCAGGTCACATACGTGATCAGGCAGAAAACACCGAGCCTGAACCCCCACGGTGTCTTCAATAGGTCGGGAATGTGGTCGGCAAATGTCTGGATTGAGGATGGCATGATGGATGCGTAGCACGGAGGAGGCATTTGCTATCGAACACTCGGCAGATCGGTGACAGAGTGTCGAGCGAGGTATGATATGGTATAGAGAAGTATATATAGGTCATTGAGTTCCCCAAATATCTCAACATCATCATCACAAACATCACAACATCTTCTACTCAAACAAACATTCCAAGTCTTTCAACTCTTCCACTATGAAGTTCACTTCTACCTCTCTCGCGCTTCTCGCAAGCATTCCCCTCGTCTACTCTCTTCCAACGACTTCTGTCGATGATCAGATTTCTTTCGAGATTCAGACATCCATCGAGCCTCAGACCACCGAGCCTGAGCCAACTGGCACGCCTCAGCCATTCCCTACCAATCCACCTCGGGGTTACGACGATATTAACGCCGCTGACCCCGACGACTGGCTCAAAGCAGTCAGGGAAGAAGCTGCCCGCCAGGCAGCCGCCGATGGCAACACCGGCAATTCGACTGGTCCCATCCAAGCCGGAGGCGGCTGGATCTACAAAGTCCACGCCATGTATACCGACAAGCTCGTCAATGTCGGTGATGTAGACACCTTCTACATGTTCTGGACGCGCATGTACGACGTCAGTGACGACAAGGGCGGTCTCTCGGATGTCACCCGCGGAGCATGGAGCAAGTTCTGCAACCCCCCCAATCAGAACGACGGCGTCACCGACACATTCGTTCTCGACGGTCAGTGGGGAGCCGTGGGCCGTCTGACCGGCTGGGCAATGCGTGACGCCCTCATCCACTCAATGTGGAAGACCGCTGATAGCATTGGTCAGAAGAACGGCTACACTGTCTACAACAACTGCTACGGCTTCACCTGGCAGGAGGGTAAGCCGGGTAGAGCCGACTCCGCATGCGGAGGACGGTCCGGCAAGCCTTGCCCGCATAACTCTGACTGCCCCTTGGAGGGTATGGAGTGCCTTGGCATGAAATGGGGAACTTGGATGCCCAGCATCATCCGCATCAACGTCTACAACCGAGACGGATCCCTCCGAGCTGATGCTTACCAGGCGAGAATCTCTTCGCAGGCTCCTGGCTCCGGTGGTTGCTCCAAGGCCGAGCAAATTGCTGCCCTTGTTGCCGGCTTTACCCCTATTGTTGGGCCCTACTTCTCTGCTGGTATTCGTCTCCACTGTTTGTTCCTGTGATAGGCTTGAGGCTTAGAGAGGCTTCGACTTCAACAAACAAAGGTAAAGAACACATATTGACAAATATGTCTGTTTGTTGGAGTTCACTGTTTAGAGACGTCTCTTGCTCCTTGGGATCGTCGAGGAAGTGGTCTAGGTTGGGCTTCACAAGCCTGATATGGTATGGGGTTGCTGGTGGAGGTCACATGGGGATCTAACAAAGATTTTCATGTCGAGTGGTTTTTCTTTCACTGTATATAGCTCTTAAACACACTCCTTCTCTGTAGATAGCTGTCAAACACACTCCTTTTCTCATGACAGAATACAGAATGTTTCATAAAATGCTAAGACCTTCAGAGCTCTGAAAATAATACATGAACGCTTCTAAGCAACTAAAAGCGAGGTATTAGAGGCCTATGAGGAAGACAGCTTTCTAAGTCCAGGAGTGAATCCATTGTACTTGAAGTAGTAGAACCCATGGAACGTATATCGATTGTCACCGCGATTCAGCACTTTGTGATAAAGGATTGGTGTTCTTTACCTATGTCCCTTAGGGATGAAACCTCCTTTAACCCGTGAATCTTATCACAGCCAAAGAGTAAAAGCTATGCATGACTATGAGTATATTAAAGAGAGGAAGCTAAGCTACTAAACGACTATCTGGAAGGATTCATAATCCATGCGTGTCCGCCAATACCACTACTGTCGATCTTCAGTTATCTACGGGTAGAATTTGGAACAACTCAGCGCTTAGGTTAGGCAAGGGCCCTGACAGTGCCGCCGCCTTAGTTCGGTTGTCCACAGATAGAGCCCAACCAGGAGATTCCTCTTGCCTGATAGTGAACCTGTCGGAACCAGGCGCTGAAGGCTTGATAAACCAGTTCCACTGGATGGGGAAATCCAGCCGCCCATGGCCTTTAATCACGGGTCTACCAGCGGCATGGCCAGGACCTCCAGGACCTCCAGTCGTGCTGCCCAAATAATCACCCGTATCAATCTCTTGCAGCCAATAGGCAGCGGCACTGAATGAATCAAGTGACTTCCTACCCGCCGCAGGTGTCAGGTACCATTTCTGCCACCCGGCGTTTGCAACGGCGATAGGAAGGCCAACGGACAAAGCTGATTCGTTTTTTGTGAACCCAGATGAAGCGTTAGTCGCAAACCAGACTTGCAACTTCCCTTCCTCTTTGACTTCCATCAGCCTGTTGTACAGTTCGATTGTTGCCTTGCCAACGGACGACTCGAAGAATTCTCGCTGCTTCTCGAGATATCCAATGTGACGAACAACAGTCTTCTCTCCTTCAGGGAAATGGACTTTCGGGGATTTTGTCGCCATCTCTAGAAGCTCGATACCCCGACCGACAACTGCCCAGTAGCTGTAGACCTAATCCTAAAGTTAGCTAAACATGTTCAATTACTGTTTAAAGAATTGTTACTCCGCAAAGCTCTGCATTTGAGACAGAAGATTCGAAATTCCTCAGAATTGTCAAAGGTATGCTGTGCAAGTTGTTTGAGGAACGAATTGTTTCCCTCCTCGCCGAGAAAGTTGTTGATTTGTTCCAGACTCTCGGGGACCTCCTTAGCAGCCTCCTTGAGTTGAGTATCCAATCGCTTTTGGAGGTCACGCATTCTCTCCCGGCGCTTCTCGAGGTCCGCTATCCCAGAGTCACTGACAACAGTCTCGAAAATGTCGATGATGCTATTGTACAGGCTGTCAATCTTTGTCTAGTGACCATTCAAGGAGTCACTTCGAAGTTGCAAGATGCTACCAGCCAATTGACTGGCGAGGTTGTCTATAGCTTTCTTGACATCGCGAATTAGGCCGATGGTTTCTTCGAGTTTCCTCTTGACATCTGCGATCTCGTTCTTGAGTTTCTGTTCATCGCTGCCAAACAACTCCTCGAGGCCCTTTTCAAGAACCTTCTCGCCAGCAGCTTCTGCGATACCACAAGCAAACTTTACCAGAAGCTCGGTGCCGATTCTTTCTGCTAAGGCTGAACATGCCATGTTGTAGTCTTGCTGTTGTATTTAACCAATAAGGGTAAAAGAAGAAATTGGCAGGGTATTTGAGAAAGAGGTGTGGTTAGAAGTTGACGAAGAATTATATTTTCAACAGAAAGGATCTCGGTATTTATAGAGAATGTCTGCTTCGGTGCCATAGCTATCTCGTAGGATACCTCATGCAGTCAATCGAAAAGAGAAGAGGGAGCCAGCAATGTGACCTGGAAGGATGCTGTTGTGGCTGGCTGGTAGATGCAATGCCCCATATCTTGGCAATAAAGGCCAGTCGAGGCCAGTTCAGCTGTCATCCTCTGCATCCTGTGTATATCGCTTGGACAGCGATATGACGGAAGACAAGGATTGGCCAGTCATTCATTGGTTTCGAGCGGAAATAGGTCCGTGAGACATACGATTCCGATTTATTTTAGGCCTGTCAGGCAGGTTGCCAGGTAGGCCACGCACCAGAGAAGACCAACAAATCAACAGTTCACTTATTATCCTATTACCCAGGGTTGTGGCAGCTTCACTAAAATTCCTAATGCAGTTCTTACCCACCTGATAGTCAATAGTTTGTCTCAATTCGGAGCAATATTTCCCACCAGCGCCAATTTTAGGCACCTTGAAGGATAAGGGTCCAAAACTAACGAATTTTGGCGCACAGCTGAAAACCAACCTGGATAGCACGGATATGCCGGCTTTTGTTTCGACTTCGCCGATTTTACCGCTTTATAAATGCGACGTCACTCGGGGATACTGCGTATTTTGATGACGTTTATGAGAGTCACGATACAGTCCTCTGGCCCGCATGCATCTATCCCAGACGAATCCCTTATCAGCTTCCTTGCCAGCATCTCGGTTGGGAACTAGACCCTCTTGAACTCCAAGTAGAACGCCTTTGCAGTTATGGCCTGCCCCATCACACGATCAAACTCCTGCTGTGCACCTTGCTGACCAAACTTGAGCTTGAGTCTGAAAGGCCACTTCTCAATGATGGTGCTTTGGTCCTTGATCCCGACCTTGAGATACTCCGGAAACTTGTGAAACTCGAGATCGTGGGCGATCCTAGTTAGAACTGTTAGATCCAAAGAACAAACCAGACAGACTCCTCCAATTGCTCACCTGTCATAGATATGGTCATAGGTGCGAATCAACTCTGAAGCATGGTCCCATTTGATGATCTCTACATCCCATGTGCAAGTAGGCGGACGACGCATTGGAATATAGTCTGAGAGAATCGCCATTGTTTCATTCTGAGCCCTTTCGTCCCGAGTTCCGACTCGATAATCTTCCTTTGTCATGGCGTTGCCGATAGCGACCTCGAATCGTGTGATGAGGGTTGCGTGAGGATTGCCGGACAATGATCGAAGCAAAGGCAACATGGCTAGGGCTGTGAGATGGGGCCCCAAATGGACAGAGTCTGAGATGTTGGAAACTTGGCAAGTGTAAGTTTATAACTGGAGAAAAGTTCATCATGCCTTACCTCAATACGATCAAACGACCCCTCATTAAGGTGATCAATGAGCTTAGTAGCTTCGATATTGAGCAGCTGAAAGCTGATGGTGGTGCTCGCAATACGCGACGTGAAGGACTTGAGCATCGAGCGAAGATGGGTGAAGAGTTTGCCATCGATGTCGGAAGTCGCCGGTCCATTGTCAGTCTCCTCAAGGTCTTTCGGAGACCACCCATCGCATGGATCCGAACCGCCCGGGATTGGCCAGTCGAATGGAGCCTGGAACAACGTTCTGAACATGTTAGCTTGAAGCAGGGTCATGGGAGAATGTTAATCACGGGTTCGGGATGCAAAACTCGCTGCGTTGAGCTCCAAAAGGCTGAAGGATTCCGTCCTCGCGAAACCGGTGCATGGGGACGCGATGAGATGGAATCGCGAACAGATAGTGACGCTCGAGGAAGTCAAAGTGGGACTCTGCGAGCGTCACAGCCTTGCGAATCTCGTTCGCTCGCTCGACGGTCAAGCCCTCGGGGACAGTCGTGTAGGACAAGAACTTATCCCAAGCCGCCTTGGTGAGAACAAGTCGAAGCGAACGCTTTCCGAAAGTCCAAGTCTTGCCCAAGATGCGATTGGCAGGCTTGTCCTTGATCTTGTCGCAGACGGTCTGAATGAGCGGACGGACGCGCTGTTCGAGGATGGCGCGGTCAGACTCGCGGATAAGGCTTGAGTACCAAATATGGATGATGCAGTCGGTTGCTTCATTTTCGTGATCGGCCGTAAGTGCAATGAGAAGAAGGATTGCATTTCGCGCGATAACGGCGAGGTCGATGTCATTCATGACGATGTCGACGGGCTGATCCCACCCGGGGGGAAGTTGAGCGATGGTCTTGACGACATTTCGCATATCGCCCGAGGCTGACGAGAGGAAACGTTAGTCGCGCCGACAGGTCATCCAGCAAATGGACAAGAGGAAGAAACACGTACCGGCAAAGAGAAGGGAAAGTTTCCCTTTGTAGGACTCCCCTTCGTTCGCCTCAAGTTTGAGAACGTCAAGGGCCGGAACGCCGCCCCAGAGCCAACTGTCTCCCCCAAAGGAAGAACTCATTGGAACTTCGATGTCCGCCACGAAGCCAGGAGTTCTTTTCTGCCGAACCCACTCAGGCTTCCAATCTTCGCTGTTCATGGGGGATTTGCAGTGACCTTTGTGAACGGGCCAGTGAGCCTTTTGGCATTCGGAACTGCAGTACTGCAAGATTGTGAGCGCGGTGCAAGGAAAATGTACAACCTGAGGCAAATACTTACGAAGACCAGACGGCAGTTGGCGCAGCCGGATTTGCCTGCGTTCTGGCAACCGAGGCCATCTGGGTCGCAGTTCGCGCAGGGCAGTGAGGGTGTCGCCATGATTCTGATGTGGACTTTGGTGACTGGTTAGGGAAAGAAAGAGAGAGAAGAGGAATATGAGAGCGAAGAAAAAGAAGAAAACCCCGTCTTGCCTAGGACTAGATCAAATATTCACAGGGCGCTTACTGCAAGCACTGGCTGGCACTGTCAAGGCGGATGGCTACAGGATGTACTGCTTATGATCCAGCAGCGCCCCGGGTGTCACAAGTTCTAGGTAATCCTTACCTAAAGATAAGAAAATGAAATAAGTTTATATAAAATAAGAGAACTTTATTATTAAATCTTCTAAGATAATTGAGATTTTAGTGAGATTAATGGGGGCCGGTCAATTCTTGGTGACGGCAGCTACACAGCATAATAAGTCATGGTTGCCGGGGATTACATTTGTCATACAGTGATCACGAAGTTGTAAGTGAACTTGCACAGTCAAAATTGATTGGTCCACTGCAACAGCATTGCAGCAATACTACTTACGTCCGCGCGGAATGAAACTCTTCAGTCTAGCAAGTATCCGGACACAACGTGCTATACAGATGCCTGCATCAGAGATGTCTACGATCTCGCTTGGCTGCTGGTGTAAGCTCCCTAGCAAATATTCGTACATATGCTAAACGTTTGCCATTTGTTTGCAAGATTGTTCCTTATGAATTTCAATATTGTGGTGAAGAATATTGTTGAAATCGCTAGACCAGGCGGTGCGGCCTCCCACATATCTTGTCGTATATTTTGATGTGCACAAACCTCAACGTCAGTATGAGGCCCTACCAGCAAAGCATGAAAAAAAACTCATAAATACATGATCCCAATTGCTAAACTAAGGCACAAATGTCGTAGTCGCAGGCATAGTCACTATACGCTGTCCTTCATGACCTCAACTGCCTTTCTGCTAAGATGAACAACCTTGATCTTTCGCTCCTCAGGGCCTTGAAAATTATGTAAAACCACCTGGGGTTTACCATGTCTGTTGGCGTAACAGCCAGCCAAACAGTCAGGGAAAGGCAGTAAATAATTGAATGTATCTACTGTAGACTCTTCATGGGCTTATGGTATCACAGGCTTATGGTAGCATGAGCACAGTTTAATCATCTGGACAGAAGTTTCGAGACTCCCCGCTTATCTGTGAGGTACAAATAATTATGTTAGGCATTGATAACTTCTCACTGCGTGTGACTTGGGTATTTTGCCACGTGCGACAGAAAATCTTTGAGCAAAATTGTCGCTTTTACTTGACAGTTACGGAAATCAACCTTGGCACAGCGTTGCGGGTATCGACTGCTGATTTGTGTACAGCAGCTTGTCGAACCATATTACTAATTGTCTTGTCCTTAGTACCTAGCTTCACCGCTCATTTGTGATACCGTAATCTCCATCTATAACAACACAGTATAGGACGAGGCAAGTGAAAAACTTTGTTGTGTCCTCCCTGTCTTCTATAATCCTGAACCTCCAGCAGCTATTAAAAGTTTGTGGTTTACTATGTTACCTTTCCCGGGGTTTTGAGGATCATGCCTTCAACTTTGATTGAAACGTCTAGTCGCCCGTCTCCACAGGTCGTTGGCGTGGAAGGACTACCAAACTTTCGAGATCTCGGAGGATATCCTTCGGCGAAGTGTCCCGGAAGATCAGTGAGAAGAGGCCTCATCTATCGATCAGCAGACCCGTCCCGCATTTCGGAGCTAGGTATTGCTCGGCTGCGACAGCTTCGTATAGCCAAGGTTTTCGACCTTCGTTCGCATGGTGAGATTGAGAAAAGCACTAAGAACGGGTGGGGTCAAATTAGGGAATGGGACCAGGTTCCGCGTGTCCCGGTTCCTGTCTTTCCTGACGACTTTTACAAGGATGGGAGGCGAGCCGAAAGAGATATTAAGCTCAGGCAGGAAGGAAATGAGGTATGGGCCAAGAGGAAGCATGCTTCGTAAATAATGGTTGACAAAGTTAATAGGGATACCTTTCATATTATCAAGACATTCTGACATCCGCTTGTTCGCCCGAAAATACCAACCGGCCGTTCGGTCAAATCTTCGCATACTTGGCGGATACACCGGCCCATGAGCTCGAACCGATTCTGATTCACTGCTCGCTTGGAAAAGACCGAACAGGGGTCATCAGTGCATTGATCCTGAGTCTGTGTGGCGTGGACAGCAGTCTGGTTGCCCACGAATATGCATTATCATCTTCGGGACTCAAGGAAAAGATAGCGGCGATAGTAAAAGAGATGCGTCCCGATGGACCTGGCCTATCTGAAGAAGAGTCCCGTTTCTTTGGTTCGAGGTTTGTCTGAGGAAGGGACTACTAGATCAACACTGGAAGGCTAACGTTCGACAGGAAAGAATCTATGCAGCACTTTCTGGACTGGATTGGAGGCAGTAACGGTGTTGAGAACTATCTAATAGAAAAGGGAGTGTTGACAAGAAGCCAAGTCGAAAGGCTACAGGCAACCTTTGTTGTCTGAAGGTTGAAGTTGGCGGGCATGCTGGATGGAAAAGAAAAGACGTAAAGATGTACCCAACGAAATACAGAGCCCTCACCCTATCCCGAGCCTGGAACGGAAAACAATCTGGGAAATACCGTGACAGAAATCCATCGCCCTCCGTCAGGTCGTATCTCATACTTCAAGTCACAAATGTCGCGATAGATGGGTCGAAACGTAAGTTGCTTGGTCCTTTCATTGCGCCCAATCTTGAGGTCGATACTTGTCTGATCCATAACGAAGATATGACCTCTGGTGGCAACATTCTCATCTCGATCTGGTGACCAGTACCTCCAGAGTTCCGGATCTCCATAAGTGTCTGGCGATATCAACTGACTAGGGAAGCCCGTCGCTCTGTCAATATCACGAGACCGAATAAGCGCAGGCTTTGCGTCTTCAATGCGCAATGTAATTGTCGGCTCTTCACCATGGCTGACCGCTTTCCCTTCCCGAATGACCGTGTCTAGAAGCTCCACGTATTGACTATTCCGCATGCTATCGAGGGACACCGTGTCTCCCAAACCCTGACGCTCATGGTATACATACCAAAACTGCTTCAAGCTCAGGAAAGACGTGTTTTCTTGTTTTGAAAGAAGTCCCTTGACGTGATCGAAGGACATGCACGTTGTTGGGAGTGTTTCCTCCCCGGGTCTTCCGTAAACCGCGGTGATATCCGTGTAGAACCCGCAGGACACGAACCTTCCAATGGTCGTCGAGTAGAAAAACCTCAAATGCTCTTTCACAATACCCTCTAAAGCAGGCATCAAGAGCAAACGAGGAGTTTGACAAGGTACATTAGTCACTAGAACGCTGAAACCATCCTCAGTCACGTTATCAGCGCCGTGAAAAGCAGCACAGGCAGATAAAATGACATGTTTGACAGCATTCCTGAATCCTTTGTCATAGAAGCGATCATTGAAGTGCATTGATATTTTCTCTGTTGAGAGGCGATCGAACATGGTTCCGTCGAATATGACCTGTTTAACAACAGTCAATGGAAGATGCTTCTCTACATTGTTTTTCATGGCCCGCTCATCGTACGACGTAAGCCTCTGAGACTTAAGCACTGCAAACCCATAGCAACTTTCTTTGTAGTCCTCGAGGAATGGGTCGACCTCGACGTTGCTATGGAGGAGAAGCTGCATGAGATCTTGATACGACGCACTTCCATGGGAAAGTGACTTAAGTCTTTCCAGAGCCATCTGATCGATTCTGCTCATTGACTGCATCAAATGAGGTTCGGCCTCGATCTCGGTCGCCTCGAGAAGTATCCTAGCGGTCTGTTGGTCTACATCGAGTCCGGATCCTAACATTTTGATATAGACCTGGATAGTCGATGACCATGATACCTCTTGGCTGATGGAGACGTAATAGGGAAACTTGGTCGTGATTATGTGGTGGTCTATGATGGACCTCACCTGGTACTGATGGCCATGATCAAAACGATGGCAGTCAACGAGGACTACATCGTGATGTGGTTCAAACTTTGGCGTATTTCTGATACGTGCACTTATATCAGAACCCAAAATCGTTTCAACAACAGGGGGCAGTCTTTCGACCCATGCAACACATGGCTTTTCGGGATACACTAGACTCCGTCTGGTAGCCTCGAAAACAGAGCTTACGATTGAGTCTGCGTCTGGATTCTGATGCCCAGTGACGTAGGTCATGTCGGAAGCCTTCGGCGCCGAGATGGCTTTGCAAATGGTCTCGCAGGTCATTGGACGGAGACCTTGGTAATCGCCGAGAAGGAGGCGCTTCTTTCCCATGAGATCAGCCAACCGTTCCTGATCCCTTTCAGTGATGAATTTGTCTTGGAGGCAGTGCGAAACGATTTCTTCTGGATCAATAGAGACAAGAAATGATCGAATTGCCTCGTCATCTCGGCTCAGTGTCTTCGACAAATAGTCAGGCCACAGTCGGTCAATACTCGTTTGGGTTGTGGCCGGTTTGGTTCGATAGCATTCTCTAACCATCAGCTTACTGTGCCTCGCAAACTGTGGAATGCCGAGGTCTAACGAGCATGTGCCGGACGAAACAACGAAACTTCGGACTGCGGCAGCAGTGAAGCCGCGGTGTCCGAGGGTCCAGAATTTCCATAAGTCCCTCTCAGGGAACTCGGAGAGCAGTGTAGGAAGGCCTCGGCCGTCGATGTTGTCGAGTGAGAACCATGCAGGCCGTGCTTGAGGCACTGAAATGGGATTGCCCTTAGCGTCAAGCATAGCCGTACTCTCCTGCGAGAGGGTGTATGTGTCATCTAGCCACTCTGCAAACTCCTGCGAAGCAGCCCAGGGTTGCCTCTGTGCTAATCCCATGAAATCTTGGACGGTAAGCAAGACGGAACCCAATTCCTGGCTGAGACCTTTTGCCATTTTGTACGAGACTTTGTTCACATAACCGTTATCATCCCAAGTGACGGATATGCCAATCCTTTCTCCTGCTTTTAATACCCTGTCCGAGATCAAAAGGGGCTTATCGCTGATGTAAAGCTGAAGAGTGGAGTCGTAAAAGAACATGGTAAAGATGTTGACAAAAGATGCTATTCTGTAGGGGAGGACTATTTAAACGATAGCTGTTACTTGTATGCTATCAGTTTGAGGTACTGATGAGTAGAGGCTATTATATCAAAACTCCGGCGGGAAACCGACTCGGACAACGATGGACCCCCACGTAAATCAGCAATAGCGTCTCAGTTGAGCCTCATGAGTGATCTCAATTCAGAGGGTTCAGGCGCCAGAAGTGGAAAGGATGCTCCGGCCACGGTCGCATGCAAGGACAGCGCATCAAATGCACTTTTGACCGGTCGTTTCAACCTATTGTTTGGCTTGCAGCAGGTGCAGCAACTCTTGGTTTGATACCTGCCATCCCTGCATATCTACACCGATAGTCACGCATGATTAAAAATGTAGCTTTGGTTCATCGCAGGTTGAGAGACTTTGCCTAAGGCTGTTCGAGGGGACAGGCTGAAAGATGGCAGGTACTGCAATTCCAAACGCTTAGGGAATACCTCCCTCTCGTCCATCACATGCGAAATGCCATGTCAGTATATGGGGATATTTTTATGTCAGCTCCTACATCAGAAGCTAACCGTCACTAACTGGTGTCCAAGTCAGGCACCAACACGCAAAGCAAAGATACGTCAACAACGAGGCTCTGGCTGGGACGACTACGATTGGCCGAGTAGGCATCGACTAAGGTACAATCCTCGCCTCCAATCAAGCGTATTTGAGACCCTGTGTCAAAAGAAAAATGTCCCGGCCTTTGATGTAACGGCCCAATTCGGAAGTAGGCTCCGCTGCAGTCATCAATTCCAGAGCCTGATTCAGAGGAACCCACTCATGATTCAGCCCATCAGCCACCTCCTCATCGGTCAAGGCAGGCTTGCCAGTCTTGTCAACGACTTTCGCCCGGTAGCAGTAGGATATCTGGTGGAGGTCATTCCGATACTCCTCCGTCTTGGCAATGCAGCCAGCTTGCATGGTCACGGTACTGCCCGTCTCTTCTGCAACCTCGCGCTCTGCAGCCTTGAGATGGTCCTCCTCTGCTTCAATACCACCACCTGGAAGCTTGTAGTAGTTGTCTTTGGCAGCCTTGATGACGGCGACTTGCCCCTCATCATCCGTCAGCACAACGCGGACGGCGAAGCGCTCCGTGTATTGAATACCATCCTGCAAGGTACCAATGGTCTTGCAAGGAAGGGCGTCGCTTGCTGAAACTAATGACAAGGGTGAGTGAAGTTCAAGATTCACTGACCACAGCAGATTTACCTTTCTGATCAGACATCTTTGCTCAATGAGTGTGGAAATGGCTTGAAGGTGGTGTTATGCAGGGTGCCAATAATTGCTTATATGTGGCAGTGGGTGGTCCAGGTTGAGTGAAAGGACTGGAACGGCATATTTATAATAGCTGAAAGACAGTTTAGGCAGCAATCAATGCCCAGGCTGCACAGTATGCAGTAGTCATGCGGCACCCTTGTGATGGCCGCCCTGCATAGTCAATTGAACTATGTACATTTTCTACATGATCAGTATTGCGGCCCATCTTTAGAAAGACAATGCCGGGATGAATTGAGCCTCACCCATTGAGAATAACCACTGAGCAAGTTTTGTCGATAAGGTCTCGGCCAGGCCGACAGAGATGCTGCTACAAATGTGTGCATCGCGGCTCCTAGTCCCATGCATCTTGATCAGGCTGTGACCAGAGGTGGGTTACACAGCAGCAATATTGGTTGCAGACTTGAAAATAAAGCGGATATGATGCAAGAATATCACAAATATGCATATTACTTGTCGCGCACCATAGCCACGCCTGTCAGCCGCCCCGCTAACATCTGTTTTATTTTTCCTCGTCTCGTTCAACTCACAAAAAAGATCCGGTACGCAAAGGAGATTAATTGCGGAGAACGCTCGATGACGTCAATAGTTGGAGTGGAGAAGAAGTCGTTTGCGCACTTTCACTGAATTACTGAAGGACGAAAAAGGACTCCTTAATCCTCGGGACCGAGAAATTAGGTGACACCGATGCGTCAAGAGTAGGCACGCGGCAAGTTGAAGCAAAGGAAATTGCATAAAGTGAAATACTGCACGAGTTTTCAATTAGGTAGAATAGTAGAGCTCATGATTGTGGCATGTTATAACTATACTCTATCAGGTATCAATGTATACTGGCCGAGCCATTCATCAAACCGACAGGTAGTGGTAGTGGCTCATGGAATGCGAACTGTTCCCTTCATGACCTCGACTGCCTTCCCACTAAGATGAACAGTCTTAACATTTCTCTCCCCATCTTCACTGATCTCGACCTCAACATCAACCACGATGAGACTCTCGCGTCCCATCTCAACGCCCTGCGTGATATTGAACCTGATCGAATTCGCAGTAAGCTTGTGCAACGCCAAGTAACACGACAACGCGCACGCGGCACTTCCAGTAGCAGGATCTTCCATATTGCGCTTGACAAGTCTTGTGCGGAGGTTCTGCACATACTTTCCGTCAGATGACGTCTCGCTCTTGAGAAGCGTGTAGTAGTAGCGTCTCGAGTCGAAATCGTGTTTCCAGCCGTCATCCTGCAGGTTGCCGTCAATGTAACTCATGGCTCCGACCTTGGCAGCGCCAAGTAACTCCAGAGAGGGGAGCTCCACAAGCGCGAAAGTCATCCCGTTGACGATACTGAACAGCGGCGCACCCTCATCAGCAGCAGCGACTTTTGCCAATTTCTCATTCCAACCAGCTTCGATCTCATGCTTTGGCACGCGCTTCTTATGAAGCTTGACATCATGCGGGATCAAAGCACGCGCAGAACCGTTTTCGAACTCAAGATCAATTCTGCCCGCCTTTGCAATCATGGCCTTTACGCCCTGGGGCTGAAGAAAAATAGCTGCGCCGATGGTCGGATGCCCCGCAAATGGCAATTCGAAGTTGGGAGTAAAGATATCAATCTCTCTCTCGTCTGTATCCGCACGATTCTCAACATCATGTACAAAAACAGTCTCAGAGAGGTTGAACTCGCGGGCGATGCGCTGCTTTTGAGATTGGGTGAGGGGCGCGTGCTGGCTTGGTGGGGGTATCGTCACCACTGCCAAAGGGTTGCCCTCAAAGGCGGTGGTGGTGAAAACATCGAGAGTTGTGAATTCGAAACTCATCTTGGCTTCATTAATTTAGTTACTGATGTTAAAGATATCGCTTCTTGGCGGTTGAAGGAATAGTTCAGTGAGCCTTTTAGTACTCAGCCAATTGCGCCTGTGACTCAGAGACCTACATCGTAATACGATTACTAATTCACCCGAGCACAAATCAACGACATCGGCGCGTATAAACTGGGTAGCATAGTCATAAGCGGATTTATTCCTAGCTAGAAAAAGTACTACGGTAGCATGGCCTTGACCAAGACCTCGACGCTCAGACAGATTAATTGGTAGGAGTTTACCCACTAGCAGCAACGTCTCGTCTTGCGATGCTGCTATTCTTGAGTGCATGTTGCATCAAGCCCCAAGTTTTGCTACCGTCTCCCTCAAGGAGCGCACGTCGCGTTCCATGTTTCTGAGTTCAAACTCCTGTGACTTTCGCAACTGCTTTGCTACTCTCATGCGCTCGAAACCCCAGCAGAAACCGCACAGTATGAGGGCAAAAGTGACGATGGAACCGATGGTGATGCCTGCCACTTGACCGCCAGTCAATCCGGACCTTGCACTCGCTTTCTTCTCCTTGGGGTTCTTTTCCTTGGGGTTTTTTCCCTTACGGTTCTGGCACTTCTGGCAGCTGTTGCAGCTCTTGCAATTCTTTCCCTTGCGGTTCTTTTCTTTGCGGGATGGTTTCGAAGCCACGGGGGATTTGGGCCTCCCACTATCCGGCATGCTGACATTGAAGAATGCGGATCTTACAGTTACCTTGGCGTGGCTATTTTCCCTTATCCCGAAATAATAAACAGCGTCTTCACCGTTTTGCAGATAGTGGCCGATGTCATACGCAGCCGTCCAGTTGAAGCGGCGTGAGTTACCAGTCTTGGTGATCTTAGATTGCTTTATCACTGTGATATCAGATCAGTATGACTCTCGCAAGCCTACAGAATGCAAGTCATCATACCATCCAGTGGAATTTCTCGACCTTTCTTATTTCCCGCAGTACTCAGCTGCCAAACAGCCAAGTCTCCCATGTCACCATAGTCCGAAAGAATGACGTCGACGATCTCGCCTTGCTTGTAGCGTTGGTTGTTGCCGTAATTTCGGAAGCCGTCATCGAGCAGGTCAAATCGCGGGGGGTTAACGAATTCCAGGTCTCTACAGGCTGCTAGGCTGGCGAGCGAAGATACCAAGAGGAACACCCAATTCAGTTGCATGATGGGCGGTGTTAGACTGGAATCAATGTGTGAGAGATCGACACGTGGCCCATACACTTCTTTTAACTTTGAATGTTTCAAGAGTGGAGGAGGATATAGTATAAAGAAAAAGGAATCATGTCAATTTCGCATACGAGGGCGAGCGATGGTAATTTATGGTTATCTGAGAGTCGTGGCTAATGTTGGAATGGAGGTCAGAATAAGCCATGAATGGTATACTCCCACAATGATGCCACCACCAATATCTCTCGTGGCTAAATGGCCGAGTAGGCAGGCCAAACGTCTGGCGGCGTGAGAGGTGTTGTGACGACATCACATTAGACTTCAGATTTCTCAGAAAGCAAACTCCCCTCTGCGCGCAGCCTCCCAGGCATTGCATTCCAATTACTCGAATGTTATCTGTTAAATCATAATCATACATTACGCCAGTGGTTAAGTTATCTTACGTGGTTGACGCGCTCTTGTTTCCACAAGACAAATATGCAAGCCACAGAGTATCATATGATACCGAGATATTCAAGACTGGCGCGTTTATCGAGGACGATAAAGTATTCGCAAGCCTTTTGTGTGGGTCAAGCCCTGGGTGGATGACCAGAGCCAATGCAACCACTTTAATCGGATGAGCGTTGTTAAACCTAAAGTAGAGAAATCCCGAGTCCTACAAGATTCAACGCCGAGAGAATGTAGGAAGGTTCATTGGTCACTGTCCATGGCTTTCGAGTTGAAGCTTATATCAGCGCATCTTCATTCGTCATCTGTGTTGGCAGCTTGAAGCTTATTGGCTATTCAACTCCATAACCACGGTAAGATGACCACGCAACTTTTCGCGTGGCTTTTGAGTAAGTGTCAGAGTGATCTAATTATCGAAAGTCCATCTGCTATCATGGTATGATTATGATTCCCCGCCTTGTTGTTTAACTCGGGTCTCGATGAAATCCCCCCCCCTATCAAGGCGCTTCATGCAGCCCCGGTGGACTTCTAGCATACCCCGCAGGATACACCTCCAGCGCCATATCACCAGGTAGCTCAGCCTTTGTCTCGGAATAGCTGACCTGCCCTTGTTGGCTCTGAGGAACCACTGACATGTCCGTATTTCCTTTACTTCGTCCCAACCTTCTCCAGATGAACCATCCGACAACGCCAAGAAGTATTAGACCGCCGATGGTGCCCCCAACCGCGGCACCCGCGGTTTCGCCCTTGGACATCAGAGAGTCGGAATTTAGATCAGCGTCTGAATTCGAGCTCTCATCTGGAGCCGTAGATGTTGGGAGGAGCTGCGTCGCGGACGTTGCGACATGAGAGGAAGACATGCTCCGTCCCGTGGTAGAAGTCTGTAACGTGGATGCGATCGTCGTCTCAATTCTCGGGGCGGTGACATTAAAGTATTGCGTCGAAGCAATGGATGTCATAAGGCCGTCGGGACCCGTAAGCCCATTGGGATCCTCGCCTAAGGCAAAGTAGTACACAGCGTCTTCATTCTCTTTCAGTATTCCTGATACATCCCACTCAGCCTTGCACTCAGTACGAGATGCTAAATACACGGGTCAGCATGTCGTATACGAACGATAGGCTTCTAGGTTTCCTACAATCTAATATATATTCCCAATATGTTGATTCTATTGTTTGGATCAAGTACAGTTCAACTTTGTCGAGGTCGGTTTCCCAAAGAATATCAGTCGCGTTTCCAACCGTGTACCGTACATTCTTTCCGAAGCCAGCTTTACGGTCGACCGCATCGTTCCATTCTGGGGGACGCAGGAATGTGGTAGCGCATAAAGCACGATTGGCGAATATCGAGAGTAGCAGAGTGAGGATCAAAATCATAATCATGTTGGGGACAGATGCTTTCACGTCTTAAAAATTATGGATAATGGGCCGTTCTTAGTAGGTGCGGAACGCGAAACCCAGTTACTGGTCGTGGTGGACAAGCTTGTTTGTTTTGACTGATTCGTGAGCAGGAGCCCAGACCAAGTCGATAAGGGGCCATTAATTAAACCAGGACCATCCTCCCCGGGTGATATGCAGCCGAAGATCGAGATAGGATTAGTTCAGGCCCGAGCCGTAGTCTAAGAGTGCTGGGGTTGAATTTGATGATCTGACCCCATTCCCACCACTGTCGTCAAATCTTGAACACAAGTGAGAAGTCAAAAAAGACTACATGTTTACCTTTTGCAATATTTCTATACTGGCTTTCATGTTATCTCTCTCTTTTGTAGTGCTTTCAAAATGCAAGATCTGAAGTTCCCTCTGCCATTCTCTTCAGTCGATTCCAGATTTGTCTAGTTGCATATGCAGGTTTGACAGGGGACAACCAACAGCACAACAACCAACAGAGCGTCGCATCGCATTGGGTTAAGCTACTGGCTTTGAAACACTTCGCACAGACACAACTGCCCAGTAGAGAAGGTGATCAAATGAGAGCTGAAAAGAGAAGCAATATTGATAAGCCCATTCCTGAAAAGGGGCTCTGGTCACATTAGGCGAACTATGATAGTTGAGGAATTTCTTATAAGTTTCAATAGCTAGAAGGTGTCAGCTCCCCATGTTTGCCGAAGTCGCAGGCATAAGAAAGCAGTGTGTCAACAGGGCGCTAGTCTTCTGAGGGAAACTGTCTTAGAAGCCGAGATACATAACTGGCTTTGTCTTTTCACTGCTGGGTCCTTGTAAGCAGACAAATACGCTGAGGGACTACGGCTTAAGGCTACACTGCGCACCAGTGTAAACAGCCTCCTTACAATTGGTGAAGGAAGCACGGCGATCGCGACAACAAAGTCGATGACGAGGTTTCCTCCAACACCATTTATGTTGAGACGCCCTCCATCAACAGAACGGTTTATACCCTTGAGCTGGCCAGTGGCGTACTCCTTACAAGAGCCAGGGAAGCCATCGGACCTCTGGGTGGAGGCCCCGCCAACTGGGGAAATTGTGATCAGGCATTGGCGGCCGCAGGCCGGCGAGCCTGGAGTTCCACCACCCGGAGTTGAAGCGTCCTTGACTTCGAGAGATAGAGCGCTGCTGATGAAGGCGACGATCATGAGCATGGCGGTGGTCTTCATGATTGCGGTCTGGGGGAAGTTAGTAGAGGACAGGAAAGCAAACAGTCAGTTCTGCGAGCCTACATAATTGGGTCTTGTTATAGAACTTTTGATAACGTGGTATGCTTGTGTGATGGTTGTAGAGAAGCTGTGTTAGTAGTATGCTGTTGAGGTAGTCGGCTGATGGCGATTTATACTTCAGCATAGCCTATTAAGACAGCTCCCATCGAAGTCACAGCATGGCGATTAAGAGCAGTCAATCGACATTTCGATATTAATTAGACGACAAGAATTGCTAAATACGACTTACTAATGAATGATCAACATATATGCAGTTCAAACATGACGGCACGCGATATTAAGAGAGGCAGCTCCCACAAGAAGAACGACAGGTATATTCGATAGATGATGTCAGAGTCAAGATATTGACCTGTTTGTGATACCGAAGCTATGAAATATGGGATCGTCATACTAGTAAATACTTAGCTTTAAACTTCCCAAGACGCTCACTAATGCAAGGTAACAGAAGATGGAGAGATCATAGATATTTTATAATCTCGATCTTTACCAAGGTTTCTGTTCCAAGTGAAACCAATTGTTAGTGAAGCGAACTAGTAAGCGGGCACTTCCAAAACTTGGATGATGTTTCGGCAGTGTCTTACGGAAGAGAAAAGTCATATAAGTGCAGGTTATACGAATGTGATGTGCCTGCCGAATCCAAGGCACTCAATGATCCCTCCACCTCTTTTCCTTCGCTCGAAAATCCCAGAACTCTTGAAAGTAGCCCCCGCAACATGTTCTAGCATCATGTACGCTTCTGTGTTGCAGTCGCCGCATGAGTGTACACATGCCACTTCCACTTCTGCTTTCTCTTTGAGGATTCCCACCGTATGCGAATGTTTTGATAGGACATTGAGAGATTCATGCACTGTATTAAATTTACAACACGGTCAGACGCGTCACGGATCATGCTTCTCTCTTACTGTCGCTCAGTGAAGAAGTCGTCATATAGCTATATGTATTGCTGCCCAACCTTTGGTAAACTCAAGTGCGAGTCCTGTCCTTAGACATTAAGCCCAGCTCATCCACACTAAGGCTGATCAAAAAATCAATGCACCAGCAGTCTCCAATCCAAACATAACAACATTACATCCCGCCATAACACTAGCCGGGATGAGCCTCGTCGACGGCTCGGGATCAAAGATAGCAACACAGTAAGACACCCGTCCAACATACTGCACCATACTCGAAGTCTCTCCGATGATTGCCAAAGAGCGCTCTTTGCTGACTGGCTTCTTGGACAGTTCGTAGAAATGGTAGCAAGTGCAGAAAAGCGCAGGGAACACCAAGGCCGTGTTGAACACCGCTCCAACCTTGCGGTTGTCATTCGCCTTCATGAACGAGAGATAGCCCTTGGCAAGGTACTTCTGACCAGGACCCGAGAAGATGATCTTGGAGACGACAGTGGTGACAGTCGTGATTGTGCGCATGGTGGAGACCGCGCTGTTCTCGATAGGCATCTTGGCAACGAGGAAGTCTGCGCCACCTGCTGCAAGGGCGCCGATCACGCCCATGATGGCTGAGGGCATTCCAAAGACATTGGTGGGACTGACGTCCATCGCTTCGGCGAAGAAGAGAAAGTTGCCCGTGAAAGCAACGAAACCGGCGAGGGCATGGCCCGCTGAGTAGATCATTTGCCCGACCTCTTGCGATATTTCCAAATCATTCTTTTCAGAAGAGGATTCAGCCTCCGTGGCCGAAACTCCTTGCTTCAAAACTGCAGAGAAAGATTCCCAGTCTTGGGCATCGATCAATGCGCGGGTCGTAGCGTTATCGGGGAATGGAGCTTGACCCCGGGCGAGTTTAAACATGGTGGTAATGCCTGCGGCGCCGATCCAAGTGAAGAGATCAAGGAAGGAAATATCAGGGACGCCAATAGCGTTGAGTATATCGGATATAACGGGGATGTGAATCTTGGTATCCAAAACATCAACGACAGTACCAGCGAGTCTATATAAGACGTCCAGCATGGCGTCGACGACGACCTTGGTGGTTCCCAGAACCGCTTGGACTAGGATCCCAGTGAGACGTTTGAGTGTATCGGCGAGGCTTAAATCTAGGAAATCTTCCGCAAGCGTCTTGAGCTGGTCATAGGTTTGGGTAAACACCATTCCTTGTGACTCCATCGCTTTGATCATGTCATCTACCAAGCCCTGCACCATGCTAGCCTCAGGCATTCCGCTTCGAATTGTGATTCTGTCGGCTTGATTTCTGAAATGCCCTGCCATCATCTGAGACCCCGAGTTCTGATGCTTTGTAGGATCTGTTGCGTTGCCAGATGGCGGGTTGGTAGCTGCATCACCGAGCGCTGCCCAGTCTTTGATACCAGCCCATTCAGCGACGGCTTTCTGAGCACCATCCATACAGCTGTCGAAGGAGTCCTTGGCGGTCTCGATGCTAGACACCATATCGAACAGGTAGTACTTAACCAAGTTATGAGTAACCTGCTTAGTCCGTTTGATGTCGTCCCACTGGAACAGGAACTCAATGAACCGAATGAGTTTCTCCACTCCCGTCTTGATCTTGTCAAAGACCCATTCGATAGCTCCGACGACAGCTTCGACTGTATCTAGGATAGCACGGTAAACCTCATTGCCGATCTTGACGATGAACTCCCAAAGACCTGTAGCAGCATTCTGGACGACTTGGATGACCTTTTCAATGCCCGTCTTCAGCCAGTTGAACAAGTCACCGGCCGCCACGATGATGGCATCGCCAAGACCGAACGTTGTACCACCCTGTGAGACCACCATGTTTGACGTAACTGGAGTCATCATGCGAAGCGCTGACTCCTGGGCTTGGTGCTTATTGTAAGCCTCTGTCAGCAGCTTGATACTGTCCGCGGTAGCCTTCAGCTCTTCGTCAGGTAGCCCGGAAGAGACCAGTGACTCGGTTTTGGACTCTCCAATCACACCACCAGCCTTGACGTTGGTCCGGATCTCGGCCGTCTTCAGCACATCTTTGTCGGATAACTTGGCAAGTTTCTCGAATGAGCTGGCCATGGGATTGATGGTATGCTCTTTGTTCCCCAGCCTTGCGGTTATGGTAGCTCCAACGATGCTGTCAGTCGCCTGGATGATGATCACTTCGCCAGATGGATTGACAGTGACGTTGACTGGAACTTCTGATAAGATGTAATACAGACCATCGATGTAAACCGGCGTGTGAGTCTTGGTTGTGAGAGTTATATCTGATCCTGACACAGGGAGTCCGTCTTCTCCTTTGACGTTGATCGTGGTAGTATAAGAGTTGAACGATATGGCCTTTGTCTCCGGCGCCGCCTCGAGCATGATAGACTGGTTGCGCCAAAGTTTAGAGTCGGTGTTGGTCGCTTGAGTCAGCTTCTGGATCTTGCTGCCGCCCGCTGCAAAGACTGTCTTACCGCCATCTTTGAGATTGATGAACGAAGTGATACGCTCAACACCTCGAAGTACGGGAACAGGAGCGCTCCAGGACTGTGGCTCCGCAAGTTTGTCTACGTGACAGGATGTGTAGTACACCACATTGCTTGCATTCTTCCCAAAGATTGTAGTGATCTTGTTGTGCATGAGGGCAATCAAGGTGTCGGTGCCAGCGAAGACAGAATTGGTGAGAAGCGGTGTTCCAACGGTGTTGTCGTCCAGCTGCTGGTCGGGATCCCATCGGTAGAGGGTGGAGTTACCAACGGCGTATAGATCAGTAGTTCCATACCTGGGGGAGTTCTGGCCATCATAGCGAGCTGAGGCAATGGCTGTTGCTAGTGTCCTGTTGGGTAGAGGTAGTCGAGTCGGCATGGGCGCGGCGCTGCCTGTCAGATTGAAAAGAGGCACGTAGGACAGTTGAGGGGCGCCTTTGACGGAACCAGCGGTGTAAATACCATCGACATAGGCGCCGGAGACACGGCCCATGCAGCTCTGGTATGTGCCCTCCTCGACTTCAAAGGGCAGCATTCGAGCGGTCCAGGAAACCCCGGAGGAAGAAAAGGGGTCAACAACGTAGCGGGAAGTAGCCTTGAGTTCTGATCCAGGATCCCGAAGTATGTCAACCATTATGTACTGCTGTTGCTGGTCCGTCTCGGAGATGTAAATGTTGGTAATGTGAATGGTGTCAGGTCCATTTTCTGCATCGAAAGGAATGGACCTCCAGTAGGGTTTGGAGATCCACTCAGAAGTTGAAGAAGGAGAGTTGCGAAGTGAAAGAAATAAAGTATCGGATCCATTTGAACGTACTGACATGGCCAAGCTGATAGTGTACCCATTCATAACGCTCTGGCCTACATCGAACTGCATGGCCATTGCACCAGAAGGGAACCTATCCTTGATAACCTTGGACGACATGTCAGTGGCTCTCCAGCCAGTTTGTGTCTGCGCAACCGTCTCCTCGATGACATTCAGAACGCCCGATGAGTCAATCGCGAAGAGCAAAGCGGTGCCGTTAGAGGCCTGGAGAGCCCGAAACTTGCCCTCAGGCTTCACTAGCTCTCCCTGCACATAGTTGAGCATTAGCTCTGTACTTGTTGTAATGGTTGCTTTGCCTGTGGATCCTTTCGTCCTCAGGTGCTTGTGGATGTCAGACGTACCGTCGTCGTTATGCTTGTGGACTTCTGTGACAGTAAAGCTTCCCTGTACATCAGGGTGTTCTTCGAACTGCGATGAGTGCCCAAGGCCTTCTTCCGCGATGCGCTTCAAGTCTTCGGCCCGGAGCTCCTTAATGAAGGCAGCTAAAGGCGGCAGCTCATCGAGTGCTATGGCTTCAGGCACGCTTTCGACTTCGTCGGAGGCCTCTATAACCTTTTGCTGCTGCTGGAACTTGGTCGGGTTGACATAGGTGATGAGGCATGCAAGATCTGAGTAGTTGGAGAAGGCAGCCGACTTGTAAGAGAACACGTGGGCTCCAGGGAACACGAAGTTTTTGATCTGGTTGAACGGGATCGACGAAATGTGAGCGTTTAGGAAGCCCGAGCTCCGATCTTTGATAGCTTGGAGCAGATCCTTGACGCCAGTGAAGAAGTTTACGATGGCTCCAACGTCGATTGGCTTCGAGTTATCAGTAACGGTAGAGTTTTTGGTAGGTGTCGATGTAAGACCACCGCTGTCGTCAACGGAAACGACATATTCGTCTGTGAGAGTCTTGTCGGCAACCCACGCATCCCGACCCGTTGCCGCCCACTGGACGTAAACGTACACTTTGAAGTTCTGAATGACGGTGAACGTATTGCCGGCGATGTAGACAGGAGGAACCTTGGTCAGGTCATATTTCCCAAAGACAATGCTGCAGGAGTAGGTCGAAGTGATCTTGAGCTCGCCATAGGTGGCAGCATTCTGGTCCCATCCCGAAGCTGTATTGCTGTAGTCCAGAGTCGCGACCAGGGGACCAGAGGGAGTGACCTTGACTGTGGGCTGTTGGCCACTTGAGAAGCCCCAGTAGTATGTAACCTTGCCAAATACATTGTCAGCTGTCACTCTTGCTGAAGGCTTGATGCAGGATTTGCGGGCGAGGGGCTCCATCTTGTTGACCAAGTGCTGAGCCATGGTGCTTCGTTTGATGGAGATGACACCGCTCGACTGAGATACCTCAGAAGGCTCAATCCAGTTCCAGTTGAAGGACGAGGCACCGGGCAGCGGATGTCCGTCCGTGGCACAGAGATAGTTCAGTGTCGTGGCCGACAATTGGAGATCAGATGGGTTTTGGATTACCTGGCCAGAGTTGGGGTCGACGACAGGACTGACCCAGCGCTCCAGGGCGGTCAAGCAAAGGGGCGATCCGTCTGGATACTGGGCGACGGCGGTGACTCCAACGAGTGGCAGGCCTTGGTCTTTGGCGACTCCGGACCAAAGATCGATGAAAGACTTTCTCAAGAGGGACTCGGCAGCTTTGTCGGTGACACCGGCAAATGTCGGGGCAGTTTGTGCGACGGCGCTCTGGAGATTAAAGAGGAGCTGCTGCAGGCTGAAAGCCGATCCCGAAATATTCGCCAACTTCGCCCGAAGAGCCTCACGCTCTTCTGGATGATTTTTGAAGTACTCGGTATCGAGATTCTTGTCCAGAGACTCATTCAAGAGGTTTGTTTGAGTCTTGACGTACCACGGGCTCCCAGAGGGTTGCTGGAACCAGACCCATGAGCCCTTGGATCCCCATCCTGTTATCAAGATCATGCTATCAGTACAGTTACTCTTGTTATCGATTGTGGGGAACCTACCGCCAGGAATATTGTTCTTGATTATGGTGACCTCTGAGCAGTACATGTTGAAGTGCACAGCCTCAGAGGTCTTGCCCAACGTGACAATCGGCTCAGGCAACTTGAGCTGGGGGCCCTTGTTGGGGACGTTAACGATGCAACCGGGAGGAATACCAGTTCTCATCCTGATGGCGCAGATGAGGCGCGCCTCGTACAACCTCTGGACGCGCTCATCCTTCCAATCCGTACCATCAGGAATGTCAAAGGGGTTGACGCCCCCGCTCCTCTTGAGAATCTCTTCAAGGGATACTTCCTCGGTGGGTTCGCCGTTCTCATCAGCTAAGAAGCAAAGATAAGTGTATGGCTGCTTGTTTCCTGTGTTTTGAAGGTACTGAACCAGCCCGGAATTGATGCTTTCCTGGGAGGTGGCGACCACAAAGTCATAGAGGTACTTTGGGTTGGAGAGGTTGGACTGACTGGGGGCCATGGTGTGGATGATGAGAAATGAGGGCTTGTGAAAAGATAAGAATGTAATTTGTTGTCAAATTCGTTGTATTTGTCCCGTTTCTTGGGTTGCGTCTGTAGAATTGATTCTTATCAGCGCTCAAGGGCTCTATTTATCTCATACCCATCTACCAACTCATATGAGAACCACTATCGTCTCACATGAAGATCTCAACGAGTGCGTGCGACTGCATCGCATTGCCGTCCCATCAACAAAACTAGTACGTGATACTTACGGCATAGTTCGAGCAAGGCGGGCGGGAGAGTTACATGTCAGTTTCTCAAGTCAATAGTGTCGTAACATATGCATGCACTGGAAACAAACCACTCTGCCACTACCAATCAGTCTCTCCTCGAAGGACACGCTATGCAGATCTTTACATCATCCTGAACTACAACACCACGCCTGGCACGGGCCGAGATGACAGCGCAGTTTAGTTTTCTTTCAGGTGTCCCATCTTTACCAGATATGGTGCGTTACCCCACTCTGCTGAGACCCAAATTGCTCGATCTACGGCGGTTCGATGGTCGGACGGCACGGCACGGCTGAGCTAGCTGCAGGTCTCAGTTTCGAGGCCTCTTGATCTTCGTTGCATGTGAGATTCTGTACAGATTTCCCATTTCGTTTGTTCTAATGCACGCTCAGCACAAATACAGACATTCTGGTGAGGTCATAACCAGCCCTTATCACACCAAAAGGGAAACGCAATGGCCAAATCCATCGATGTTTACAGATGTTACGTTGTAAATGCCGGAGCAGACCCTGTCGAGCTGAAAGGGTCCCTATCCAGTATCCGATTTAGTATAAGCTGAAGGAGATCTGTGCAAGTCTACTGATGTGGTCGCTGAGATGTATCCCGGGTCTGTCAAGCAATGATCCAATGTTTTAGGCTAGTAAAATTATGCTCCAAAAGTCTCTGGACAGATACACAGTATACACCTTAAAACCCTACCTTTCTAATATCTTTAAATGTGACGGTTTTAGGTCCAACTGTATTAAACTAAGCCATACTAGGTTTATTATTAGCAGATAGCGTAAGGCGTGATACTAAGCGGTTATTGAAGTATTATATCTCTTAATAGTAGATTTAATATGTATTAGGCTTAATTAATATAAAGAAGTTTTATTAATAGCTAGTAAGCTAGGTCCTATCTAATACTAAATAAATATATATATATATAGTAAAGGCTTACAGTTAGGTAAGCTAGGCTTATAGTAAGTCTATAAGTTAGATTATAAGTCTATTATAAGCTAGTAGAGTAGCTTATAGTAAGTCTTCCTTAATATAGTATAAGTTAGTTTATAATTAGTAAAAATTAATAAGGTATATATAATATAAGCGCTATATCCTATTTAGTTATAATATAATCTCCTCCTTTTATTAATCTTATCCTTAAGACCTACTTATCTATACTTCTTTTATATAATCCTAGTATATCCTAACTTAGTCTTATAATATTTTATCTTATCCTTCTAACACTATACTAAAATCTAAAGCTACTCGCAATTACTATATACAAGCTATTTTAATTAAAAATACTAGCTTCCTTATTATATTATACAGTTACTATATTCCTTAAAAACTGAAATATTAGGCCTTTCCTAGTTATAAGTACTATTTGCAGTATACCTATCGTAGCAAAAAGTATAATAGCAAAGGTATTATTAATCTAAAAGGTTTACTTATCCTTTTCTAATTCTTCTAGGTATTTTACTAATTCTTAAGTAACTAATTATTTTATAACTAAAAAGCATTATCTTAAATATAAAAAAGAGGTTACTAAGACTAAGTTATTATAACTACAGTAATAGGTTAATAAGCATTTAAACCGTTTAATGTATCTTTATTATTAAAAAAGGCAGCTAAATAAGCATAATTCTAAGATACTCTATTAGAACATTAAGACTCTTAATAAGTTAAAACTAATCAAAAATACAGAGTCTTTTACCGCAGTAAAGGCTTAGCTAGCTAAGGCTATTAATATTATTAATTAAAGTAAGGTTTTTTCTTTTAACTTAGTTAGTAGAACTCCCTTAAGAGTTATTAGGCCTTAATAAGGTATTTTAGGGGTTCCTATATATTTTTGCTTTCTAGGTAGTTTTTCTACTTAATTAGGTATATCTTTTATCCTTTAATAATATCTAT